GCTAAGTAAGAAAATGAACGATACCTTCCGCGTTTTTCTCTATGGTAAAAATATTGATTCTAATTTGCCTACTTGACCCTTTCTATGATCATATTTTTATCGAAAACCAAGTAATATATGGAATACTAATTTAAACAAATATGATTAAAACATTAAGTAACAAGAGAAACGAGTTTGGTCAAAGATAAAAGTTCGAAGGCGAAGGACATGATTAATTAAGAAGGGTTAAATTATGTTCACGAAGACAGAGGTATGGATGCTTGGGCTTGAAGACTTTGAAGTTTTGACTAATGCTTGTATTTTTTTTTTTTTTTTTTTTGAGAAAGACTAATACTTGTTTCTCATACTGTATTTATTATGCACTGTCAATATATAATTCAACTAGTTTACATATTCTTATATAAAAATTAAAAACGAAAAGGAAAAAAATAGCTCTAATATCAAGTGCACACGCTTGGGAAGTAAAAACCAAAAAGAGTCAAAACTAAAGGAGAGACAAAATGGGTATAAACCGAGGAAACTTGGCTTTTTGGAATTTCATAGGGGTTGCTGTATCCCTAGGCTATGATTTTAGACTTTTGCCTATAGTGCGATCTGGTTTTGGAGTCGGTACCTAAATTTAAACTCAGCTACATTCTTTCTTTTTTTTCTATTTTCAACATGTTAAGTTTTAAATATTGTTCCCGGTCAATTGGTTTGTTTATGCCCTAGTTTGGTGAAGTCAACAAATTGTATGCCTTTTTTTAACAGCAGTAATTTTGTATGCCTAAAATATTATGAGCTCGTATTCGTTTTGACCTATAAAAAGACAAAATAATGGTTTACGAAGGTGTATGGTTAATATATCGAGAAATATTAAATAACTATCATACGTTGGTTTTGATCTATTACCCAAAATTTGATAGCGCATTACTGTATATTTTAAAAATAAATGATCTAAAAACCATCATTGAAACTTTAAAGATATATAATACTGCATATTTTTCCGACTTTTTTTTTGAACATTTATATTTTTCCGACTTCAATCCTATAATGGTGGAAGTTTATGTTTGAAACTTGGATGTTAAACACTTCTGTTATTCAAATATTGGTTTTTGTCGCTATCTTACCGTATCATAACGAATTGAATGTTTCAAGCTTTGAATGTAAACACTTGAATAGGAGACACTTTACAAATTCCATATCTACGACTATCTCCCTTAATCAAACTCTTTCTCATTCGTGGAAGTTTCGTTTAGTGTATATATTTTTTTCTTCATGCAATTTATATTTATCTTTATAGCTTCGAACTATCTTAATTATATGTTTATCTATTTTTCTTACGATGTATTTCACTTAAAAATCCCATATAAGTTTTATTACTCTTATAATTTATTCACCATCATTTGATTGATAATGACATTTATAAAGCGAACGCCATTCTACTGAGGTAATCAACATCAATTTCATATAGAATTGCCTTGTCACGTAGCAGCTAGTATTTTATATTACCAGACTTCCGGAAACCGATAAATTACTATTTGACGACGGTGTAGTAAATAATAAATTGATTACATTGACGGTACTTGTACACACAAAAAATGATTAAAGAAAAGAGAGGTTCTTGGATAAAAATTTAAGCCTTCATCTAGCTTTGAATTTTACTAAAAGCAAGAAAACGTTGAGAAATTCTATACTTTGGTATTCGGTATTTAAAAAACCAACAAGAAATAACAAGAAATTCGAGTAAATTTGACTTTTGCCTTATAAATGCTACACGCATCTTGTTAATGTTACTGAATAAATTAACCGCGTACCCGATAATATTATAACTTATTTCCACCTACTATTGTACTTCAGAACTAAGATCAATTACTCCTGAAGTCTCTTTTCGAATACAATATTTACTTCGAATTTGGATATTTGTTAATTATTTCACTTGAAGGATTGATATGGAGGCTTATATATAGATTTAAATAATTATACATTGATCGCGTGTGTTTACTTTAATCACATAAATTACTACCCATAATTCAGTTCAGCTCTTGTAGCAATTTAATTCGGATTACTATAGCAATTTTTGTTTTTAAAAGGTGATTGTTATAGGTATTAGGTAAGTTAATTTGGTTATGTGAGTGGTGAGAGGATTTTTTACATTTTACTGCCGATAGTAGTAGATGTAGATCTTGGGATTAGTGTAAACTTGGTTTCATGAAATCTAATTCAAGAAAGAAAAAAACTTTCTTTTCAATTATGCTTTTTTTTGGTCGAATTCAATTATGCATTTAGTTTACTGAAACGAATGGAATACAAAATAGAAATACAAATATTGGTTTTCAAAAAAAAATTGCAATCTCTTTTTGATTATTGATAAAAAAAAAAAAAAGCTATTCTTATTTCGTTTGTGGAAGACTGTGGTCTGTGTATACATAATACATGTTGTTTAGGCTTTTGGTGTAATATGCGACAGAGAGGAAACAATATGAGAAGCAAAACTCTGTAAATGCTGATCACTGAAAGATCAATTGCTTTGTGTTGTTTATAAGGGACTGTGATCATGGTCAGTATCAGACTAATCAATTTAAATGTCATAATTAATCTATAATTTAAAGTATATTTTTCAAAATAAAAAATAATAAAAAAACAAAGAAAATTTTATAAAATATTTCAACTTCATAAATAATTTATAAAAAATACAAAAAATACAATAAAACTAATATTTTATTATTGAAATATGGTTTTTTCGCATTTTTCCTACAAAATCGTTTATTAAACTCTCATAGTCGAGTTTTTCAACAAAACTAGCTCATTTAATCGCTCTTGGTAGATCGCAAATAATTATTTATCAGCTTTAACTTAAAAAAAAAACTTCTTTCAGCAGTAACAAACGATACCGGAACTGTCAACAATATACGATATGAAATTACTGTGTTCTGATAACAATCCTCCATTTGTTTCAAAAAATCAATCACTTCATTAAGTTTTCCAACTTCATTTGATATTAATTCTCGGAGAATTTTCAACTCCATAAACAGATCATCACCAACTATGTTTGCATACCATTCGTTAAAGAAACATTCAAGTCTGCAATTATATTTTCTTTCTAAAATATAATTTGTTGTTCTTAACCAATAATTTTTTAGAGAAAAATCCATAAACATTACAAAAAAACTTACAAATATTATTATCTTATAAAAAGTCTTTTAAATTTGTTTATTTATATATATTTTATATAAAAAATTAACCAAAATATGCCTCTATAAATTGAATGTCCTAATCGGTCGTCTACTTGCCTACAGTGGCGGAGCCACTTTGATTAGGTTGGGGTCATATGCCTCCAATGAATTTTAAAAAATTCGTATAATTTATTAAAATCAACCATTAATGCCCCCAACTTTAAAATTATATATGTTCCTGTTTATTTATTTATGCCCCCAATAAAAAATATTCTGGCTCTGCCACTGCTTTCCTATGCTTAGGACTGGCCCTGATCATGGTTTATATTCATATTCGTAGAAGCTACTGGAGCTATCTATTTTACTGGATGACACAGAATTGAAGTCTAGATTCAATTGAAACGCTACCTCAAAGATAATTGAGTTACGAAAACGTATATGTAAAAGTAAAACTATAGAATCAAAAGAATAATGTTTAATTTACACGTTTATGAATAAGACAATGGATTTGATTTTTTCTTCTGAATAATTCCAGTATGAGATTATGAGTTTGTTGATCCTTGATAATATTTTTAGTTGCAAAGTGGATTCTACTTTGGGCCTAACTAAATAAGTCTCACGAATATAGAGATATCTTCATATAGTATAATATTGCGACGAAGGTTGAATTTGCGAACTTGAAGAAATAGTTATTACTTTATGAACCAAGCTCTTAAGTAGAATGAATGGACTTAAATAAAATAAAAATTTGTCGTAAAAGTCGAACTCCTTCAACTAATTTCTTAAAGTCTTACCACAAGAGACCAAATATGAGTCAAACTTGAGAGTTGTCCTTTGGAAAATCCGAATGCTGAAGTTACCACAAAGGTCAGAGCAAACAATATCCTTTCAGACATTTAGTAAGTTCAAAAGAAGGGGTAAAGTAGTATATATCACACTAAGGTCAAAACTTATCTTTGTAATTTTCTGACATTGGTCAGTGGGAATAGAAACTGTGAACAAGAATGGAATAGAAACTCGGATTCTGAGAATCGTTTTAATTTTGTAGTTTAATCTCAATTAGAAACCTGAAAGCAATTGATTAGTAGACTAGTAGTAATATATTATTGAGTACCATTGAATTTAATTTCGAATCTTTTTGTAGTGGCAGCTGGCCTCGATCAGCCCTTGTTTCCTATAGTATTAATTAAAGACTTCAAACCAAAGCGACAATATTAAAGCGGTTCGTAATTAATCTTTAATATTTTCTCGTCTTCACATTTCAAGCACACACACATATACACGATATGGGAACGAAAATACGTAGATTTCATCCACGTCCATGTCTCTGTGTCTATGTCACATGTACACGTGTATATATATATATATATATATAAGCGTACCTGATATATAGGCTGATTCTTGAAGTAATAACAATGCTTTATTAGTACGTAGCAAACTAGCAATATATACATATGTATGCACATAATAGGTAGAAATGACATATATGCAGTCTTATTATTTTATTTTTCTTCCGCTTATCCTCGTGTAGTCGTATTATAACCTTTTCCTTCAGCTCACTTTTTTGAATATTGTTTAATAAGTAAAACAAAAGAAGTCTTAAAACAAACTTTCTCGGGACATTAATTCAAAATGAAAAGAAAAAAAAAAAAACTCAGCTGAAATGGCGGCTGATCCTTCGGGTTCAGACCCCTCGCAAGGAAGCATATATTGATTTAAACTTAAGCTAAACCACTTCACTTCACTACACTTCTCATCTACTCTTCTACCAAACTCATCACTCTTGTTCCACTCAGGGTTTCTTTCTTTGATTCTTTATTTTGATTTTAGGGTTTTATAGGGAATATGGGAGAGAGAAGTGACGACGGAGATCAGAAAATGGAGGAAGTATTGCTGCCCGGTTTTAGGTTTCATCCCACCGACGAAGAGCTTGTAAGCTTCTACTTGAAGCGGAAGGTTCAACACCATCCTCTCTCCATTGAGCTCATAAGACAACTCGATATCTACAAATACGACCCCTGGGATCTTCCAAGTATATATATACGATTTTTCATACTATTATATCTCATATATATATTCTTTGGTTACATATAAGGAAACGATGTATAAACAAATCTGTGTGTTATTTTCGTTGTTGTGAATAAATATTGTAGAGTTTGCGATGACGGGAGAAAAGGAATGGTACTTCTATTGTCCGAGGGACAGGAAGTATAGGAACAGCTCGAGGCCGAACCGAGTGACTGGAGCTGGTTTCTGGAAAGCCACGGGAACGGACAGGCCGATATACTCGTCTGAAGGAAACAAATGCATAGGTTTAAAGAAGTCATTAGTGTTCTACAAAGGAAGAGCTGCTAAAGGAGTTAAGACTGATTGGATGATGCATGAGTTTCGTTTGCCTTCTCTCTCGGATCCATCTCCTTCTTCTAAGAGGTTCTTCGATTCTCCTGTCTCTCCAAACGTAAGCTCAAATTTTCAAGCTCTCATTAAGCTCACATTAACTTGATCTTTATATGCTCACGTTAACTCAATGATTTGTCTATACTTAATTTATTGGTGAAAAGCTATGCGGACGACTAGCTACGTACTATATTTAATTATTAAGATCGAAATTTTAGGCTAGAACCCTTTTGAGAAGAATTTGTTTGATGTGTACATCTTGAATGTTGTGCATTTGTTATGCAAATTAGATAGTGGGTATAGCTATATATCTCTCTATTACATTTTCTTTGTTTTAATATATCTATATATCTATAACATTGAGAAAGAAACTAAAGTTTTTAAGTTTGCGTTATTGACAAATACGAGAGATGTGAATATATGAATTTTTATTCTATTTTAGACTCGTTGTTTTTTGTTTTTTTCCCCTTTGATTTTAAGCTTAAATCATTAATGTGTTTTGCCGTGAGCCCGTGACTACTATTGATTATTTAATAACAGTAAGTGTTTTTAAAAAACCATTTTCTCATCAACTCAACATAAAATTATTCTCTTATATATATGAAAAACCATTTAAACTAACATAAAGACCGCAAATGTTTTTGCTTGAAATTATTTGACTCCTATTTTCTTATAGGCTCAAATCAATATTTGTTACTAATAAAAATTGATATTGGATCACTGCAGGATTCATGGGCTATATGCAGAATCTTCAAAAAGACAAACACAACGACCCTAAGAGCTCTCTCTCATTCCTTTGTTTCCTCGTTACCATCAGAGACAAGCATCGACACAATGTCCGACCAAAAACCATCATACACATCCCACTTTTCTTCAGACAAGATCCTCAAAACTAGCTCTCACTTCCAGTTTCACCATGAGGATGTGAACACTTCCAAAACTAGCACTAGTACAACTCCTTCTGTTGCCACTATAAGTCCCTTCTCTTACTTGGATATTACCTCCTACGAGAAACCCACCAACGTCTTTAATCCGGTTTCTAGTTTAGACCAACAATACCTCACAAATCTTTTTCTTGCCACACAAGAAACACCGCCTCAGTTTCCAGGGCTCGCATCGTCTAACGCATTCCCCTCTTTTCTTTTAAACACGTCTTCATCAGATTCGACCTTCTTGGGAGAATACACAAGCCAGATTGACATAAGCGCGGTGTTGGCCCAAGAGCAGTGTCCGGCTCTCGTAAGCCTACCACAAGAGTATCAAGAGAAGAGATTTGAGGGAAATGTGGAAATGAAGAACATGCGTGGTTCCAGTGAAGATCATCACAGTCAGTGTGGCACACCTCAGTTTGGTGACTACGTTTCAAGAATTGATGAGAACCATCGTCAACATCAAGAGTTGAATCAGAACATGACGTTGCTGGAGAATTATTATTCCTCTTTGTCGTCCATTAATGGCGATTTGCCTGTCTGTTTCTCCACCACTTGATGCATGTGGATAGATTTCTTCAATTATTAGCCGTCTCTGCCTTGTTGGCTTGCCTTTTTCAAGCTAGGGTGTTTTGCTCTTCTAGGCTCTTCTCTTGTTCCCTTTTTGTTTTTGTTTTTTTTTTTTCTCTTTAGTCTTGAATCGGTTAACTTATAATAAACCATGTTTTCCCAAGTCTCCGCTCCGATTGAATTGAACCCAGTACAGCAAAGTATTAATTCCAAAATGGTTTTTTTTACAGATATTAAGAGGGTGTTATTCAATCATGGTTTTTAATAGAATTTAAATCCAACCACAATCCACTATTATTGGTTTTTTGATTGTAAATCATATTTAAGAGATTTTAAAGTTTGGTGTTCTTCAATAAAGATTTCAAATCTTTCATTAAAATCTAGTGTTATTCAAAACTAAATAATTTTTAAATTTTTTGTATATTAAGTCATTTCAAATCAATTATAATAAAGTTTTATGAGTAAATTATTAGAATCAAAATCCAATATATATTGCAGAGATTTTAGAATCTAAACAAATGAATTCATTAAACTGATATCAATTTTTAAATTTAGATGATTATAAAACATAGAAAATTTATTTTAAACTCATGAATAACACCCCCTAAGAGTCAACATTAATACCACATTAAGTGAAGTTTCTGAAATTTTAGAAATTTATCTGCAAATTTGAAACTTGGTTGAGTCAGACTCCAAACAGGTTGGGAACTTCAAAATATCTGTATTTTTAACAGTAACTTAACAAAATTGGAGACAAGTTAAGCGGAAACCAAAACTGAAGCAGAGTGAATTGTCGACAAAGTTGAAAAGCCAAAACACAATACAAAGATTGAAAATCGGATGAGTACATAGAATATCTCTCATGGCTGACCAAATCCTATTTCTTGAACATAGCCATAATCCCAAAACAAGAAAGAAGAAAGAAAGATAAACACTTAAGCCTTGGGAGCTACTTTCTCCTTGGCCTTTTGGAGTTTCAAAACTTTCTTCACAATCTTTTGCTCCTCCACAAGGAATGCTCGGATGATCCTGTCAGAATCCAAAATTCACAATTGAATTGAGTTTTCATCTCCAAAGATATGAGAAATAAATAGATAAGACTAAAGTTGAATATTAACAAACCTTTCCCTGACTGCAGAAGCAGACAAGACTCCACCGTATGCACGGTTTACGGTCCTCCTGTTTCTTGATAATCTAGACCTCTTGTATTCAGCAGGCCTCAAGTGAGGAATCTGAAAAACCAGATAATGCCATTCACTTAAAACGTACAATGGCTAAACCATCAAAGAATAATTATACGCAAATCAAAATCACAAGAAAATCTTAGGAAAAAATTGAAAATTTATGCCACAGGTGGATAGCAAACCCTTGATTAATTAGAAGGGAGAACTTGAAAGACAAAATGGCACAAACAAAATTTAGCTTATGATTATGTTATGTACTGATGGAGGTTTATCTAACCAGCACAAGACCGTCAATAAGCACAATACTATCAACTAAGTGACATTGTTCCCTGAGCTAACATGACATGCCCATACAAAAATACAGCTACCACAGAGACTGATCAACAATCAAGTATTTAATCCAATTGTGAAACCAGACGAAACCAGCTATTAGAACAATCTCACTCCAATTCTATCTAAACCCTCAAATCTAGATTCTATGTATCAAATCATAGAAGAATCAAATTCCAGAACACTAAAAAAACAGAGCTGAATCGAAATGAGAAGACTTACTCCTTGAATTCTCTTGCCGGTAACAGGGCATTTGGGGCCACTGGCTCTCTTCTTTGAGGTTTGATACACCAATTTACCTCCTGCAAAAGCAACAATCACCACATGCATTACAATGCGAATAAGATCGCTGATTACACAAATCTGATACAAAAGCAGAGCGAATCGAAATAATCGAGAGTGATGTATGAGGAGACCTGGAGTCTTGACGATCCGGTGCTGGTTCGATTTGGTGGCGTAGCTGTGTCGCGACCGGTAAACAAGACGCTGCACCATTTTCGCCTCTTTTCTCTTAGGGTTTTGCTTTTTCTGGGGCGGAGAATATAAGAGGGGACTCCAAACCCTAACCTAGATTCAACCAATATGGGCCTTTTGATCTTATTATTATTACGCTGAAATTACAGGCCCAGATATGAATTTTTTTTTTTTTTTCACAATCAGTAACAAAGAGAGAAAATGTCTCTATGTGGAAAGAATTTCAAGATTTGTTAGGCTATATTCTCAATGTGATTTACAAAATGGGGATAAGAAACATATCACTGTGAAAAAACAAAGTTTACAAAACTCTTGAAATACACCCCCAAAATCAAAATCCTAGTTTTATTTGCAGCCAGAAACATTTTAACACTGATGATTTGTGATAATTGATATTTGCTTCAAAGAGAGAACTCCCAAATTTTTATTTTTGGTTAGAAAAAGGTCTCTATGTGGAAAGAATTTCAAGATTTGTGAGGCTCTATTCTCAATGTGAATTACAAAATGGGGAAATGAAACATATCACTGTGAAAAAAGAAAGTTTACTAGACTCATGAAATACACCCCAAAATCATAATCCTAGTTTTATTTTGCAGCCAGAAACAATTTAACACAAGGACAAGCAAAGGAGTTTTTGGGGCGAAAAATGGAGATAAGAGTGTTAAAGAGTCACTGAACATTCAAGTCAAATATATTTTTGACTTATCCATCGAATTCTTCTCACTAAGATTAGTTGTCTTTTCTCTATATACGGTTACAGTTTTAATGCAAAGAATACTTTATTAACAGAGTATAAACACATGGTTTTAACTTTTACCTTATTGCTGCATTTTGAACTACAGCTGTTGACATAATTATTATCATTTCAACACAGAGGTGAATGATTGCTTCCCTAACTCTACTCTACTTCAATGGCGCTGTATCCAGCTTCCTTCTTCTCTTTAAACAACTCATCATCTAATGATTCTTGTTGACTTTGTAAATTACCTGCAACAGCATGTGTTCCAAGCATAAGAATTGCATCAGCCGGATGTTTCTCACCCATTTCAGCCAATTTTATGACCACTCGTCCTCCCAAATCTGCATTCCCATAGATTCTACAAGCAGCTAGCAAAGCACGCCAAGCCGTCGAATCGCTTGTGATATGTAAACTTCTTATCAGTTCATATGCTTCCTCTAACTTCCCTGCTCGACCCAAAAGATCAATCACACAACCATAGTGTTCTACTCTGGGTGTGAAGCGGTATGCCTCTACCATCTTCTTAAAGCATCTGATTCCTTCCATTACCAAACCTCCATGGCTACAAGCACTCAGCACAACCAAGAAGGTAATCTCATTGGGTGTCACTTTGCTGTTCTCTTCCTCCATCTTGTAGAATAGAGCTATTGCTTCTCTTGCTAGTCCATGAGCTCCGTAACCCGAGATCATCGCGGTCCAAGACTTAACATCTTTATGTTTTATTCTACTGAAAATTTCAACGGCTTTGTCAAGCATCCCAAGTTTTGAATACATATCAACGAGTGCGGTTCCCAGTATCGCATCCAAAGCTATTCTTTCCTCTTCCACCAAGTCTCCAACACTCCGTCCTACGTATGTTGCTTCGTAGCTCGCACAGGAAGACAACAGCCCAACAAATGAGGATGAATTCCGTTTCGTTTTTTCATACTTCATCTGCCTCAGTAGCCATAAACACTCTTCAAGGAGACCCATTTTGGCATATTGGTCAATCATACAGTTCCATGTAACAACGTCCTTTCGAGCAGCACAATCAAAGATCCTGCGTGCTGAACTCATGTCCCCAGTTTTGGCGTACATACCTATCAAAGCTGTGATTAAATGCAACTCTAAATCAAGGCCAGTCTTGATACATAACCCATAAGCAGATTCTGCTCCAGACAAGTCTCCTAGATCACCAGTAGCCGAAAGAAAGCTAAGCAGAGCACTATCACTAACAATTACCTCACTTTTCCGCATATCCCTGAACAAATCCAGAGCCAACGCAGGCTTAAAAACCTGAAGATACCCATTCATCAAAGTACTAAACGAAACAGCATCAACGCTCTGCGGCATTTCGTCGAACACTCTCCGAGCATCACTGATTCTCCCACAAACACAGTAAAAATGGAGAAGAGCGTTCCTCAAATCGGTAAATGACATGAACCCGGATCTCAGTACGATCCCATGCACCCCTTCGCCGATTCTACTGCACAGTTCACGAGCACATGATTTCAGAGTTGTTATGAAGGAGAAGCGATCCAAGGCGAGACCTTTAGCTCTCAATTGGTTAAATACACGAAAGGCTCGCTCCGGCTCATCGCTCATCGAGTAGCCTCTGAGCATTGTGTTGAACATGTAGAGATTAGCGTTGGAGACATTTCCGAAGATCGACGATGCGTATCGTATGTCTTGTATAGAAAAAGCAATGAGCTTGCTCACTGCGAAATCGTCCCTGTCGATCCCTGTTTTCACCATGTAGCCATGAATTCGAGAAACTTGGACAATGTCTCTGCAAGATCTTAGGTCTTCGACAAGTTTCTGGAAACGTGGAGATAACGACGAATCAACGCGTGTTGTTGCGTCGAGATTCTTACCGCGCGACAGGAGATTGCGACTGAGGCGTGACGCAATCGCTGATGTCATCGGAAACCGCCGGTTTAACAGCGTAAGCGGAATAGACCACCACACGGCTTTGATTTTAGCTTAGAAAGCAAATTGGGCTTTGATTCTTTAATGGGCCCATTTTTGTTCAAATCCAGTTACGTGACGTGTAGGATTAGGGTTCTTTGTTCGTCCTATAATATAAAATTTCACGCCGTCGTTTTGTTCATTTCTAAGGTTCCAAACACTAGCAGAGGAGACGAACGTACGCGATGGGGCGAAGTAAGTAGATTGCTTCATTATCTCTTTATTCCAAATTTCTGTGAATTTGATCGATTATGTATGAAAAAATATATCTTTTCTCTGTATACCGTCTTTGCTAGGGTTAGTGTTTGCCGGTAATGGATTTTTCGTAATTGGGTCGAACAATCACTAGATCGCGAATTAGATTTTCTTAAGCTAGGGATTTACATTATCGGAATTGAGTTGAATAATCACACGAATCGCAGATTAGGTTTGCTTAAGCTTGGAATTTACATATGGGTTAAAATTTCTGTTTCGGAAATGATTTGAGCTTGGTATTGAAAATGTATATATGTGTAATTTTTTGTAGGACCTGCGAGATGTTACCGTCAGATCAAGGGAAAGCCATACCCTAAATCCAGGTACTGTCGTGGTGTCCCTGATCCAAAGATCAGGATTTACGATGTTGGTATGAAGAAGAAAGGAGTGGACGAGTTCCCTTACTGTGTCCATTTGGTTTCATGGGAGAAAGAAAACGTTTCGAGTGAAGCACTTGAAGCTGCACGTATTGCTTGCAACAAGTACATGGTCAAATCTGCTGGGAAAGACGCGTTCCATCTCCGAATTAGGGTTCACCCTTTCCATGTTCTTAGGATCAACAAGATGCTTTCTTGCGCTGGAGCTGATAGACTTCAGACAGGAATGAGAGGTGCTTTCGGTAAGGCTCTTGGGACTTGTGCTAGAGTCGCCATTGGTCAGGTTCTTCTGTCTGTTCGTTGCAAAGACAATCATGGACATCATGCTCAGGAGGCTCTTCGTCGTGCTAAGTTCAAGTTCCCTGGTCGTCAAAAGATTATCGTTAGCAGGAAATGGTATGTTTGTGTTGATTCTAGTTCGCTTCTTTACGTATTTCTTGCAAAAGGCTTCTTTGTTGATTTTGGAGTTTGGTATTTTTTTTCAGGGGATTCACTAAGTTTAACCGTGCTGATTACTCTAAGCTAAGGCAAGAGAAGAGGATTGTCCCTGATGGTGTGAACGCCAAGTTTCTGTCCTGCCATGGTCCGTTGGCTAATCGTCAGCCAGGAAGTGCGTTCTTGTCTGCTGGTGCACAGTGATGAGTTGTGGATGTGGATTCTCTGACATCCTAGTTTTGCAGATGCTCGCTTTTGTTTTTGGGTTTTATTGTGGTTTCAAACTATATTCTTGTGGTTTTATTGTTCTTGGACAAGTGCTATGATAGACTTGTTTTTGCTCTCTTATAAAATCGGTGTTAGGATTTTAAACGGATTCATTTTGATGCTCAAGAGAAGTTTATCTGTTGTCCGTCTCTTTATAAATCTGTCGTCTTCGATCAAAGACTCTTAATCCAAAATTCAGTGTTGCCGCAATAATTAATTAGTTATATTTCCTCTTGTTAAACATGTAAATTAAGAGCGTGTACAACAACAATAGCTTGAGAAGTGTGTCGTTGCTAACAATTTTATGGCTAGACTCCTGTAGCCAGTTTTGTTACTAATGCTACAGATGATCTATGGCTAAGTAGAAGTAATTTGGCCACGAGTTGGCCACTGCTACACTTTGTGACCATTGATCACAATTTAAATGTGGATGATCACATATTAAACATTTTCAAATATGGCCGATTTGTAAAAATTATGTTATGCCTAGGTTGGTTTCATGTCATGATAGTCCCTTTTTTTTGTTTTCTTTTCTTTTTCTTAACAGCGTCATGATAGTGGCTAAAATGCAATTCTTGTAGTGAAAAAAAAAAAAAAGAGAGAGAGAGAGACTAATTAAGGGAGACGGAGGATAGCGGACACGACATGATGCCTTTGCCTTTGGCTGTCTTTTTGCATTTTATTCATATAAACCCCAAAAAGAGATAAGAAAATTCGTTAGCATTTTATTTTTACGTTTAATTAGGCTCAACTTTAAATCAATCAAACATAATCAGGCTGTCTTAATCATGACTTGTTATCATCCCACTCTTTTGTATATATATACCCACTTGCTATATATATTTTTTTAAAAAGAAGGTTTTTCAATACCCACTTGATATTCCTTCTTTTATTGCAACAAAACAATGCGTGGGGAAAAATTTCTATAATTGTTCATGTTCAACTATATGTAATAAGACTCGTATAAATCTATGTATATAAAGCAAAACTCAGGACAATTCACTTTACGACTCTATTATATTATTTTTGGTTAGTATATATCTTATTCGAAAAGGAAAACGCTTGATGAGAATGTTAATGCATATAAGAGCATGTGCAATGGAAGAGACCATTTAGATTTTTTATCTCTTTTTTTATTAATAAAATGGATAGCTTTAATAGTAGAAATCTAAGAGAGAAACTTTGTATTTTTGTATGATTCAATGGGAGAAATCTTAATGGTCTCTAAAAAATCTTTTAAAAAAAATCCAGTTTTTATTTTACATTAAACTTCTGTTTTACATAAATTTTACATTAAATTTCTTATTAAACTTCAATTTGACATAAAAACATAAATTTTACATTAAACTTCAGTTTTTATTTTACATTACAACATTAGAAGAAATACTAAAACATTAAACTGAAAACTAAAACATTACAACAAATAGAACATAAATTATTATACATTAAACTTGTGTTTTATTTTTAGCTTAACCAAATTTTTGCCAGATATGTTCAACCAAATCGGCTACCTAAACCCTTATTCCATTTATTATCTAACACTACCTAAACCCATTTAATACAACTACCTAGTAAGTGATTGAACCTTACCTTTTCAGGATGGTGAAGATGGATTGCTTTATGCCGATGTGCTTCTTCTCTCCTCTTCCTGTCATTCCGCAGCATTCACTCGTCGTGCAAAGAACAAAGGCGACAATAAATAAGAGTTAGCAAACAGCACCTATACAAACAACAGTTAATGAACTACAACTACACAAACAAGACCTGGATAAGACAATCACAGTTAATGAACTTCAACTATAAAGAAAACAAACAAATTTAAAGAACTTGACAAAGTAATACCAACGTTCAGGTTAGCTCGGAACCATAAAGTACCAACGATCAGAACTTAAACTATAAAAAAAACAATCAGAGTTAATGAACTTGTCAAACTATAAACAAAACAATCGATACTTAAAGAAAAAAAAGATGGAAGCCAAACTTAAACATATGCAAACTGATACAAAGATGGAAGACAAACTTAAACAAACTAAAACTGATACAAATGTAATCGTGAGATTAACTGAAACACCAATGGACTTTTATGTTGAGCATGAGTTAGAAAAAAGGGGATCAGAGAGATTATCTTGTCGAATCGTAAAACTAAAATCGTGAGATTATCTTGTCGAATTATAACTCAATACAAGAACAGACAAAGTAAAAACAAAATTCAACATTGAGGCAATATGAAAGCCAAAGTCGAAGACCATTTCATCCCAGACAAATCAGCATAGATATCCAATCACAACCTAAACTCGATACCTCTACACCCTTTTATTAAACCATTTCATCCCAGACATAGAATCTAAATACAAAAATCAAAACAATTTCAACTTGACTCTTTGCTTACCTTCGCCGACAAATACATGGATCCAGAAGCTTCGATCGGTCCAAGCTCCTTCATTCCGCCAAGCAGATGTTGTGAGGACATCGACGCCTCCGTCTGAAACAATCGCCGACGAAGAATCCAGATGAATCGCCGACTCGCGATGATCGACGGAGAGAACGAAGAACGCAAAAAAAAATACAAAGTTATCGGGTAAAAAATAGAGAATGCATTTTCTTCCTTATTTTCTTTTTGGGTCCAATAACAAATCGCCACGTGCTCGTCAGATACGTCTCTCCAATCTCTTAATTTGGCGACGTCTCTCCTTTTTTTAAGTGTTTTTGATTTATTTAATTGCTAAAAAATGTGTAGAGACGACACGAGAATACGCCGTTGCATATGGTCTAATATTTTTTTGGTCCGAAATGCTTATAATATCTTAGTATGTTTGTGTTAGTGTAGTGTTTGACAGAGTTTAGAAAGTGGTGGATCAATTTGTGACACAACTATAATAAGGAGAGAACAATTTAATACATCAGGTGATGTGGTAGTGGTTGTGTGCTTGAGATCTACAACTCAGCCATCAAGGAAGAGATTGAAGGTGTTGTGCTGACTGATTTGAGATATTGGTAGAACAGAACATAACATAGCTGCGGAAAATAGGATATGGTATAGATGCCAAGACAGTAGGAGTATGTGATTCAGATGCTGAGACAGAATCAACATACAAGGTGTGACAGTTCAGAGATATGGGCGGAAATGATACTGTTGCTGAGACAGTACGTGATGCAGGTACTAGTGGAGCAAATGCCGAAGCAGCGCTTTATAGTAGTGATGATCAGTGATCAGCACATGATGGATATACATTGTGGTGATGAAGAATATTGCAGTTGGATACATCAGCGGATGTATCAGATGATGTATCAGTCGATGAGTTAGTCAATGAGTCAGTCATCGTATCAGGAGGCAAGAACTTGACGTGGCGCAGAAGCTGACGTGGCAAGTGGCTTGCTGAACTGGATAAAATCACTAGAACGTATATCTAATGTACAGATTTGGTAAGTAGATAAACTTGGGGAGCAAGTTGTATCTATCTGAATCTGTGAAAAATCCTAGGGTTCAGGATCAATATATATATATCGAGAGGGCGTCTTATAAAGAGCGGACGCGCCTAGAGTTCTATTGTGTAACGCATACAGGTGTTTGGCGTCGTCCCACCATACGAGACTTGTAAGTTTGTTTTGGTGATGGTTCATGGAGTATAAACACATCTGAGATGATATTTGTATCGGTTGTAGCCGAGCGGTAGTCTTTGTAGAGATACCGTGTCTAAGGGTACTCTATCTAGAAAAGAGTGATAGGCATTGTAGTGTTGGATACCACCGCAATTGTAATTGCAATATTGTTCTAGTGGATTTGTTTTGGATTAGGTCTCGAGGATGTAGGGGAACCGAACCTCGTTAAAAATGTTGTCTGTTCTTTACTTTATGCTTGTCATATGTTCGTTATGTTATTCTCATCGAAGTATATTAAAACGCACATAGAACTAGTTACGAATATGCACTTTCAGTTTGCATTATATAACATGAATAAGGTTTATCATATAAAATTCGGTTTACTGAATAAGTTTATATTAATCGTCGTAAATGCATTTGAAAATGTCGTATCAGTTTCTAAATTTTTTTTTTTTGTTGAAAATCAGTTTTCTAGATGCTAAATGTATACATCTAATGAAACTGATCTCCGAATTTTAATACTTAATTACAACAACCGTTTTGTTAACTAAATTAGAAATCGATTTCTGTTATTGGTGAAAGTGGTGATTCGAAGCTTGTCGAAGCCACGATAAACATGACATATTAATTAGTCAACATAAGTATTTGTTAGATCTCCTCAAGGGATATGACTAACAACTGAATTATCAATGTCACGAACAGGTGGAACATCGCATGAGTGGACCGACCACTTCAATAATTTATATCGACGGTGGGGACTATAATAATGCATATATATATACATATATATATTTTGCGATGTTTGATGATTATGATAGTGGCGTATCATAACCATTCCACCACTATGCACATGCCATCTTCCACCATGGTAGAACAACGAATGGCCCAAACATTGATCTGGTTATAATTTTCGAAATTTTAGTTCCAATTAGCGATTTTTTATATATTTAATAAAATTTCGATTAGCTATTGGTACTTTAGATTTCTGTTGTAACATGTAATCTTTTAGTAAAAGTATAAAGTGGCTATGAAATGCACTTATTAATATATTGTTTCCATTTAATAATAAATAATCATGGCTATGAAAACGTTAAATTTTTTATAATAATTATATTTAAATAAATTAACGACATATGGTTTTCGTTTAACTTTTGTTTCGTTTCTTTCGCACCACTTGTTCTATATGTTCTATTCTTTTCGTTTTAACCACATTTGTTTCACTCGAATTATTCATTCTTTTTATTCGACACCACCAGATTTGTTATACTTTTCTTTAATAATCTGAAACTAATTGTAACATTGTTTACAGACTACAGCTATACATCACCCTGCAGGTTGAAATACTTTAATCATGCATTCGTGAGTTGCGTTCTCGCCTAATAGAAATAGAAATTGTATCCTAGCTAATTAATGGGAAAAGAAAAATTCAACTGCACGTGACGTAGGAAATGAAAGAAAAAAGATGCGTAACTAGAAAAAAATGGATGCGTAAAGACTCTTTTTTTTTTCCTTATAAACCCAGATTCCAAAAGACTTTTATAAATTGTGTTCATCAAATTGGCAAAGGAATCGATTGTTTTTTTCATTTTTGTTTTGGTATCTGATTCGTTTTTTTCCTATGTGACTGAAATAGATCACTAGTCAATACACGAAAAATACTAAACTTTGCGACATGAATATATATAACTACTCCTTTTTTTGTCTACAGTTTCTCTATTATATATTCCAGACTATCTACCTCAAATGATACGTATAATATATATATATATATATACGCTGACAAAGTGAGATGTACATATACACAGTAACACAATCCAACAAGTGTACGGTGCCAATATACATTTGTGCATTTGACACATATGCATGTGTCGACGTCGAAAGTTTTAAATATATCACAGCTGAAAAAAAATATATAAAAATCGTCTGCAAAATGTCAATATTATATAGAAAGTTAACCGAATATATATCACAATTTTTTTGATATCCTTTCTAAAATTTGGTTATAAAAATAACGTTTTTAATGTTCCATCTCAACTCTAATAGTCTCCTATTTATCTCTTCACAATTGAAATGTACTACATAACATACATAAAATGATAAAAGGTATATATTGATTTTTATTGCTGCGACAATATCAAAATATCAATCTGAACAAAAACCGATTTTATTTTATTTTTTGTTAAAGGAAAAAAACGATTTTAGAACAAAATATCTACTTGAAATTAATAATAATTAAAATGACATTAATTAAGCTTTAATGATCTCTTATTTCTTAATTTTTATATAAATATGGTTAAGATGTCTGTAATGCTTTCAAAATCCGCTTAAATCGTGACTTTTATTTATAACTAATATTATTTTTTGGCTATCATAAACATATGCAACTTGTTTTGTCTGTTTATATTTTCATTTGAATGTGGTCACAACTTATTTATTTGGCTATCATAACTAATATTATTTTTTTCACTTTGACAAATGAAATGCTTAAAAAGGAAACCTCAAAAAAGGACTCCACGTAATCAAGTTATCGCTTCCACTTTGACGTAGCTCGAAGGAGACTTGGGTGGAAAAAAGATGTGACCACATTTAAATGATTTTATTATAGAAAAATACCTTTAACAAAACAAAAGCATTGTGTTTCTAAAAATTATCTCTGTTTCTCATGTTGGGAAACGGTAAAACATTATTTAACTGGATGAAAGATCATTATTAAAAAGAAAATGGCAAGCAGGCCAATAAAGTAAAGTAGAAAATGAAAAGTATTAAGCTTTGAAGAAGTGATTCGAAAGAAAGAGAAGAAAAACCCACTTGTGTAATGTAACCCTACCTCGAACCATGTATTCATCAGTTCACCTCATTTCTTTGTAAATAAAGTTATGGTTTTAGGGGCATAATCCGTTTATTTAATTTTAAAACTTTCATCTCCATGCATACTCGAACTCATCTCTTTTGTTTATTCTCTTTCTTTGTTGTCATTTGTCTTTTTTTTCTTTCTTAACTTGTATTATATTTCATCGTAACCTCCATAGTTGTCTATCTTCTTTTCTGTGTGTTATAAACGTTTAACTTGTTCTATCTTCTTGTAACCGCATTATTTGTTAGACAAATATTTGATTGGTAACCATCCGTTTCAAAAAATTATCAAACGTCTTCTAGATTATCGACTAGAGGAATAAGTAAACAAAAAAAAATTGGAGACGGCATTCTAATTATAAATTGTTTCATAGCTTTTTTAAAAACAAATTTAGCCACAGAAACACTGAAAATTTTATTATGGAAATCAAATAATATTATGGATGTTTTTTTTTTTTGAAGGATGTTCTCAGAATACGGGGTGATGAAAAACTAAATAGTCTTACTGAAAAACGGTGAAATGATCCTTTGTTTCTCAAGCTTCGGTGAGATGATTAATCAACCAATGAATAGGTTGGTTGTGACTTGTGAGTTTGTGATTAGTTTAATGTATGGTCAAGTAAGCAATGAGAAGCTGTCTCTTTAAATGTGCAATCCAAAGACGTGAAACGACAGTCGTTCGATTTTACCTCGTAATCTACAAGCTCGTTTTGGAAGGCTAATCCTACGGTGGATACAGTACAAAGATATTGCCAAATCTCCATGGCAAGTGGCAACAACTAGTTTCTTTTTCTTTTGTCTCTCTCTTACAATATTTTATAAAAATAAAAAAATAAAGATGAAAACGAAAATAGGAGCATCCTTAACCTCATTGATATTCCAGCCCAAGAAAAAAATATAAGATTATTTGTTTAAATAGCTACACCATATAAAGTCCATACTTATTATCTTGTTTAGAATCTAGATATTTTTTGGACACGAAATTCAAATTAATATTTTTTGGAGACGCAATTCAAATTCTGAAATTTATGTGACTTTCCTGTATACTGTATTTTTAAAGTACATCAAATTTATTTGTAAATAAAAAAATCGCCATAATTTTCAAAGATTTTGTTGGCATCATCATGTACTGTATAGCAAATATCAAAACCTTTTTTTTTTTTTTTTTCAAATTTCCTGAGGCATGCCAAATATCAAAACTTGCATGCCTCAGGATCCATATTTTAACTCTACAAATCAGAAGTTTTAAAATATTTGGCAAATATTTTGAGATTTCTTTCCGGGTAATACGAAAACTTGAAAAAGCATTCACATGTTTCTCCCTTCTGAGATGCACGAAGCAATATAGTATTTACTTAAAAAAAAAAAAATTTGATACTAAATCACATCATTAGCTATTTTGACCATATTACTCTTTCTATATATACATTTCAGCGACTCCATCTCGCTTATCACCCTCACAATATTCTCTCTCTAACAATTTTAAAAGCTTCTTTCTCTCTTGAATACAATGGCTGAAACAATTGCTGTATCGCCATTGAAGCGCCACAGAGAAGAAGAAACCCTAGCCGAAGAAGATACGGCTAAACGACAAAAGCCCTCTTCATCATCGTCTCCCTCTTACAACGACCAGATGCTCTGTCTCCTCAGCGATTCGGAAGAATTTAACCAACCCAACAACGACCTAACTTCCTTTATAAACGCTCTCCAGCAAGAATTCTCATCAGATGACCAAAACGCCGTCGTTTCCGGAGTCTCCAACGTCGAAGACTCGTGCGTTTCCTCGAAGGAAGACGATGTCGATGATGAGAACAAGGAACAAGTGATGCAGCATCTTCTCGAAACTACCGACGACGAACTCGGGATCCCTAACACTGAATTTGGCGGGAGTAATTATGAGTTGATTAAGAATGATATTAGTCAAGATTACGTTTATAATGGAGAGAGATTGTTAGATGGTTTCGGTGATGCGTTTTGGGAGCTTGAAGATGAAGCCGCTAATTATTACACGTTGCTGCAGTCTGAGCTGTTCTTGTAGAAATCTTAACTGGGAAACAAATTAAGAGAAAAAGAAAAAACGTAAAATCTGGAAGAAAAGGCCATTTAAAGAACAAAAAAAAGTGGGTCGTTTTTTTTTTCTATATGGAAATTAATTTCATTTTTAAGACACACTTCTTTTGTTTTGGCGGAGCTACGAAATATCATTTTAATTGATTGATTAAATTGTAGTTGGAGAAGAGATAATAATATTGGTAGTTTTGTTTGGATTGTCAAAAAAAAAAAACTTGTTTTTGCCTCTTCCTGTTATTTGCTGCGTCGTACAAGTAAAATACTGTTCTTACCTTTTTTATAACTTTTTTTTGATGTACGTATTTTTGGTAACTATAAACTACTACTAATTAACCCATCGGTTTTATTTTGAATAAGAAAAAGTGGCGATTTTGTGTAAGTAATGCATGTAATCAAGTGAAGGAATAAACTTGATGAAAGATTCCGCTTAACGTGAAAGAGACTTCACGCTGCCCAAACCCAAGCGTTATGTTTTGGAGATTTAGATTGTTTGTTTATATATTGTAATAATATGTTTTTCATCAAACGAAATCATACCTATGATATTTTAATCAAATTGGGTTTATAGGTTTTTACACACACAAATTAAAAGTGTTTTATTAAAATATTTTTATGGCTTCTTGAAAAGGATATGTAAACCCAAAATTTCAAAAGCAAAAGTTTGTGTTTGGAACAATCTAGGTCAGATGTCCTCAATTAAAAGCTTTATCATGCTTTATTTCATAACAAAAGACCAAATCTTATGACTTATTACTCTAGAACTTTATATGTTTACAATGTACATATTGGCTTGTTAGAACTTTGAGGATAGAGTAATTTAAATAGCACGCAAAAATAAGTTAGGCAATTCGCCAAATACTTTTTTAAGGTTTCTTAAATTCGCCAAATAATAACCAAGATTTTTATGTTGTAATATTAATTTTAAAAAGTTATGGCGGGTGCGGAAGAGACATAAATTTCGGAGCTTAGTGACATTCCAATGTAACGAGAATTTCTTATGGTCCAATTGACCACAACTAGCACACTTTGAAGGCAACCATGAGACATCACCTCAACCATTGTGATAGATCATAGATCTAGCTAATTTTATCCTCAAACGCCACAATTTGGGGAAAATGTTTATCTAACTTAACCTGAACTAAAAAAATTCCTCCTTCCATTAGTGTAGGATCAAGTCACGGTTTTCATGTTAACATTGGCTCTCCAAGTTCTTTCTAAATACTTTTTTTATGGTTATTAAAAAAACAAATCTGGTTTTTCTAAGATAACAAACTAAAAGGGGATATCTTCTAAATTCATCATAGATATTTTTTATATATTTCACACAAAATTATTGTATTATAAGTTTATAACTATTATTGGTGTAACTCTCAAATCATATATTAGGTGATGATTAATTATTAGTGGGACATAACATTTTGATGGCAGCTGGATACCTCTATTGAATTCTATACTTTCGTTATAAGCATTTGATATTTTCTGCGACAAAAGATACATGAGAATATGAATATCTTACATCATTAGAATCTGTAATCTAATTATTAAATATAGGATGTTGGCATATTGGAAAATAAAACTTAAGTTAATGTAACATAAAAACCTAATAGTTGAACTTCGGCACGTCAAATTAAATCGATCGGTCAAGTAATGATGCATTTGCATTATATACAACAATAATGACGATGTTCGAGTGAGTGGACCAGCCAAACAATGTGTTGGTTATGCAAATAATGTTAATCTCATGTGACACTCGAATTATTTGCACCAAAAGTGTAACACAAATATAACTAATTTGTTTGTCGAATAAATTATATTCGAAGATACATTCTAGGACCTAGATGCTTCCATTTTTTTTTCGTGCTTAATCATATGTTTCAAATAATTAATGTTTAAATTACTAACATTAGATTGAGCTTCTTTTTTTTAAAAAAAACCTTTATTAGACTGTGAACTATTTAATATTCACGTCAGGTTCCTCAACAATGACCAACTAATCAAACCAAACTTAAATTTTTGAAAGTTGGAAGATTAATATCATGTGATATAAGCAACACAAATAATGGATTACAAATCAGCATATGTTAACAACTTAATACAAGTAGAATCCTATGGCCAAACAAAAGTAGGAAGTTCCATGTAAAATGGCAATTCATACACACTTGCAATCATTATTAATAACTAATTTCGGATTGAAGGAAACTACATATAAATCAAAGTCTGTACGTAATTTCATGATTATTATAATAAAGTCTGTAATTAATTAATAAGAAAACAAATATGGATTCTCAATTTTATGAAGACCGTTGGATAGAAAATATCCAAAATGGAAGGTCCAAACTTAAAGCAGAAAAAATATTCATCAAGGAAGCGAATATTTAGACCAGTAGCGGAACCAAAAACTTTTTTTATTGGGAGCATAAATAAATAAATGAAGGCATATATGATTTTATGAATGGGGACATCAATAGTTGGCTTTAATAAATCACACTAAATTTTAAAATTTACTGGGGGCATATGACCCCAACTCATTCAATGCCACTGATTTAGACAGATACGAAATGGGCACACCAAAAAAAAAAGCAAGGCGAATTATACTTTTGAATGAGCTAAATCCGAAGATTGAGCCAATTAAATCTGCTTTATGAGAGAATATATATGCATATTGGTCATACTATATAAAATATATTTCAAGTGATCACGAGTAAGTGACCTCTCACGTCTTACCTAGGGACTGATATGTTCACAGAAATTGTTAACAGTTTCATATTGTCATCTATGAATGATTGTTTATTTTTTACCACATCAGTATATCTCAATTATAAGAACAATATTGTTTAGTCTACCTTGCGTGCAATCTGTAACTCAAGCGCATAACAATTTTATATAATTTTTCTTTTCATAAAGCAAATCCACTGGATTACCGTCCGTCATATTGCAAAAATAGGTTTGAAGAGCGGTTTTTTTTTTTTGATAAACCTTATCGGTTGATTTGGTCGGCTCCGGTAGAAACACACCGAAGTACTATAATGTGGACTTCTTCCTGGTTTAACGGTTTAATGGACACTATGAGCTTCGAATGAATTCGAGTCAACAAGCCATGAGATCCATGAGATCCAAATAGACCACCACACTACTTGTTCCGAATTTGAAATGCCTTTCGACTAATGCCAGAGGATAGTCAGATCGCCTGTTACTAGACTAACATGTAAACTGTTTGGGTCTTTGGTCCAAGTCCAGACTTCCCACATAGTTGTATTTTTATTTCCAGAGAAGATCGAACCTGGATAAAGTAGTGTAACACTCTACACAATCTTTTCCTACTACTGGATCACAACGATGCGGTCCTGTAAATACGGCTCCCGTTTCTTAATTTTTTTTTTATTGTATGCTGTAACCTATGAATTATGTACCTTAAAACCATAGTGTCCAAAGACCAGAACAAAATAAACAAAGTCTCATCCCAACTTATTGTGGGACTTGAACCCAATACATGATTATGATCACGATCCCCTGTAAGAATTTCCCAAGATCAGCCGATAAAGCTACTCTTGTTCTTATATTTGATTAAAAATATACAAGAAATAATTTGAATTTGATCAAAGTTAATTTTGTTTTAAAAAATTTGAACTCTAAATACTGAATTCGTTGTATACGTCGAATGTTTTACTTTAGAGTAGTGGTCAGTGAGGCAATGACATTGAACATAATTATATAAACAATAAATCAAATATTCTTTCTTTATTTGTAATTTCACTTTTTTAACCTGATGTTGCATTAGTGGAAGAAACATTAGGGAATCAACAAAAGTAATCTCATTTTTTTATTAGACGACGAAATAACAAATTTAAGTATTAAAAATGAAAATGCCAAAATGGGCTACTATACTAGCCTTGCTTAACTTTTTTATGCCTCAATCATGGGCTCATTGTTCCCACTACACCAAAAGAAAATTTGCAGTGGTTCGATTAAAAATTATCATATTAATCAAATCCAAGTTCTGCTCGAATAAGATCCTCCTGCCAAAACATTTCATCTCATAAAACTTGAAAGACAATATATTAATATTTAAAAGATCAATTCGTCCAAAATTTTTTTCAGACATTGGTACTTTAGCATAATCAAATAGTTGAAGATTCGACCCGAATAAATAATGCTTTAGAGTCGATGCAGCTGCTGGTGAATGTGAATAAATGCTTCACAGACTTTGGACTTAAAAGTACTCGATTCAATCAATAACTTTCATGTTTTCTCTTTTTTTAATTAGTTTATTAATAAATGGGTAATCAATGAAGGCAGAAAACGACAAAATACTTGCAAAAATTAGTGATCTACTCTGTTACTCCCAATTAAGATGTGATAACAGAGTTTCACACTTGAATCAACTTTAAGCTGTAATTGCGTACAAAAACTCAAAAGAGATTAAAACCCTTTAGTCCTTAAGAGCTAATGAACAAATGAAAATAACAAAACATCCTTAAGAACTGTAAGATCAAAAGATAGAATTCAACAGGAAACTACACAATTACAACAAGTAACAAAGGACAACAATCTCCTGCAATTGTTAATACATCAATCACTAACAAGCCTGTGTGTTTATACCCAAGTTAAAGACAGCTAAATCCAACATCTCCCCCAAGTAAAATTCTCTTCTTTCTTCTTTCTGAACTTGTTCAACAGCTCATTACCGCGCAGTTATAAACGAAATTAACCGACTGTTTCTTGCCGAGTAAACGCCACTCAGGTGTAGCATCACTTGGAACCCATGAGTTAAGCTCAATGAACCCTTCACCAGGAGCCTTTGGTCCACCAATCACTACAACCCTATCTCCACAAGCCCTAAACGCTAAACCCCAACCGTTCATCGAACCAGCTTGCTCAGGCAAGTTCGCAACTTTAACCCAAACCCGACTTTCCTTATCATACCTTCTCACCGCCATACCGGCGTGATCCGCCGCGTAAAGCTGATCATTCACAACCGCTACAAGCGGTGGAGCCATAGCTGCTGCAGACATTCCGTTCCCATGGTTTGACCTCGGCGGAGACATCTCAGGGATCTCTCTCCATCTCCTCGTCTTCAAATCAAACTCTTCCCCACAAGTCATAACCTTTAGCTCATTTCCTTCTCCAACACCAATCCCACCAATCACATAAAACTTCCCGTCCATAAACACACCGGAACACATTTTCCTCCTCTTGTTCATCTCCGGTAACACAGACCAAGTCTGATCCTCGTAGTTATACATCTCAGCTGTATCGAGAATCGTACCGCTCGAATCGCAACCTCCTGCTAAAACCGCGATCTCACCGTAACTAGCAGAGCCAAACAAGCATCTAGGCATGTTCATGCTCTTACCCGTAGACCAAGAGTTGGTCAAAAGACTGTATCTATAGATTACAAACGAACTCACTTCCCAACCAAACACAAGCAAATCAGTTCCTACAGCGAGAGATTCTTTGTCTGCGCGCCTGAAACATTCGTTGTGTGGCATGCTCGGCAAATGCATCCACCGTTTCGATTTCGGATCAAAAGCTTCCCATTCGTTGAGATCGCAAGAGAAGTAAACCCAATGCTCGAGCTTCCCTTGTAGCCTCCTCAGCCTGTAAATCTCTCCGCTTCGAATCAGAGCGCGTAAGCTCCGGTTCACTGAAGCAATGGAGCAGTAATCGGCTCGAGAGCAACGAATCAAACAGCTAATTGAGTCGTCTCTGTTCATCCCTGGGATTAGCGATCCCGAATCTGAAGATCCGTTTCCGTTTCCGTTTCCTCCGTCGTCGTCGGAGCAATCATCATCTGGGTTCAAGAAATCTGCGAGCTTGTGAACCTTCTTGTTGTTGTTGTTGTTGTGGTTAGGAAGATCGGTCTCGTCGTTGTTGAGGAAAGGGCGTTTCCCGGAAATCAAAAAGCTCCATTTGGTTTCTTTTTGGCTTGGCATGGCGAAAAGCGTTGAAACCAGACAAGAATCTCGAGGTCGACCTTCGAACATGTTTCTTGTCGGAGAAAACCCACAAATCCGCAATCTCAATGGGATAGAGAAAGAATCAAGAAACTGGTTCCTTTCTTCAGATTGGATCCGAGCTTTTAACCCAGAAGAAGAAGCACAAAGTCGATTCCATTTGCGATAGATTTTAGTCAAGATAAGTCGAATCGAAATTATATATCAAAATTCCAACTTTCCTGCAACTACAATATAACACATTCCTAGTAAGAAGAACAAATTGAAAAGAAAAACACAAAAGTTTAAGAACAAGCTGGAGAATTGTAATAGAAGACGAAGGAGACTTTGCTGATTAATTGGATAATAAAAACAAAAAACAAAACAAAACAAAAGCTTAAGATTTTAGTTTTCTTTTGAAGGATTTAATTAAGTAATGTTCTCACCCTCGCTTTCCATTTGTCTATACCTTAATGCTTAAGCTCCTCTCCAAATAAGAAGCAGCAAATGGCATTTGTAGACAAAAAATTCTCAGTGTTGTGCACATTTTTATAAATCTGTTTTAATAAATAGTAAATACTAATCTAATTATTCTCTACTGTTTTACTGTTTTGGCTAAAGAATAGATTATTAATTAAAAGAAAAGAAAAAAAAGAGATTATATGTAAGGCTTTCAAGTTCTTTGCTTCATTACTGAACCAGGCGTGTAATCCAATACCTTGAATCTAACCATGCTATTGCTTCAATCGTACAGTATTGATTAATAGTTTAAGTACAACAAACTCTCATCACTTTTATTATACTTTCAATTTCATCATACTTTATCATCAAAATATAGTTTATAAATTGCAATCGTACTCTTTCCTTTCTTGGGACATGGTGGTGCCAAGAATGTGGATAATTTTTTTTTCTTTTTATCGTATTTATCGCTGTAAAAAATTGAAAAAAAAACAAAAAAGATTTAAAGTTGGATAAGGACGAATAAAACGTAATCACCGGATGGTTGTTGTATTCCCGGCGATTATACAACGGAGCCGCCAAGTTTTGCGGTAAAATAGAGACCCGGTTCGACACGTGTCGTCACCCCCTCCACAAGCCTGACTTCGTCAGTTTCAACTTTTTTTTTTTTTACTTTTTGACTCCATTATATGAAAGCCGGCTAATAACAGGCTGGAATATCCTACGGGTGAGAGTACGATACACCTGATTCTACGGGGCCTACATATTTTAATTTAAATATTTGAAAACGTTTGGTATTTGAATACAGCGGGGATGTAATGTTGTAATGTATGATGTTATTTGTATGGACCCTATTGATTTAACGATTGGTCATGAGTCATGACGGTGATCGTTTTACACCTAACCATTGACTTTCTGTTGGAAACCCAAAACATAGATCAATATGGTTGGATTGTCATCATTGAAAACAAAAGTAAACCACTATTTCTTATGTTGAAATATTCCGATAATTTGACTTACTTTTTTATATGAACTTCTTCTTATGACGAATTTGTGGATAGTTTTCAACAAAACACGAGTTTAGTTCACACAAAATATGTTACATGTGTTCCTCAACTCAAATTTCAACATTATTAACGACACTCTTTCTGAAATTCACATTCCAAATTAACATGCTCGTCTTTTACCATGTGCAAAATATAGTAATCAACCAGGTTCCAATTTAAAAAACATAAATTTGGGCTTAAACTTTTTAAAGAAAATGTTATACTATACTATAGTGAATATATATTTTTTTTCAAAAATGAGCAGGGCCTAAAAAATAGTTTGAAAGAACCATAATAATAATAATTATAATTGTTTTAAACTTTTATTGGTACAGGAGTTGTCTAGCTTGTATATTTCATATCGTGAGTGAGTCCATATATGATCTCGTTTTCTCTAAATCAATTAATAATAGTGATTTCACAGGGTAATTTTAGCAACTTTTCGTCAGATTCGGTTTAGAACACAAGCAACTAAAGCAGTATACAGATAAGTGGTTTTCTCGCGATGTTAAACTCACCCTAATTTTCATTTGTCTGAATCTTTGATAGAGTTACAATAACGATGTAGCATTATATTACGATCGAACGTTTACCATCAACAATTGGTACAAGTTTTGTAGTTGACTGTAGTTAATGATTTGTTACAGAAAAAAAAGTAGTATGATGAATGTTTTTACATTTGATTATAAAAACTATAAAGACATCTCCAAAGACAATCTCAAATCTTCAAATATGAGGTTTTGTTCACTCCAAATGCAACCTTAAAACCTCAAATTTTGAGGTTTTGAACAGTGAAACTTCAAATATAAGAAACCTCAAATTTGAGGTTACAACTTTTTATTTACATTTTAGTCTTTAAAATTATATATTTCATAAATAATCATTTTATTTTTAATATTTATCATTTTAATCCAACAATTTTATATCTCATTAATATTTTACATTTATCTTTATAAATTTTATATTTGCATATAAAATAAAATTAAAAATAGAAATTAAAAACTAAAATTGATCATATTTGAAAGCATTATGAAAATAGTTTTGTTGAATAATTTGGTGAAATGTAATCATTTATAATTTAGTTTGTGTGTTTTCATTATTATGTTTTTATAATTTTATCTTATAATGTAATGTTTCTGTGGTTTGTGATATTTTTTATGTATGTTTTCGGTTATTTATAAAGTTATATAATTTTTATTGATAATGATTAAAAGTAGGGATTATAGTGCAATATTTTAAATTTTATGAGATTAGATTTGAGGTTTTATCTTTGAAGACAAACACCATCAAACCTTAAATTTGAGGTTTAGCCAACCTCAAATTTGAAGTTGCCTTTGGAGATGCCCTAAATAGTCAACTATCAAGTGTAATGATGGGTTCACACCATTTAATTAAATCAAACTGGGATACTGGAAAATAGTTACTTAACCTATGGAACAAAGTATGGCATTGGAAAGTTTTTATTCAAGATTTATTCGAAAATTTTGCTTTTAATTCATTCAATTTTAGTATTAAGAACAAGTTTTGGAAGCGATGCTAACTGCTCAATGGTATTATAACAATTCAAACTTTTTTTAAAGAATTTTTGTAAAACAAGTGATCTTGTATTTTTGTGTTCTGTTTATTAGCTTCTTGAAGAAAAAAAAGATCTCACTCAGTAAATTTACACCTAAATATAAGATTTTTTTAGGTAGTTGATATACACTAAGTTTTTTCATTTACAGTTGCAATGTAATCTTTCTACCATTATGATATTAGTTATCTTCAACGAGGATGAAAGATTTTCCTATGACTTATGAGTCTTTGACTTCTATCTAGTAATTTTGACTTTAAACCTTCAAAACAAATTTGGGAACAAGTATCATTGTATCAACTATCATCTGATCTAAACAAAGCAAAAAGGAGAGTTTTTCTTGGACAAGCAAAGACTTGCTTTATATAGGTTATCAATTATCGCAAATAAAAAGTATGAGTACACTTTAAATCGTTGAATACAAATAATGGATGGCATTTTGTAGATAACTGGAGTAGAATTCAACGTTTTCTTACAAAATAGGGAACTTGCTCACTCGTTTTAACACGCATGGGAGTGAGAAGCTATAATGACAAAATTGAACAATATTAATGGCAATATTAATGGTATTAGCCTATTAGAAAGCAGGAAACAGAGAAATTAAATACAAACTTAGGGAAAATTTGTCCAAAAAAGAAGAAGAAGTCAAAAACAAAAATTGGGGCTCTTGGTTTTAGTCACATGTCTGACTCAGCATCTGACTGGATTAGACTCGACGCTTAAGTTGGTGATGGCCCCATCTCATTCTGCCCTTTTAAGTTTGGCAAAAACGCAAGGAAAGAAATCACTAACATTTCTTACAAAATTAGAAAAAGTAGTGTAAGAGATAGATGACAAAAAAAATGATAGATAATAATTTCATATTTATTTAAAAAGAGAATAATTAATGATATACCAATAGCGTTGTGTTGATCTGAGTTTGTAAATAGTTTCGTACCGAAACATATAACAATATAACATATACATATCTTCTTTAGTTCTTTTTATAAATGATATCCTATGTTTTGCCCCCAATGCTTTTACACTCCTATCTCTTTTTGTTGCTTATCTTAATCGTTTGTTTTTGTTTTTATACATTTGCTTTTATCTAAATCTAATTACGATATCTTTAAATGATATAAAAGTAAGTAAAAGTGAGAGTTTTAATTTAAGAGAAGTAAAAAACTAATTACTTTTCCTCACTAATTGCGGCTCGACGCACATTTCGCGTAAAAGCAATGGACTATATGTCTATACGCATCACGATTGACTTTCTATCACTTTCTCTCTTAGGTGTCGACCAAAAGAAATTGATACACTTTCGGTCTATCAATCGGTCGATCTCAGTCAGTCTCCTAACAGTCTAATTTTCTAAACATGTGTTTATGTATAGTGATTAGTTGAATACGATATGTGACTAAAAATCTTGATTTTGGGGATATGACTAAATAACACAACCTCTTTGTCAAGCCCCTAATGAAATAAAGATATATTTTCTGCCATTCGTACTTCTAGTTCTCATGATCTCATCTCTTAGAATTGAATGTTGAGCCTTTGAATATCTTTATTCTAATTTTTGAGGGACACAACGTATGTTGTTAGGACTTGAGAATATATATATAAAATATATAGGTGGTAATTGTGGGATAATTAAAAGAGTTCCCAAATGTTTACACAATTGGATATATATATATATATGTCAATATACATAGAGCTTATTCTTATTCAAATCGCATGTTATCGATATACACACACGTCACACACTCACAGACTGCTATACGTATCACGTAAGTATATGTTCTCTCGGATGCTTAACACAGAAAGTCAGAAACAGCAAATCATTGTTACCACACACTGACACACATAATTAAATACGTACACGTACATATACATACAGTACACACATACGAGATAACAAGAATCTAAAAAGCATAATGTAGTGACGTGTATCAGTGTACGTGCTGTTTTTAGACATTCAGAATACTTGGAGGATGAGATTGCAACCCCAATGAAGGGAAGAAAGAGAGATCGATTTCCTCTTATAGAAAAATTTAGGCACCACTCATTTATTAATCATTTGTTTACCATTTTTTTGGGTTTTATATTTACGATATTATTAGTATATTTACACATTATAACTCTTTTGTTAAAGTGAATTATAAGTTTTCGTTCATTCATTAAATTAATTAATTATTTTCATGGCATCTCGAGAGTTTTAAAATTCAAACAATAACTTGCTTATCTGTACAATTAGTCCGCTTGTACGTTAAAAACAAGAAAATTGAGTATAATACAATATGTTTTTAAAAAAGTGAAATAACTGTCTCAACATTGGATATACGTACTAAGATGTCAAAAAGGATATACTGTACTAATTTCTTACAGTTCAAATCTATATAATTTCAGGCTTCATAGTCGTATATTACGATACCAGCATCGACTGATATAACATTCTTAACATTCAAACCAACAAAAAAAACACTGGTATAAGATGCATTCATATCTTTTTTTCTCTATCAATTCAGTGTCATCAATAGGAATCTATCAATTTTAAAAACGAAAGGGAGAAGTATTTTTTTTTTCTTTTCAAATTGTCTATAATCATATGCAAGAAAGTTGATTTTATATTTAGTTGCTCTAATGACGCATATCAACTATCAAGTGTATACTAACTACCTATAACATTAAAACCGAAAAAGGGCATACTAACTAGTAACTAGTTATAAGTATGTAAAATATTATTGTAGATAATTTGAGAAGTATGTAAAATATATTAATATATATCTGGAAAACAAATGCAGACAAAAACAAAAGAGGGCTCAGTATTAATTAGACGTCGTTTTCATAATCATAAACCACGTTTGATCTCACGATTTACACGTAAATGGAAATAATCAAATTCTAAATATGATTTTCTCTGTAAAATCATGTTTTAGAAAGACGTGTTGAAGTGGATATTACTCGTGTGGTTAAAAAGCAAATATTTCCTAACAGAGGTAGCCTTTAATTTAGATATGTTTAATTCGTGCGCTTGTATGCATATGAAAATTGAAAGATAAGGTTGCGTCGACCTAAACATATAAAGAAACCAATTGGATACTTTTTAAATAATTTTCTGATTTTTTTTTTTCTTATAGCTTTTCGAAATCGATCTGTTTCCATTGCACCGTGGATATGTCGGGAATCGTGTTCTTCGAGGGAGCATTAACTCTATGTTGATTGATTTTATTGAAACCTAAAATCAAAGCATGAATCTGGCCAAACTCGAATTTTAAACACACACACACACACGTAGGAGACGAACAAATGCTTTTGTGCAAAATTCAACTCACCCAACACCCATACGCAGTTTATATTGAAGGTTTAATCATTGTTTTTAACAACCAAACTGAAGTACGAATAACTGTCGGCAAAAGAAAGGGTTTACAAACTGAAGAATAGTACAGGCTGTTTTTAAAGTAATTCAATTTTTTGTTCTTATTTATGATTTCTTAAGAGTAATCTCAAAATTATTTTAATCTTACATAAAAAATTAATTCTAACAAAATATCATAACCATTTCAAGAATTGAGAAAACTCAGGAAAGAAATACTGTTTCAGTTTTGATTGGATCATAGTTGGTTATTTAGACAGTATCACATAATTATTTTTTGAACCCCTGCGTAGATAGATTCAGTAGACCGAATGCATCAAACTTGAATAGTGAGTAAGTTACACATTGTATGTTCACAAATATCAAAAACCAAGATTTGGGATTTTAAATTTAAAATGACTATCTAATATCTAGATCCTGATAGGTAAACCTCATATCGACGAATGCAAAGCCATATTTTTATCCACTTCATTGTGAAATATTTGTTCCATGTCCATTTCTAGTTGTGTGAGTAGGTTTCTAGGTAGCCAATTACTTTTTTTTCCCCTTCAATCCAACATATCTTAATTCAATCTACATGGACAAAAATGATGGGCCTGACTTAAAGCAAATAATTGCTTACCAGAAAAAGTTTTTACTTTTTCGACCCTAATATAGCAAATCTGTATCTCTAGCATACCAGTAAGTATTCCCCTTCAAAGATATATGAACTTTTACCAAAATTTATGCTCCACTCAAGAGTGTTAGTAAAAACCCTCCATGACTTAGAGCTCAAATCGTAAATTTCTTGGTCACAATGGTAAAACCTCTAAATTTTGTGGCTACCGGAGGATTTGTCATTCCCAAAAGCAATTTTTTTCAAATCCATAGTTATCAGTGTTTGATCCAAATTCTTTTCTCTAAATGCAGATTCCAAACCGCAAGCATATTATTATTAATGTTCCACAATACACATAACAATAAACCCTCACAATAAAAAACTTGAGATATAGTCGTATAGGGTATACCATATATTTTATCTGAATTTTCTCGGTTAAAAGTTCACCTTTAAGGTTTAAGGATAGATCAAAGTTGTTCTTTTTAGTTTCATAGAGATTGAAGCTAATCAAATAAACTCTAAAATCCTTGATCATCAGTAACTATCTTTCTCTTGCTGCTTGGCCAATGTGCTTATTTGCGATGTGCTTATTTGCGAAGCTCTGATCTTTAGATAAAGAGTTCCACTCTTTACAAGTTGATCGCACTGCTCCCATAGATTTCACCGGAATTCAAGAGAGAATTTCCTCCACCAAATCCCTTGGAATATTGGATATCATCGTCCTCTTTGTTTCAAGTTTCAAACAAGAATCGATGTACACATATACACATAGAATTAGGTCAACCTTCGAAAACTTCCTTTACACGGATCGATGCACACGGAGATCGTCATTGGTAGGGTTTTAGGCCCAGTATTATTTAGGCCCATTATAACAAACAATGAGCCCAACTAAAGGCGAGAAAAAAAAGTCTACAGTAACGATCCCGGTTATCGTCTTCGACGGGAAATCCCCGACGAACAGGAATTTCTCTGTCGGGGTTGACTTCAATCACTCCTTGAGCAGATCGGCGCCAAAATCTAAAGCGATAATGGGAAACACGAGAATCTTGATCTTGAGTTTGGCATGTGTAGCTTTTCTCTCCGTAGTCAAAGCTCTGTCTCAGGAACCAGAACTTGGTTCTGCTCGTGTCGTCTTCCAGGTTCATTTCCCGTGTGCTCTTCTCTTTAACCGTAATTTCGGTTAAAATAAACTTCTTTTTACATCGAATTTCTCTTATGCGATCAAGGAGTGATTGTTTCTAGACTTTAGGATCAAAATCTGGATTATGAAATTTTTTAGAGTAACAGAGATTTCAGTTCTCTTCTACATACCACCCAAAATTCATGTTTTTTAATGGGTATTTTTGATGATAATGGTGTGCAGACTAGTTATGGGGATATCGAATTTGGATTCTATCCCACGGTTGCACCAAAGACAGTGGATCACATCTTCAAGCTCGTTCGTTTAGGTGGCTACAACACCAATCATTTCTTCAGGGTAAAATGACTTAAAGTCTCAAGCTTTGAATTTGATTTGCATCCCCTTGGCCAATTTTTGAAAGAAGGTGCTAAGTGTGAGTCATTTTGCAGGTTGATAAAGGCTTTGTTGCTCAAGTTGCAGATGTGGCGAATGGGCGATCAGCTCCTATGAACGAGGAGCAACGGAAAGAAGCTGAGAAGACAATTGTGGGAGAGTTCAGTGATGTTAAACATGTCAGAGGTATTCTTTCCATGGGAAGGTATGTATTTTTCGATCTAGTGTAGCTCTCGATCTGTGTCTATGTATTTTATGAATATCCATTTTTGTTGTGTTCAAAAGTCTTTATGATAAAGATGATTGCAAGGTAATGTTTTTTCCTCTCTGTGGTAGATATGAAGATCCAAACAGTGCACAATCTTCATTTTCGATGCTTCTTGGTGATGCTCCTCATCTTAATCGCCAGGTAAGCTTAGCTAATTCAGGGCTGATCATATTCATCATCTGTTTTTCAAGATGGTTGGTAATAATATCATTCGACAGTACGCTGTGTTCGGGAAAGTAACTAAAGGAGATGAAACATTGAGGAAGCTAGAAGAAGTTCCCACTCGTCGTGAAGGGATTTTTGTAATGGTATGTCTCCATCTCCAAGACTACTAGCCTTTCTAAACCGGCTTTTTTAGTTGGATTTCAACGGATTTTGGTTTGTTGTTACCTTCTCCTTTGCAGCCGACGGAGAGGATCACGATTTTGTCGACATACTATTACGGTAAATGTAGTCAAATCCTACTCTACTTCAGTTTGTTTGTTAGCTAAAATATTTCTGATAACTTCTTCTCCTGACGTTTGATGCTGACATGGGACACTTCAATTATGGTTAACTACAGTCCATAAAGAGATGTGACTCTAGCCTGAATTGCTTTTAAATCTGGTCATTCATGTGTCCTAGGCGATAAGACTCAGGATTTATAGCCTTTTGGGACGATAGCTTCTATTTTGGATCATAATAGAATTAATGCTGATGACTAAAAACCTCTATTAGTACTCTTAATCAGACAAGTTGAGATCCCTTTTACATGTAATTCAAGGGGTTTTTAATTCTTATAATCTTTTTTCCTTAGACACTGAAATGGATAGCTGCGAAGAGGAGCGATCTGTCCTTAAAAGAAGGCTTCAAGCATCTTTTGTAGAGGTGGAAAGACAGGTGATTTGAAATGTGTCTATAGATAACGTTTTTGATGAGAAAGCTCGACATTTTCATGAAAACTTCAACATTTATGGTCCCTTGTGTTTTGACAGAGAATGAACTGCTTCCCGTGAATCCGTGTAAAAAAGAAGACCTTTGCTTAAGTAAGAACAGAGCCTTAAACGCCAGGGAACACAAAGGTTAATGTGTGTCTAGTAAAAAAGAAGAAAAAGTCGACATCTTTATTTATTTTTGCTGTTAGAAGACTGAGGATGATATACAGATTCAGATAAGTTTTTGAGTTTAACAGTGAAAACCGGTTCAGAACATTTGATAATGGTTTGTTTCCTTGAGGGTCTGCAAAATCTGATTCAACCGGGACAAAATCCCAGGTTCTGAGCACCAAATAGTCAAATTCTGATCTAGGGAAAATAGCTCCGGAGGATATAGCAACAACACATGTGCTCTGCTTTTGTTTTGTGTTCTTCTTCTTCTTCTCTCTCTCTTAAAAAACAAGGCGTGTCTCTCAATTCACACAAATAGTCTTTTCACTTTCGTTGACTTTTGTCTCTTCCTTTCTCCTCCTTTTTTTTTGTCCTTTTCCTCTTAAGTTTCATCAACTCTGTTTTGTTTTTGGTCTGAAAATCCAAACATTACTACCTCTTCCGCATTAAAGGAGATGGCTTGTTATGTCTGTTGTTTAGGGTTCTTAAAAAATAAAATTAAGACCCAAAAACTTAGGAAGGGGGTCATATGATATTTGATTAGAACCAATGGGTTAAAACAAGTGTTTTGTTGGTGTGACAACTTTAGGTGACCCACACAGTACTTGTTTAGCCCATTGGTTGCAACTTACAAAATTTAATATCCAGGGATTATACAAATCAATTGTCTATTAGTAAATAAAATCTAATCTGACACGTGATTTGATTCAGAAATCCATTTTGTAATCAGAATCACATCGCATTCGATTTCTTTACCAATGCATTTGCGGTGTCGGAATCCTTGAGTGAACTGGGTTTTTCGTTCACGTGGTCAGAGAAACTAACCACTTGAGAATATAATAAGTTAATAGCAACATTACTTTCTTTTCTACGTTCGCAATCTTTGAAACCTTTCAGTCAAGACTTTTCCTAGTGAACCTTAAAATTTCATAGTTTGCATACACACATTTTAGAGTAAATGTACCTTGAAATTATGAAATTAGTAATGATATAGTAGTATGACGCAAGTGTTTTTGGATGATTTTACGCTTTAACTATCTCCGATAAATTTTACGTCTGTGTAGTAAATTACAACGTTCACGTGGTAGTTTAGCATTCTGTGTGATAGATTAGAAATTAAAGCTCCATATTAACAAATTTGGCGTATACATAACAAAATAACATATACACGAGAAAATCACATGTCTTGTAAAAATGAAATGAGATGAAAAATTCTAAAAATAAATAAATAAACAAAACACAACCTGGTATGTCACATCGTTGCTATTTTCCTAATGTTCATCTTTATTTTTGTAACATTCCGATTTCCGGGTAGTCGGAAAGGCTTATAAGAATTAATTTGGCTACATATGTCAACAAAGTGCACTTATCTTTTCCGGTTAAGTGTGTTGAGAGAACTCCAAAGTTAAGCGTGCTGATGCTGGAGTAGTCTCAGGATGGGTGATCTACCGGGAAGTACTCTGCGGTACCGTGCGAGTGAGGACAAAGCACGGGGAAAAATCATGTGATGATTGCAGGGGCAGTAGACAAGTCTTACGAGCCTTCCGGACTAACGACTCCCGACCGTCGGACAATGGTGGGCCAACGTGCCTAGAGAGGGCGTTGGGCTCACTGGGAGGAGCGGTTGGGAGGAGCGGTTGGGAGGAGTTAGGATTGATATCGCCGGTCCGCGCCTGGTTCCTAAAGGAAGGGTGGGATGGGATGTCACAAGTGGTATCAGAGCCGACACCCAACCTCGTGTGTGGAGTCGTCATGTGGCCTCACACCGTAACAGGGTGAACGATCCTGGTACAAGCATTGTGGGGGTAAAGAGAGAATTCGGGGACGAATTCCTTGGAAGTCGGGGAGAATTGTAACATCCCGATTTCCGGGTAGTCGGAAAGGCTTATAAGAATTGATTTGGCTACCTATGTCAACAAAGTGCACTTATCTTTTCCGGTCAAGTGTGTTGAGAGAACTCCAAAGTTAAGCGTGTTGATGCTGGAGTAGTCTCAGGATGGGTGATCTACCGGGAAGTACTCTGCGGTACCGTGCGAGTGAGGACAAAGCACGGGGAAAGATCATGTGGTGATTGCAGGGGCAGTAGACAAGTCTTACGAGCCTTCCGGACTAACGACTCCCGACCGTCGGACAGTGGTGGGCCAACGTGCCTAGAGAGAGCGTTGGGCTCACTGAAAAGGGCGGTTGAGGGGAGTTAGGATTGATATCGCCGATCCGCGCCTGGTTCCTAAAAGAGGGTGGGACGGGTTGTCACACTTTTTTGTTACTCTACGTTTTATTGTGATTTGAGGATAAAAAAGAATACAACTTGTCCTCGAAACACTGCCATTGTCCTAATGGTCATCACTTCATCTTCTTCTTTTTTAAAAAAAAATTATTTTACTCTACATTTTGTTGTGATCTGAGATGAAATTTTATCTTTTATGTCAAACCCGATCCGAACCAAAGATATTATCTTTTTTTTTTTGTTTTTTTTTTTGCAGTATCATTGTTTGGGGATTGAATGGATTTCCTTTATTGCAAGTCGCAGTCATAAGATGATTATTACTCGCTTGTTTTTCTATCAATGGCTTAAAACTATCTTGTTTGTTTCCAAGTAGTATTTAATTTGAATAACTATGATTTTTTTTGTTTTGTTTTCTAACGTATTTTGTAATAACTACTGGCCAAATAGTTATGGCTGAGTGAGATATACATTGTTATACCTTCAGATATTATCTGGCCAGCTTTCTAAATTTATTTATTACATATATCGTTGATATATTCCAACAATTAATATTTACATATTGCAATGTGTACACATCAATGCATTGAGAAATTGGTACAGAAATTGGTTTTTATGAGAGGACAACAGAGGCAGAACATCACATGAGGCTTCATATATACACCCTACATTTTTCTATATCATTTTTGTTTTCATAAAAATTGTAAGAGCCTTGTGGGTTTCGGACAAATGTTCATGTTTGGATTGGTCAGATAAATTTGTAAACATGTTAATATTTGCACAGATCACCAAATGTTAAATTTTGGTATGAGTATATCTGTTTTGGGTCAGGTTCAAATGTACTCTTCACTTCTAATGCTTCTCTGCATTACATTTACCAAGTAATATATAATATAGGACCAGATAAGATTTATTCTTCCTTCCACGAAATGTTTCAACACATTTTTTTGCTTGCTTGTATTTAGTATCATAACTCATACACTGAAATATGATTAATTTCACAGTTTTAAATCAACTTAGTAATATGAAAATGTTAAGATATTGAGAATTTGAAAAACAAGAGGGGTAGAATGAATAAAGACCAATTCTAACTTTTTCTTATGCTATAATTTTTTTAAGTTTTAGATTCATATGTCTCTTTGAACCAAGACCAGAGCATACCAAGAAACTTTTTAATACGATTAGCAGTAACAAAAGTCTTACTCAAATGTAGCTATTGAAGAAGGGTCCAGAAGAATTATAATTATAACTAGAAGATATATAAAAAATTATCATAAATAACGTATCATATAAATGAGGTTTGTATATATCTTATTGTAATATCATTATTTACAGAATAGGCTGATTGCCACATATATAATTGTACGTATTGTAACCATTGTTCTTTGATGGAAACATAAGACTCCACTTTGATGGTCATGTGTTGGTCCGGATTGATCCATTTTAATACCTCTAAATGGGATTTTCTACATGTGGATACCTATTTAACCTCTTAAACTGATTGTGTATAAATAATGTAACTAAATTTAATAATTTTCTGAATATATTTCAAAAATGCATCTTCTTTTTTCTTTGTATATATGTGGTTGGCGAAGAGTCAAGTTTGTGCGATATCATTTCATATTGAGAGATCAATTATTATCATATCTAGATTTCATTTAACTTAATCATACTATAAAGTAGAACGCAATCGGATTCGATCTTGAGGAATCCTGATCCTACCTACATTCAAGTTTGTTAAATGTAGGCCAGGAAAACGCCACATATAGACACACGTATTTCGTACAATAATAAAAGAGTTTATTAGTATTTAAACAAGATTAGGGAGATTCTCTGCGTCATCCGAACTCCAAGAACGTTGTTTAGTAATAATAATCAGAAAAATCTCTGGAACATCGTCCTTACACTGTTCCACAAGTAACTGAATATACATGTATTAGTATATATGCTTCCATCAATGTAAATGAATTAAAATAATGGAGATGATTTATAAACTATATTATTTTTGTTTGTAAATGAAAGAAAAAAAAACAGAGATTGCGAGACAACACATGCCATGTTTTAAAATCTCGGGGATGGGTTGGTTTTATCGTTATATGTCTTTGACCGTCAACAATGTGTGGCTCCTCGAATCGTTTTTTTAACCTTTTAACCCATACTATGAAATGTCCGCAACTATTTACTTGTGATGTGATAAGCATCTTCCTCATTGAAATCTTGACATTGGTCGGTCTAGGGTTTGCCGCAAACAGATATCTAGCCAATCCAGAAATACTACACAACTTTTAGTACTAGTACCTAGCTGGTAGTAGTCATTTATTAACTTCTTAAGTTCATATTTATTCGAAGCATAATTTTTTTTTTCCTAAACATTAGAAAAGGACTAAATTAAATTTATGGGTTTTAATGACGTAATTAAAGTCAGCAAGAAGGGCATAAAATTAAGAGATTGGGTGGTTCCAAATTAATAGGAAAGCTACTGATCTCGGACTGCGTGTAAAGGTAGGTCTCATTAATAGCATATGCATGTTGTATTCACTCCGCCGGAAATGAACCGTAATTTATCTTCAGCTTCCTTTTCCAATTTAACCCTTAAGTTTCGGTTGAATATTGACTGGGACGAATCAAGATAGTCTTACTCTATATCCAACTTCTCTATAGCGTTTAATGTGGTTTCATCAGTGTATTTTAGGTTGCATGTGTGTATATCCGAATCTGAACCAAAGTAAACGCTTCTAATTGGATGTTTCTTTTCAAAGTAATCCAAGATGTTGAGTTAGTTTTTGGTACAAGTAATCTGTTCTGTAGCTTTGGGGTTATTGTCAAACCAAACATGGACATACTAGTTTTCACACTAAATTGCTATCAAACTAAAATCAAATTAAGCCAATCCAATTAATAAGACAAAATACATATTTCCTTCAGCTAAACGTTTTTATGTAAAGTAATATTATCGTAAGTTAGTAAGTATTAAACTATTTGTTTATATATATATATATATATGTCCATGTGGATTACAGTTTCTTTTTACGATAAATTAAAAAAAAATGAATTAAATCAAACATCTATGTACCACATGAGAAACCGAAAAAACAACAAATCAAATTGAAAATCAAAACATCCAACTCTACATCTACCACATGATACTGAAATTTTATGATACTGAAAGTTAAATTTTGAAAAATCAAAGTTGTCAAGTGTAATGTCGTAACATGATCCGTATTTTGCTTCAACATTTCTATGTCTTTTCTTGTACTATATGTCCTACACTCTTTTGATGATATAGACCACCACACTAAAGAAAAAAAGTTATAGGATTACTATTATAAATTACGCAAATTTTCTTTTATCGTGTTTTGTACATACATTGTAGAATTCATTTTTTGTTTCTTCAGATATTTGGATGACGTTACATCAAAATATATAGTTGTATGAAGAACATAGTTATACGTGATTCAAGCCCATAGAAATTCCCTTAGAAAAAATTTAAATTTATACATACATAGTTAAGAAAAAGAAGAGGAAGTGATTAAAAAAAGGGACAAGGAAGTAATACATATAACGTGGGGATGCAATGGTGAGACTGACAGAGAGAGAAGGCAAAGAGGGACAGTTTAGTTTGGCGATAAACACACATTTTGCCATTTTAAACCCCACTTGATCCCTCTTCTCCTTTCCATGGCCCTCTCTCCTTTTCTACGTCACTTTCCCTTCTTATTTTAATTCTTTGTTTTTTCTCATTGTTTATTATACTCGTATGCGTAGAGCCAAAACTGTTGCAATGAGTTATTTCTACTTGGCCTGATTTTGGAAGACTCTGTAGCACCGTGGACTGACTTTGATTTAGTTTTGAATTTACATACGAGTGCGGATCAGTCCATGGTTTAACTTAACGTTACATACAAAGGAAAATGGGTTGAATTAGCCGGTTTGATCCGTCTCCATCATGACTGATTTGGTCCTATATGGATTTGATAAAAGATGGCTTTTTTTTTCAAGGCAGCGGATAAAAGATGGCTCTAAAATTTAAAAACACATAAATAATTAAAAAGCCATCTACGTATAAGTTACCATCACATCATGATTGTTTATTAAGTTGGGCTATTTTGGTAATAAGTTATCACAACCACATAATCAGATAGACTACAAAACATATTTGGTAAAATATATATCATAAACTCTCAATAAGACCGGTGGCCTGAAATAATAAATGTTTGCGCATAATATGGAACCACATCTAAGTGCACTTACCTTTATCCGTATATTGGTTACTCGTGTGTTATATATTGAGAAAAAGGAAGAATGCAGCTTTGAATTTCCAATTATGATTGTTAAGTTGAAGTTGATACTATGCCATGTGAATAGCTCGATAGAAAGAAGGTTAAGTGGAACAGAATAAGAAAAAGATAAAAACTCGACGTGCTTGTGTTTTACACATGTAACAATCAAGACGTTGGTCTCGTGAGAAAGTAAGTTTAGAAGCTTACCCAAAATAAACAGTATCTTTTTGTACTAAGCGATAATGAAAAAAAAGAAAAACTGAGAAGAAATAATAATAAATAGGTGAAAGCTAAATACAATCTTATTAAAGAAACATAACCCACACCCTCCCTCCATGCACTTGTCTCTTCTCCATCTTCTTCTCCTTCTCCTTCTTCTTCTTCATATTCTCTCTCTTCATAAATTTGCATTATAAAAACACATCCACTTTGCTCCTCCTCCTTCAACACAATCTTCTTCTTCTTCTCCACTCTCATTCTCTCTCTCTCTGACACACTAACTACTTATCCCTCCTGCATTCTCCCATCTCTCTCTCTCTCTCTCTCTCTCTCTCTCTCTCTCTCTCTCTTTACACACAATTATATTAAGAAAGAAGATGTCGAGCAGAAGATCATCACGTTCAAGACAGTCAGGTAGTTCAAGAATCTCTGACGACCAGATTTCCGATCTTGTTTCTAAGCTCCAACACCTCATCCCTGAACTCCGCCGCCGCCGTTCTGACAAGGTAAATACTTCAAAAATCCATTTTTTTTAATTTATCTTTCTCGCAATTCAATACATACATACATACATATGTTCCTTGTTTGTATGGGTATATATCTAAGTTAGTGCACATGACTTAGAAAAGTTCAGTGATTCTTTGAATTTGTTTTTGTTTTAAAGTTCAAATGAATCGGAACCATATAGTAAAATATAACTATTTAATATGCATGGTGAAATTCAACGGCGTCTATTGTAAATACATGTGGCCTACAATTAACTATTCGTAGATAAAGTAACATTAATTCACAGCCTCATTTATGCATATATCTTTTTTGTTCCTTGAATGTTTTTTGTGCATTTAATTTCACAAGTTGGTGGTGTGGGACTGAGTTTGTTCCCTTCCTGTTTCCACGTACCTTAACTCCATGTCTCCTCATTACTCTTCTCTACCTGTATACTCACCATAATTCTATATATAGATGAGAAATAGGATTTATTAAATAGTGGCCGTTTATACCGTTGTGCACATTGAAGTGGTAATCATGAGAATTTGTTCTCTCTATTAAACTTTCAAGACATCTATGAAATTGTTACAAAGAAAAGGAAAAGCAGTAGCACATGTTGTCACGTACTCTCCTTTTTTGAACTTGAAAAGGAAATTTGATACTGTCACGTACTCTTTGCGAGGATCTAATTAAATGATCGTTGTTTTGTACTTTAATTAATAATTTTTTCCACGAATAAATGGACAGGTGTCAGCATCTAAGGTACTACAAGAGACTTGCAACTACATCAGGAACTTACACAGAGAGGTTGATGATCTCAGTGACCGTTTGTCGGAACTCTTGTCTTCGACGGACGACAACAGCGCCGAAGCAGCAATCATTAGGAGCTTGCTTAATTATTAAAATTCTCGTTAATTAATCTGAGAACTATTAATTATCTCTTTCCGCCACGAAATTTATCTTATTATTATGAGTATTTGTTTCCTTCTACTTCATATATATTATGATATAGCTAGGGTTTCGGGTCATTGTTAGGCCAACTCATATATATGGTTTATGTATGTATGTATGCATCTTAATTGTATGTGAGGGTCCAGACCTGGCTGTATAGTGGCCTGTGTATCATGAGACCCTCTAATATTTATGATTAATGACACAGTCCGTTTCCGTTTTTAGTAATGATCAACTGTTATCCGTTTTTTTTGTAAATATGTTGTTTATGTATGTGTATGTCAAATGTTTTAGGCAAATAAATATAGTTCTTATTATAAACCAAAAATAAATAAATAAATATAGTTCTGTTTGGAAGTTTATACAATATAAAAACGTGGAGAAGAAGTGGCTGAATTTAAGTTGTTTATAAAATCTGATAGTAACAGACGAAAACCTCGATGTTTTCGAGGTCGTTTAGTTTGATTAGATTATGTTATTTTTAATATTATCTATGGTGTATGGTCTGGTCGTGCCACTTTATCCAAATCCCCATGCATGTGATCATTAATGTGTGATCTTCGTCGTGTATTATATGGAGTAAAATATATAACACGTATTATTGACTCGATAACTACGGTAATAGCGTAGTGTATTTAAAAGATATATCATTTATTTTAACTTATGAACACACACACACACATCTATAAATGATCTATACGATTCCATGTAATGAAACTTTACCAGATGAATTTCATATCTCGCTGAATACGAAAAAGCATTTTCTGAAAATCATTAGGTATATTCGTACTTAAAAAGATAATATATGGAATGCAAGAAGTCATACTAGCTTAAAGTTAATATATTTGACATATAGAGGCTGCAGGCAGATCAAATACTACGCCTGAAATTACATATAGTCATGCATATATACCAGCTATCCCTTACTCTTTATCTTTTTGGCCACTGATATTTTATTTATGAGAACAGACGACTACGTGCATATGTTTTAGAAGAATTCAAAAAAAACGAAAAAATTACTTGAAGAAATGCGCGCGATAATGTGATACACGGTCATGGGATGGTACTGGTAACTGGTAACAAGTTTTTAATGATAATTTTTCCAAATTTCCTTGTTTTCAAGCTATTAGAATAAACTTACACGAGATGGTATGAACATGTTCAAAAAACAAAACTTACAATGAGATGGTATTGTGTCTACAAGGAACTCATCAAAATATCTGACAAAAAAACAGGAACCCTCTTAAAATTTCCGGAACAGTTACCATTACGATCAGCCCTAAATCATTAGATAATGAGCCTTGGCCCAATGATGTTAAAAAAAAAGCTTTAGCCCAATTTTGGCTAGATTTCTCTTTGTTGTTGGAATATCATACTATTTATTAAGCAACAATAGAGAAACAATTGAAAAGTAGAAAATAATTAATTTTATTATCAAACCAACCAAAAATATGTATAGAAACTGGACTCGCATAGAAATGGGCCTTGTGTCGAGACACAATCTGCAGTGGTGGAGAACTCTTGATCCCCGGAAAGTCTAATTTACCTATCGTACGTAGATAAACGGTCATGCATGTTCTTTTTATAAAAAGGTTTTCAAAGAAGAAGTCTAATCATACCAATATCATAGAAGAGAATCGCCATGCTTTGTTAAAGAGTATGTAAGGCCTTAAGGGTTCGCATATACTTCTTGACGAAAAAAAACAGAAGTTTTATTCAAGATAGAATGTAACAAATCTACTAAAAGTTAATTTTAAAATATCCTAGTAATGTTTACCAAAAAAAAAAAATATATATCCTAGTACTTTTATAGTTTTACGCTTTTGGCTAGATTACGTGGTATATTCTAGCAACCCTACAAAATATGTTTTTTTTATCTTTCACAGCTGTTGGTTTCCATAGTAAACTGGATTCCTCCACCAACCATTTGGATACCAACGATAAATACAAAATACAGTATTAACGTTCTTAAAAGTGATTATATAAAGAAAGGTAAAAAAACCAAAATCAAGGTTGGAATATATGTAGTACTCGTTATCAATTTGGTATCTACAAATATGATATTTCAGTACTCTTTTAAGTCGAGCTACGAACGCAATTATATCAAGATGATCAAATCAAAGTTTTTTAAATAAGTTGAAAATATTTCTATCGGTTGAACTAATTACACTTGTTAAATATTGGACATAATAAAAATATTTTACTCCTTCCGTTTCACAAAGAGTGTCGTTCTGACATTTTTCACACAAATTAAGAAATAAAATAAAAAGTCTCTTATACCCTTATTAATTTGCAGAAAATGACTTTTAGAATCATATTTATAATTAATTTTCTGAATTTATTGAGGTTAAAAATGATATTTTATGTTAAAAATGACATTGGAATTCTAAAACGATATTCTTTTTGAAACAAAAAAAATGTCAGAACGACACTCTTTGTGAAACAGAGGGAGTAACACTTTAGCAAAAAAAAATTATATAATCTTAGTACCAAATTCGTACGTGATCCAAAAAAACTCAAATGCAATATTTATGACACAAATTTTTCCAATTTCAACTTCGAGAGCTATTTACTTTTCAAAATACTCATATATATCAACCATAAATTTTATAAAAAATAAAAAATTCAAATACCTGATGGTTGAAAGATTCATTTCACAAGAATAAAGATTAGAGTTGTTCTATTGCGAGTTCAATCATAATTGACTACTATTAATGTTTGAAGTGATAAAAGTACTCAGTTATTTGGTATCCTAAACTATGTAAATGTTAAGAGTCCGATACAGATATCATGTTCATGTATCTTCCAAAATACAATCCCATATATATCCACCCCTCCGAAAAACTAATTACAATCTTTGGTTTTCATCTCTCTCAGCTTCGAGTCTTGTCTCCTTTTTTCTTTTCCTTTTCTGTTTGGACGTCTTGTCATTTTATATAGCTCATATAATTTTTTTATATAGCTCATATATCATAATAAAATAAGAAAACCATATTTCTAGCCTAGCTATTAGCCTATAAGTGGTGTATAGTCTAAGCCGATTCATTTCACCAGCAGCCTTCTTCTTCTGTATTTATTTTATCAAGTTATCAATAACATTTCAGATTCTGAGTTCTCTACTCTGAACCAAGACAAGGTGGAGAAGAAGAAACGATCAAAGAGCAAGACTCAACAGGAGAGATCAGAGATGACTTGTAATAATGGCTTAGCATTTTTCCCTGCAAATTTCAGTCTCCAAAACCATCACCAAGAAGAAGAAGAAGATCATCCTCAATCTCTTCTTCCTTCTTGCACTCTACCTCAAGACTTCCACGGTACCTCACAGTAAACACCATTTTCAATAATTTATCTACTCCTCGCAATTTCTCACGATCTGCTCTGTTTTTTCAGGGTTTCTTGGTAAGAGATCTCCGATGCCGAACGTAGAAGGATTTTGTAATTTAGAGATGAATGGAGAAGAAGAATTTTCAGACGATGGATCTAAGATGGGAGAGAAGAAGAGGAGATTGAACATGGAGCAATTGAAGACGCTAGAGAAGAACTTCGAGATTGGTAATAAACTCGAATCAGATCGAAAATTAGAGCTGGCTCGTGCCTTGGGGTTACAGCCTAGACAAATCGCCATTTGGTTCCAAAACAGAAGGGCTCGATCCAAAACTAAACAGCTCGAGAGAGACTACGATGCGCTCAAGCGTCAATTCGAGAGTCTCAAAGACGAGAACGAAATTCTTCAAACTCAAAACCAAAAGCTTCAGGCTCAGGTAATAAATAAATAAATAAATAGACTTTATAATACAAAATGTACTCTGTTTTGCTTTGTTTTTTTTTTTTAAATTTTGGTTTCCGTAAAAATTGAATCTTTCTCCATTGCTGGTTAGATGGTAATTCTCTGCACATTGTAGCACTGCTCTGTCACTTTTTTTTTTCAATTCGAATTTCACTAAAAAAATGAATCTTTTGTTATTGCTGAATCGAAATTCTCGGAACTTTGTAACAGTACTCTGTTTTTTTTTTTTTTCACTTAGATTCAAAACTCTGCTCTGTTCTTTGTTTTGCAGGTAATGGCATTGAAATGTAGAGAACCAATAGAATCAATCAATCTGAACAAAGAAACAGAAGGTTCATGTAGTAACAGAAGTGAGAACATCTCAGGTGACATCAGACTGCCGGAGATCAACAGCCAATTCGCCGGAGGCCATCAACCTTCTTCCCCGACGACTACGACGGTGCAGTTTTTTCAGAATTCGTCTTCAGAACAGAGAATGGTGAAAGAAGAGAACAGTATCAGCAACATGTTCTGTGGAATGGATGACCAGTCTGGGTTTTGGCCATGGCTTGACCAGCAACATTACAACTGAATGTGGTCGATAATCCTTATTTGTTTTATTTTTCCTTAATTTTTTTTTTTCGTTTTTAAACTGATCAGACGAACCCATTTCATGTTTCAAAGTTCTACAATGAGCCTTTATGCAACAAATAAGCAAAATATCACACTAGTTTTATTTTGGCAATGAGAATGGAGGAATATTTATCATACTTTAGTAATAATTAATCATATGGGGCCAATGATTAGACCCTAAAAAATCTGAACCATGTGGTTGCATATCGTACAACTCATATCCAGAAACGCTAGGAATTTTTTTTGTAAGAAAACCCACCAAAATAGACTTTCCCATGAAACAAGTTATTAATATGTTATCAATGAGGCTCTATATTAACGACAGAAACTTAAAATATATAAAGAATACTTTATCAAATTTTTTTTAAAGAATAATTACGAAACCTTACATAAGGGCTACAATATTTTCTTCTGACGACGCAGATCATGAATTTCGAAGTTTACTTTAATTTTCACTGTCCCCATAACAATGTTTTCCGCACTTTCATGCTTATTGAAGCTCTTGTATAAATGAACTTTTACGTCGGTGACATATTTAACTGAAACTGTATAATGCATAGTATAAAATGTAAGTGTGAAAGGAGTGACGGAGAGAGCATTAAGTTACAGATTCTGAGGAGAGGATGCGGACAAATAAGGTTGAAAAGTGGTCATTCTCTTTCTGAAAATGGACCCAACACTTTTTTACCCTTTTATCTACACTGACATTTGCCCAACAACTCTTAAGGAGTGCAAGTTATTCAAAATATGATAAACCATCTCTCTCTTGACCAAAAAAATAAACCATCTCTTAGGATAACAAATATTTATTTGGTTATATAATTTAATGACGAAAATATTTATATGCTGTTCATCACCCTTTCATGCTTTCGGGAAAAGATGTAATATATTTCAGACAAATTCTAAACGTTTTTCAAAATTTTCAAATAATCCACATGGTTAAACTGGTATATGTTATCATAGGAGACGAGACTCTTTTGAATGTATGCTCGATCAAGTTATCATTTGAAAAGTACGACCAGTAACAACTATGTAAAATACAAAATTGAATTGGAATTGCATTTCATATAAAAACTAGTGGATATTAAAGAAAAGTAATTAGACTTTCATTGCTGTGCAAAAGATTATTTCATTAGCGATTAGTTTACGCCTACGGGATGGGTTAAAATATTGTTTGGGGAACAAGAAAGCGACAGAATCTGAAAACCAAGAGGATTATTTTTGTATTTAAACGCTGACAACTAAAGGCCGAGGGAGATCAAGCTTGTAAAATGCGCCATTTTGGATTAGTTAATTCAAGAATCTTCATGGGATCATGTGCCTTTCTTTAATCTAATAGTTTCAGCTTTAATGCAAAGATCATAAAATATTCTATCATACGTAAATTTAATATTTTTTTGTCGTTTTAAGTGATATTTCTACAGATGCCAACACGTATTTCCACTCCTCTAAGAGCAAAATTATTTAAATTAAACACATAAACCAAAATTAAGAAATTAGAATTGCCTGTAAAGACGAACTCTGTATGTAGCCATGTGCATGAAGGTTTAGTTCCGTAATTAAGTACTCATTTCCAATGGACAAGCTAGCCGCTCAACTACATAAAGTAATTAACAATAGATAAAGAGTACCGTTCATTGTTGTTTTAAATCATATGTTGTTATACATCACCAGGAACTTAATTTGGAAACTATTTAATTAATTCTTGGTGGAATGGTATGTTCCATCCGTTAGCTACAAGCAGCAGCGGAAATTTGCACATAATTTGGCATTGTATACTGCCTATATATTTTTATAAATAATGTTTAAAATTTTGTGGGATTCGGGAGAGTAATACTTGGAACTAAGTAGATATAGAAACATTAGATAATATATAAGAGATTTGGGATCAACATATTTATTTTGAATTGGAAACTTATAGTAAATTCAACAATATTTATACATTAAAAAAAAGGAAAAAAACAGAGGTGGGATTGGGATGCATGTGACCAGCAATGACATGAGGATAGTGGTTCGATGTTTTGGACTTTGTTTAAAGAGTTGGCAAATGATCATTCGTTGCCATTTCATATTGCAACGCTCTTTAATAGTATTTTTCTTAGTGAACAAAAATATTAGTATTTCTCTCATGTCAATGGTCGAAATTATAATAACTTTTAGGTCTATATAGTTGTATACACACACATGCGGGGACCAAGTTGGACTTTAAAAACCGACTTTCGCGACGAATCTTCTCATCTACCGGGTAAATACATAATCAACACTTACAAAGTATCTGATCTCCACAAATCCTCTTCGAGTAACAATTTTAGATTGCTAGATGCATGCATATGATGAGTAAATGTAAGTGCTTCCAGAAATTTTACAAATATTTTCTCATTCAATAAAGTATTTCAAATATTCTCTTTCAAAAGAAAATTATTTCAAATATTTTTTAGTTATGATATATTTGACCTTTTGAACGGATTTAATAAAGTTATGACATAGTATACTATAATTGGCAAATAAATAAATACATTTGTCATAAATTTGATATATCCCTTACCCGATCAACTGTGAACGTGTCGGAAATCAGCAACACATATAGGGCCATTCCAAAGATTAATTGGGCTTTAGGATGAAACTCACTCATATATAACGTACCCGGTGGATACTAACTCTCTCCTGGACTGTAAATATGCAAAGAAATCTCCGATCAATATTTAGTGTGATAATAATTAAACATTTGAAAACTAGACGTAAAATGATAGATTTCTCAGTTTTAGTTAACCATAAAACTAAATGTGAAATAACGTTTTTAGCTTGCATAGTGAAACTGAATTGAGAAGACATCTTAAAGTTGGAAACAAGATAGGTTTCGGTACACTTTGTAAATATACGCTAAAATTTGATGTAAATAAATAATAATATTGGGCTTATTAAAGCCCAAGGTATCTCAAGGCAGAGAATAGATGGGAGAATAGATTGAAGATATGTATTTTTTGTTTTTTTCTTTTCTTATGATGCTGCGTGATCTTATATAATGATTGTTATCTATTAGAAAGGGGACAGAGCGTACACGTTTGTTCCCCTCGTAAACACATGTTTCCATTTCAATTAAGGCCCAAAAAAAAAACCATTTTCACGTGTTAGTTTTTTAAAATTTCCGATTTATTTGGTTACATATTAATATACACAACGTTAAAGACTATAAATAAAGTTGTACAACGTATATGGTTCTGGTGAAGCAATTCTATTTCGCTGACCTGACCACTAAAAACTATAATACAACGAATTCTACATAATGTTATACTAATCTAGCCCATGAACAATATCCAGCCCAGTGTAAATGCTTCGTCAAAACATTACTCCATATTACAAAAATGAAATGCTAGGAACTAAAGTTGAGTAAAATATTAAATATATCTTGGATAAGTTGATATAGATCAGGCCAGTAATGGGTGGTGCACACGTTTGTATCGGTTTGACCAACATCAATTACAAAGACCATCTCAAAATTCCTTCCCTTTTGTATTTTACGTTTTTCCTTTTTGTTTTAATATCCTCTCTTTCCTTTTCACATCACCCTGTCTCTATCCTCTGTTTCTTCTTCCCATTTTCCCTCTGTTGTTTTTCTTTTCTGCCTTCATCAAGATTTATAGCCTCACATCGTTGCTTAAGCAAACACGATATGATTTCAGTTTTTTTCTTTACCTGATCTTCTTTAATGGGCAATTGCTTTGGTTCTTCTGCAAAAGTAGATAGCAGAGAAACTCCTAATCGTGGTATGTAACAAGAAGACACCCCTTCTCTCCTCTCTCAATTTTAATCATTTGTTATATTTTTGCCGCTAATTATGAGTCTTGATCAATTGAGATGAGACTTCTTTGACTAGAGAAACTGTTGATCATTCATCAGGATCTTCAAGAATCTATGCCAAACCGAGCCAATCATCCCGGTTTTCAAGCCTAACAATACCATCATCATCATCTTACTACGATGACAGGAGTCCCACGTCTCTTCCAACACCAAGAAGTGAAGGAGAGCTCTTAGCATCTCCCACACTAAAGGCCTTTACGTTTAATGATCTAAAGACAGCAACTAGGAATTTCAGACCCGATAGTGTTATCGGTGAAGGTGGTTTCGGTTATGTCTACAAAGGATGGCTAAACGAACGCACCTTATCGCCTGCAAAACCAGGATCAGGCATGGTCGTTGCTGTTAAAAAGCTTAAACCAGATGCGCCTCAAGGACACAAGGAGTGGTTGGTATGCTCATTGACTCTCATTTCCTTCTGAATATATCAGCTTTAGCCATAGAAACCAAAATCGAAATTTTAAAAGGAATTGTTGATTTTTACAGGCGGAGGTTGACTATTTAGGGCGGCTTCACCATATGAATCTTGTGAAACTAATTGGATATTGCTTGAAAGGTGATTACATTCGGCTTTTGGTTTATGAGTACATGCCCAAGGGAAGCTTAGAGAATCATCTCTTTAGACGTAAGTAAACTTGTCCCCCAAGTAAGGTAGATTGTCTCAAATTGTCTAGAGTCCCTATTAAATTTTATATTTAATGTTTGAAAACATACTTATAGAATTTAGGGGCCCCATATTTAAATATAAACTCAGAAGCTTCATTTAGAAACTATAATATGTTGAAATCGAGGTCTGGTTATACTTTGTAGGTGGTGCAGAGCCGATTCCGTGGAGAACAAGGATGAAAGTGGCGATTAATGCGGCGAGAGGGCTTGCCTTCCTTCACAATGCTCAAGTCATATATCGAGACTTCAAGGCCTCCAATATTCTACTTGATTCGGTATGGTCGATGAGTTAACAAATTTTAACATGTGTTTAGTTGTCAAATTTCTATGTATTAGATTTTTTTAGGTTTAATAGTAAATGCATAAGGCACTCTGGTTAACAATTTGGTTTCTGTTCAGCTGTTATCGGTTTCATCGATATCATAGAAAGTGAAACCAAATATAAAAGCTATATGTAGTTTTGTTTGATATAATTTCATTTTGGAATTTTGTCTAGATTTCAGTTTAATTTTAGAAGGGAAAAAAAACAAAACTTTGTATTCATTGTAAAACATGCTTTTCTAACCAAAACTTTACATTCCAAGTTTCTAACCACACACAAAACTAAATCCGTTAGAATAAAACACATTTTGATTAAAAAAATTTCTGTTTGGTTTGTATGCGCATCAGGAGTTCAATGCAAAGCTGTCTGATTTTGGATTGGCAAAAGAAGCACCAACAGGAGACAAAACACACGTATCAACCCAAGTGATGGGAACTCAAGGCTATGCAGCACCTGAATATGTAGCCACTGGTCGAATAACAGCCAAAAGCGACGTCTACAGCTTCGGTGTGGTCTTGCTCGAGTTACTCTCAGGACGTCCTACTGTAGACAAATCAAAAGTAGGAGTGGAGCGAAATCTAGTGGATTGGGCAATACCTTACTTGGGAGATAGAAGGAAAGTGTTTAGGATAATGGACACAAAGCTTGAAGGACAGTATCCTCACAAAGGAGCTGTTTTGGCTGCTAATACTGCTTTGCAATGTCTTAATCAAGAGGCTAAGTTGAGGCCAAATATGTCTAATGTGTTATCTACTCTTGAAGAGCTGGAGATGACGTGGAAGTCGTGTTCTACTTCGAACTCGGTTAAGACATTGACATCTTCTTCCTCTGCTCTGTCGGAGAAACGGAAAGTTAGAGCTCCTGGTGCTTCTCCAGTATTGGTTCGTCGGAGAGGTCCACGTGTCAGGTGAAGTAGCCACCGAAAATAGTTTAGGGTTTATGAATGTATGTACTTTTTGTTTTTGGAAAGGGGTTATACTACTGTGTGCGTTTTTGACTCTTAATATTTATATATTTATACATAATTCTTTGACTTTTGCTTTTATAGTTATATAACGTAATACTTATTTCCTAAAAGTAAACAGATTTCTATATGGTCACCAATGGTCGCCGATCTATCGTGAAAATAAATTTGAAATGAAACTGGACCGTTGGACAAGCATCGCTCCTATCGCTAGCTCGTTTGCTGAATTTAATATTATTTGTAATATATCCATAATATAAAGAAATAATTTCTTAAAAGATATTTTTAAAAAATAACATTTTTATCCAACCTTAGGATGACAGATAATTAATCTCATTTCAAACTTCAAGAGGCCATTTAATATATTTTATGGGGCTAGAAATTGCTTGTTAAGCTTACTTATGTGACTTATGTAGTTATGTCTGTTTGTCAACGCAAATATGCCCCTGAAATAAAACGTTTGCCAACAGGTTTTTGCATGTTCTTAGTTTTTTCCCTTGTCTCTTGGAAGGCGAAAAGATGGTAGACTATATATCTAGATCATCTGAAGAAGCTGAACACAAAAGTATGACTATTGTAGTAAGTGAAAATATTCAAAATGATATATAACTCAAAATTGAGGGAGCACCAAAGTAAAAGTTTCATGGTGTATTTCATGGTGTTATTTATGCTATTAATCAATACACCAGGAAAATATTTTAGCACCACTAGTGCAACTATTGCTCTATAATGATCTCTATATGCCATACTATATATGCTCCATAACTAAATAAAAAGAATAAAAAATTTGCAAGAAACATTTTTACACGACCATATTAACTCAAATTCAGACCAAAAATGGTCTTCTATGTATGCATTGTCCTTTATAAGCCACAGAAACAAAAAAAATGAAAACCTTAAACTTTAAAAAGTATGAATCAAGAAATATGTAAACCTTATTAATTCTTGTCTTCACAGGTTGAGATTCGTTGAATGGGTCCGGGAGTTCCCCCAAACACTTCAGTGGGTAACATCATAGAAAAATGTATTCCCAATGAAGTGCTCAGAGGAACTCTAGGAGACATCCAACCAAGACTCTTGATGCTTGTTTATATATATACAGTTTACCACTGCATGCATAAGGGTGGAACTATGTTGCTTGTTTATAAATATACAGTTTACCACTGCATGCATAAGGGTGGAAATATGAGTACAAGAGGTTGGTAGATGGTTTGAGAGGATGGAGGTAGTTCTTTTTCTATATATAGTTAAAGGGTTAGAGGAAAAACCCGAGAGAGAGAGAGAGAGAGAGAGAGAGAGAGAGAGAGAGAGAGAGAGAGAGAGAGAGAGAGAGAGAGAGAGAGAGAGAGAGAGAGAGAGAGAGAGAGAGAGAGAGAGAGAGAGAGAGAGAGAGAGAGAGAGAGAGAGAGAGAGAGAGAAAGAGAAAGAGAGAGAGAGAGATCACTGATGATGGGCAAGAAAAGCATTTTGAATATAGACGCAAATTGGGGTTAAAGGATTGAGTAAAAAGAGAATACGAATTTTGAAGAAAAGTCATTACGGCTTTTCACAAGATAGAAAAGATGTATACTCATAGAGATTCTGTTTTATACACATTTTTTCCCTGTGCTGATTAAAAGCATTTATATAAATCAAATCTTTATATATATAATAGTATTATATATATATATATTAAAGATCGATTGTTCTTAATGGAACAACTAGCTCATAAAAGATATTTTGACGAGCCGCATATGTGGCGCAACGCATGATATGTACCAAAGTCCAAAATATATTGAAATTGTAAAGTTTTGAGTTTTTCTTTAGTTCACAAATGTATTGCATTGTAAACTTAAAACTTAAATAGATAATACATGACAGAATCGATCAACAGAATTACAGGTATAACGGAGACGCATATGTATATATATATTCAAGAGTTTTCAAAGTTCTTGGATTTAAAATTAATTGTAGTGAGTGGTGTAATCCATAATTTTTGCTATATAACTTATTAGGTGAGGCCTAATCCTATATTTACTTTTCATTTAAATCAGCTTCCTGATGACTAAATAAGACTTTGATCCTGGCATGTCTAATATAACAATCAATTTCAATGTATGCGTATGTATTTACTAGTTATATTTCAAAGAAAACACAATACTTTAGTTTCTGGTTATCTTTCATAAAAGATTATGTAATTCACAGTGAAATGTAACTAGGAATATTACTTAGAACATTGATGTGATGAGTGTCAATAAAAAAAGAGGAGAAAAGACATCATATGAAGAGTCCATGCAAAGATGCAAAGCTTCTGTTCGTTTCAAAATATTTCCAAGTAAATTAAAGGAAAAAACTAATTATTCGGTCAAATTCATAACGAGGCCCAAGATTTGGACTCGATTCATTTTTTTTAAATTTCCACACGTTCTTCGATTGTATGATTCGAATATATGATTATTGGTCCCATTATAAAGAATCTCATTGGAAAGTGGAAGAAGTTAGAGACCCTAGCTTTTGCACTAATATATAAATAAGACATGCAGCTAGTCTGGTTTATTAGGAGTTAGGACAGAGCTAGAAGAAGAGAGTCAAATGTCCCCATGAGTTCCCTTTAACGCTTCATTGTAAATACTCAGAAAACCATTTATTTGATTATGTAATTAACACTGAAGTGTTTGGGGGGACTCTTGGTGCCATACTGGCGTTGACGTAGTTACTGTTGCCTCGGAGTTATGGTTTCTTCTAACTAAGTAAGCTCTCTAATTAGTATCCCAAATCTTTTCATGAATTTTCTCTCAAATGGTGTAGGTTAACCATATTGTGATGATAGAACCATATAGTGAATTAAACCAAACCTAATATTTAGATAATTCATTTTGGTTTCGATACAACTTAAAACTCATTCGGTTACCACTACTACTACATATATTTTGGTTTTGATTTCGGTTTGTTTGAAACAATAATAAAACTGATCGGTTTTCAAGGTTCATAAACTGAAATAATATCTTGGTTTAACTTTGGTTAGCTGGTTCAATTCAACAATGAATTTCGGAAATTAAAACCCCTGGAAACCAGCTAAGATGTGGCGAAAGAGGCGTTCAGTAGAATTTCGGCTTTTGGTTATAAGATAAGATGTGTGGTTTAAATTTGGTTAGACAGTTCAGATAATAAATCAGAAATCAAAACTTTTCGGTCAAGCCTGGTTAAGAACCGAAAATCTGATTAGTTCTGGGTTTGAAAATTGATTATGAGAATTTCTTGGTTTAAGTTTGGTTACCTAGTTGAGCTATTAAATAAGAATTTTTTTTAAAAAATACTAAAGAATTAAAATCTTTGAAACATTAAATGGGAAATATTTGTTAAGAACATTAGTTTGATGTGTGACGATAAACAAAAGAAAGAGAAAAGACATATCAGAGGAAGATTCTATGTACTCTTTTAAAATAAGAGGAAACTTGCCTAATAACTTTTTAAAAAAAAATTCACTTAAGAACTCTAAATATAATTAATTTTAGATGTTAATATAATGATATTATTGATAGTTTAGATATTACATTAGTGTTCAAAACCCTAAACAGCGACTTTTCTCTCTCGCTCTTTGTGCCGGATTGGGAGATTGCTTTCACTGCTCGGTCGAGATAGGTTTGTCTTACCGTCTATTGATGATCCAATGGAATAGAATGAAGAGAAGACGACCGGAGACAGAGATTCCGACTGATGTGGTGATGGAGGAGATCCTTACGAGACTGCCTGCTAAATCCCTGATGAGATTCAAGTGCGTCTCAAAGCTTTGGTCATCGCTTATCAGCTCACGATATTTCAGCAACCGTTTCCACACGGTCCCATCCCAACCGCGGCCTCGACTTTACATGTGTGTGCAGGACTTCATTGACTACCGTAACACTATAATACTATCATTGGCTCCGGACACAAGTGCTTCTCCGTCTTCTTGCTTTGTAGTTGACCACAATCTGACCATCCCACGGATGGGAGGCTACATCTTGCAAAATCTTCGTGGCTTCATGTGCTACACCTTTCTGAGAAAGCCACGGATCTATAACCCTGCCACCAGACAACTTGTCACCTTACCCGCCGCCATCAAGTCCAACAACATCATACCTTCTCCAGGAGAAAATACCAAAATCGTCTCTTACTATTTTGGACATGACCCTGTTATGGACCAGTACAAAGTGGTCTGCTCAACTGGTGTCTACTTGAGACATTTACGAGTGATAAGGTCAAAGCATCGAGTCTTTGCCCTAAAAGCTGGACGAGGAGGTTCTTGGAGAAAGGCGGCTCCAACTCCAGCGGAATTTCTTCCTCACATTCCGGTCAAAGGAGGGGTGTGTATCGATGGGATCATATATTACATGGGTTGGACTGGTAGGTATAGTTCTGCGCTTGTGAGTTTCCACATTAGATCCGGAGACTTCAAAATGATTCATCTACCTCGTAGGGACGGAGATGAGCTGCCTCGAAGGTTCAAGAATGTGAGTCTTATAGAGTATGGTGGCAAAGTAACTATCATTGACCAAACCAATCTTCAAGAAAAGGGTATGCTGGATTTATGGGCTGTGGAAGATTCCAGGGACAACAAATGGTCGAGGAAGACTCTGGTTTAGCAGCATTCTCAGCTGCATTTGGTCAATAACAACACTGATTGCTATGTCAAAGGTACAACTCAGAATGGCAAGGTTTTTTTCATACCAGAGGATTTGTTTTCTCCCTTTCATATTCTCTGTTATGATCTTCAAAGCAATGATATGAGAAAGATCGAGATCAAAGGTGTACCGGACCACTGGTTTAGTAAAGACAAATCGACCGTTAACGTGATGTTGATGGATCAGAGTGAGAGTCTCATGCATGTACTCGGAGACTTGAACTAATCATTCCTCTCTACCTCTGATGCATGTTTCGTGTGTGTTTAGATTAAGAAGATCTATTGTGATTTTTTTAAAAGAGTTTATCGTGTTTCTTGTATCATCATCATTCATCAAGCACGCACTCTCTTTCGCTGTTCGTTAAATATGGGTCTTCCGTCTTCAAGACACTGGTTTCCCGAGTAACACTACAGGAATACAAGCTCACAAAGCTTTTCTTGTAGCTTTTCTCGTTATATATATTATGGTATAGCTAGTGCTTCTTAATTATAGTTGTTTGCCTATTTCTTGCTTTAGACCTAACAAAAAAACGAACAAAACTTTGGTGTATATATAGGTAAAATGGTCTTCTTCTAGACCCTAATTTTTCTACAATATATATATATATGTATGAAATTTATCCAAGTGTTTATGGTGTATTTCATGGTTATTATCAATACTATATATGCTCCATAATTAAATAAGAAGAATCAAAGAAATTGCAATAAAAGTTTCTACACGAGCATATAACAACTCAAATTCGTACCAAAATGCTCGTATATGTATGCATTGTCCTCTATAAGCCATAGAAAAAAAAAAAACCTTAAACTTAAAAAGTATGGATCAAGAAATATGTAAACATTATTAAATCTTGTCTTAATAGGTTGAAATTCTTTGAATGGGTCCAGGAGCTCCCAAAACACTTCAGTAGGGTAATCATCATAGAAATCTTTATTCACAATGAAGTGCTCATAGGAACTCTAGGAGACATCCGACCAAGAGTATTGATGCTTGTTTATATATATATATATATACAGTTTAGCACTGCATGCACACCTATATGGGTGGAAATATGAGTACAAGAGCTTGATATATCGTTGGAGAGGTAGTTCATTTCTATATATAGTTAAAGGCTTAGAGGAAAAAACCCCAATGTCCAGAGAGAGAGAGAGAGAGAGAGAGAGAGAGATGGGCAAGGAAAGCATGTTGAATATAGACGCAAATCGGGGTTAAAGGAATGAGTAAAAAGAGAATACGAATTACGGCTTTTCACAAGATAGAAAAGATGTCTACTCGTAGAGATTCTGTTTTATACACATTTTTTTCCTGCGCTGATTAAAAGCATTTATGAAAAACCATATTATAAGATATTATATATTATATAATATGGTTTTTCATAAATGCTTTTAATCAGCGCAGGAAAAAAATGTGTATAAAAAAGTGTATAAAAATGTATATATATATATATATATGGATTGTTCTTTATGAAACAACTAGCTCACAAAGAAATTTTGATGAGCCGCATATGTGCCGCAACGCATGATATGTACCAAAGTCCAAATATATTTCATTGTAAAGTTTTTAGTTTTCTTTTTGTTCACAAATATTGCATTGTAAAGTTTTTCGTTTTCTTTTTGTTCACAAATATTGCATTGTAAACTTAATTAAAACTTAAAAAGTCAAATAGATAATGCATGTCAGAATCGATCTACAGGTATAACGGATACGCATATATATATATATATATTGTGCGTACGTAAATGAAATACTATAAATACTCAAGATAATTTTTTTCAAATTAAGTTCATGGATTATATCTGATAACTAATTGTAGTGAGTGGTATGGTGTGATCCATAATTTGTTTCTATTAGGTGAGACTAATCCTATGTTTAATTTTCATTCAAATTAGCTTCCGATCCTGATGACTAAAGAAGACTGATCCTGGCATGGCTAACAATCAATTTTCAATGCATATGTATTTACTAGATATATTTAAAAGAAAACACAATATTTTAGTTTTTTTTTTCTGGTCATATTTCATAAAATATTATGTAATTCACCGTGAAATGTAACTGGGAATATTATCTAGAACATTGATGTGATGAGTGTCAATAAAAAAGAGAGGAGAAAAGACATATCGTATGAAGAGTTCATGCAAAGAATACTTCTGTTCGTTTCACAACATTTCCAAGCAAATAAAGGGAAAAAACTAATTATTCGGTCAAATACATAACGAGGCCCAAGATTTGGACTTGATTCATTTTTTTCAAATTTCCACACGTTCTTTGATTGTATGATTCGAATAAATGATTATTGGTCCCATTAAGAAAATTCTCATTGGAAAGAGGAAGAAGTTGAGACCCTTTTGCACTAATATATAAATAAGGCATGCAGCTAGTGTTGTTTATTAGGAGTTAGGACAGAGCTAGAAGAAGAGAGTCAAATGTCCCCATGAGTTCCCTTTAACGCTTCATTGTCAATACACAAAAATCATTTATTTGATCGATTTATGTATTAACACTGAAGTGTTTGGGGGGACTCTTGGTGCCATACTGGCGTTGACGTAGTTACTGTTGCCTCGGTTTTATGGTTTCTTCTAACTAAGTAAGCTCTCTAATTAGTATCCCAAATCTTGTCATGAATTTTCTCTCAAATGATGTAGGTTAACAATATTTTGATGATAGAACCATATACTGAATTAAACCAAACCTAAGAACAGTTCTGGGTTTGAAAATTGATCATGAGATTTCTTGGTTTAAGTTTGGTTATCTAGTTCAGCTACTAAATAAGAATTAAAAACCATTGACGAAAAAAAATTACTAAAAAATTAAAACCTCTGAAACATTCAATGGGGAATATATATTTTTTTAAGGACATTATAGACTTATAGTTTGATGTGTAACAATAAACAATAAAAGGAGAAAAGACATATCAGAGGAAGAGTCTATGCAAAGAATGCGTACCTAGCCGCCTTGGTCCAGTAGTAATTTCCAAGCGGGAGATTCCTGGGTTTGAGTCGTTTTGGCCACGTAGCAGCCTTTGGAATCCCCACGGTTAATAAAAAAAAAAGAATGCTTATCTTTTCAAAAAAAAGTTTTCTTTCGGGTAAGATGTAAAGATGTCTTTTCAAAACGTTCCGGTGGTTTGCTAGCTGGTGTTTATGAATCCATTGAAGAATTTAAGAACCGTTCGGTTTGGAGCGAACCAAAAATCGAGAAATATTTTAATATGTAGTCATTCGGTTTATAGCTCCAAAACCGAATATTTCGGTCCGGTTTGCCTAATTGTGTTTACATAAGCAACACACGCTAAATCCCAACAAAGAACCGACTATAAATTTCGAAGAAAAAAAACAAGGTTTAAACCCTTGTCCTCTCGACCTCTGCGCGGCACTCTCTCTCTATTTCTTAAACTCATCCCAAGCAAAAGCCAGAGCTTCTTCGAAATTCCTCTTTAGAACAATCTCGCTTTTGCATTCTTTGTTGATTTCGTTTCTAAAAAGCGTAAGTTTTGGTCTTTGTTTCTTTGTACAACGTCTTAGCATAAATTGAGTAAATTGTTTGGTCTAGAGTCAATTGTAACGTTTTGGGTTTCTAGGAAATCGAAATTACTACGCAGAGACCTCGGAATCGGAATCGTTGCGTCGAGTGAGTTTACGAAACCCTAGCAGTTTCGGCCGTGATAATGGCGACTCCGAATGATTCTCGGGCTGTAAAGTCATTTAACAAATCCAATGGAAAAAACAGATTTGTGGTTCGTCTTCTCGTTCTGCTTCTTGTATTTACCGCTTCAGAGATTCACTGAAAACTGTTTTCTTTGGTGCTCTCTAATTATGAATTCGTTTGTGGTTTGTTACTTATGGATGTAGCACGAGAATTTCTCCAAGAGCATGGATGGCATTGAAAGCAAAGTCCACAAAGTCTTTAGGAGCTTGGATAAGGTCAAGGATAAGCCTTCAAAAGATTCCACATTTTTCAAGGATTGCCTCGTGGAATGGAGGGTATGTTTTGATCATGTTACCTTAAGACTTTCTTTCTAAAGTTTTAATCTTTGTTTTTCTTCTTCTTCTTGTCTTGTAGTGTTGTTTCCTACTTACGATGGTTGTTTCAAGAGTATACAAAAAATTAGTGTTAGTCTTTGGTTTTAACTTTTGCTTCATTGTCTGCAAGAAGCTAATTTACGATGGTTGAATGATGATGGCAATTTGTAATGGCTGTGTGAAACTGAAATTTCACAAGTCAAGGCCTTTTTTTGGTTTTCTGTTGTCTCTTGAGTCTGTAGCCATCACATATACATATTTCAGAGAGTTATTAAATTTGTGTTCACTTGGTTGGTTAAAATGCAGGAACTGAATACAGCAGCAGATTTTATTTCATTTTATGAAGAAATGTTGCCGGTTGTTCAAACTCTGCCCTTAATTATCTCGCAAAAAGAATTAATCTTCAAAAAACTTGTCTCTGGATTACAAATAAAAGCAAGATTCTCTCTGGAAGCGTTTCTTGGGTTTGCCATCTTCCCACTCCAACTTCTTATTCCGACATTTTCCATAAAGAATAATAATCTCGTCAAAGTAGCTAAGATTGTGGTTGCTAAATCTTTTTCACTTTTCCATTTCTGAGAGCATGCACTTTGTAACCTATTTCTGTGTAGAAGTATAAAGAACGTTTTTTTTTTTGTTGTTGCGCAGGTTGATTGCTGCTTTATCGAGAGATCTCTTGCGCAGCTTTATTCCGTGAGTATTTTCCAAACGTTGTGCCTAGCATACTCTGGAAAGTGAAAACAGAGTAATGTAGTGATATGGAATATCCATTGTGCGATGCCTACAGAGTACTCATGGAACATTGGAAAATCTAGTTTCTCGCATATGTGATAATGCATTGCTTAAAAAATGTTATTAAAATTTTGTTTTCCTTCCTTCTCGTGCATTTGCATACATTGATCATATGGCAGAACAGGTTACTAGCTTAAATTTATATACGAGACATTGCTAGACCACTAGAAAATGAAATTCCTTCTTGACTGATATTTGGCAGATTGTTTTAAATATCTTCTTAGAGTCAACCACTCGAGCTTCGCGTGTGGTCTCTTTAATCAGTTCTTGTCTATATCTTCTAACCAGTTGCCCTTGTATGTTTCTTGTCTAGCTTCCTTCCACGACTTGTAAACTCCTTAGTGACTCTCCTGAAAAATTGTGGTCAGAAAGAGACAGAGATTCTTGAGCAGGTTTTTGCTGTTGTATATCAAATTGTATACCCGGGATAATGCTTAATGTTATATATCATTTTTATGCTGAATTTTGGTCTTTTCCTTTCATGCAGATATTCTTATCATGGTCGTACATAGTGAGGCACCTTCAGAAGTATCTCATATGTGACCTCGAAGGTATTCTCAGGTAAGTACAGAATTGCAATTCTGCTATGGATTAATATTGTAGTTTTCTTCCGTTAAGGGGATATTAAATCCTTTTATAGATTTCTCTCTTTTAAAAAAAAAGAACTTTCTTTTGATGTAGATATACATTGGAGCTGAGGTATTACCCCAACGAATATGTCAACGAGTTTATGTCACCTTCGATGTCATTTTTATTGAGGACTGCACGGGATGAGCAACTCGAAATAGGTGATGATTCTCTTCATTTTTTTTTGTTTTCATATCTATGTGACTATGTTAGGGACAGTCCAGTTGATTCTTCTCTCATGAACATTACAGGGATCAAGAGGATCCTTTCTGAAGTTGCAGATCCACTGAAAATATGTGGAGGAGTTAGTCTACTATATCATGTTATGAGGGGTCCCTCTCTGAGACTCCATTCCAAAGCTGGGCAGGTTTTGAGCTTCTTGCTGAAAGATTCAACATTGTCCTTAGGTGATAATTTCTTTTCTAAACATGTGTTAGAATATATTAATTATGTAGAAGTCTAGTGTGTTTTCTTTATCTCTCTTTAATACTCGGTTGATTTAGCTTCCTCTTGGTTAAGTCCTAATGGAGAGGGCCGAAATTGGGAGATTAGGAAGTCAATATTGTAGAGTTTCTTTATTTTACTTAAACCGTTTCTATTATTGTCGCATGTGATTGATTTAGGAATTAAGTTTAGAGAAAAAGGAGTTGGTATAGTATAATCTTGAATTTATACTGTGAAACTGTTTTACATGGTTACTTCCTTCTGATCATGTTTGGATCTTGTATCTCATTTTGCAGGTTCTGCTAGTACAGTAGAAAGCTGTGAGTTCAACTTTGCAAAGACTATGCGAGGATTTTAAAGCAGAAGAACTAAGTGTTATGTGGAATTGCCTGTATGAAGAAACGAAAAAATCAATCAAAAACAAAAAATCAGCTCATTTGAGGCGACTCTTGACTCTGCTTACTTCAGGTGTTAGGGTTAAGAAAGGTCTCAAGGTTTATGGTGAGTTATTTCTTATTGGGCACGCATGAAAACATACATTGCATGATCGTATTGCCAATTTAATTCCTTGTCAATGTGTAACAGATTACTCATGTTTGGTTGGACTCGTGAGCCAGATTGTGTCAACTTTTACGGATTCCTCTGCTGTTCTCAAAAAAGTTCTGGGACTGATGTTATGCACCATTGACAGACCTTGTGATGTCAGTGAAATCGAATCCATTGCCTCGCAATGGGCTCCCATCTTTTCGTTGAAGAGCTCAAGGTATTTTACTATACAAGTCATTTATTTATACTTGTTAATGATAATTTTTTTTTCCTTATAATTGAATAATTGATCTTCCAATTTGCAGTTTGTTGATTTTTTTGCGGGAGTTGCTAGAGAAAGATAGATTAATAGTGAAAGCTTTTTCAAGTCATATATTAAGGCAAGACTCTTTTTTCATTACCTCTTTAAAATCTGCATATCTTTTATGTCTTTAGTGACTGACTTATGTGTTGCAGGTCGATCAACAATATGATTTTTGGGTCTCCGGAGGAGGTATTTCCTCTGTTACTATCATATTGTAAGAAGCAGCAAACAAGTCACGACAGGGTGAACATCATAGATGAATCATTTGAGAGAATTCATGAGTTCTTGGAAGAGAAGATTAAGAAAATCCAAACGAACATAGAGAATGCAGGATTAGCTCAAATAGAAGAGGCTGAGGTTGCTGCTGTAAGGAGAGCTGTCGAATGTTTTCCCTATTTTAAAGTGGATTCGTCATTGCTGATTTGCTTAAAGAATACTCTCATACAGCATTTGGCAGCCTCAGTTGGTAAGTTTTTTCCATGCCATTTCAAGTCGTATTACCTAGAATTTATCAAAACTCAATCTTTTTTTTTTTATGTGCTGCATTTTTTTTTTCAGGTAGCACTTGTAGTGCTCCGGAACTGATGTGGCAGAGCTTACTTGGTGCTGTTTTGAGGTCATGTCACAAATTCCCTTCTAATGGAAGACGCATACACAGTGATATAGAGGAAGCTTTGTCTCTTGCTAAATGTTACAAGTCATGTGTACAAGTGCTGTCTCCTGTGGCTGACTATTTGGATTTTGTGTATAGGTGAGTTTGTATGTTTTTGGTGGTTATTCAGTTATTTCTCCATGTTTGATGACTCTGTGATGGTACACTGATTCGTTTTTTTAATTGCAGTCCTGCATTAGCTAATGATGATATCTCTAAGACATGTCCAGAACTTCAAGGAAATAATGCTGAAGATGCCTTTGACATGTTTTCTGAAAATTTACGTCACTCGAACAAAGACATCCGTCTAATGACTTTAAGGATTTTGTGCCATTTTGCAACTTTGTTTCGTAACCCTTGTTTTGAAGAGCATCCTCCAAAGAAGAAGCGGAAAACTGAAGTGATTCAAAAGTCTTTCCATGAAAAGAATGTGAGTATTCCAAAACCTTTATCCTCAAATCCTGATTGGTTTACTAACATACGTACCTATTATAACTTTCCCTCTGCATTCTACCAGGTTCTTCACTTATTAAAAACAGTCGAAGAGTCTCATCTCACAGTATCGACTGCAATGGAGTTGGTCAGAGGCATTACTACAATACGAACGGATCTCTCGGCTGGCAGGATACATGACGCATATGTGCCACTTGTGTTTAATGGAATGTTAGGGTTATTTCATAATCGATTCTCTGAAATATGGGAACCAGTATCTGAGTGCCTTGCGGTTCTTATGAGGAAGCACACAGGAGCGGTGTGGAACGATTTTGTTCATTATTTAGGCCAGTGCCAACTAAAACTTGAAGCACACGACAATCATCGTGAGAATGAAAATTACAGCATTTCACAGAAACATACTGGTAGGTTTTTTGTTATTTCAGTAATTTGTGTATCTCTATTTTGTTCTTTTCATCTATCTGTCTTGTCTTCTTACAATTCTGATGTTTTCAATCTGCAGGTCTGATGGAGAGTTCTAATTCGTTTCTCTTTCAGTCGTGTGATAGTACACCTACTGGAAAAGTAGTATCTCTGTTGCTCAAGACCTTACAAAAAGTTCCCACTGTTGCTCTGTCTCGAGCCTCTGATCTTCTGCCTTTGTTATTGAAGTTTTTGGGATACAACAGCGAAAATCCTATGAGGTAATCATTTCTCTATGTCTTCTTGTTCTTGAAGAGTAACTTAATTTTCATCTCTTGCCCTCAAGTCTTTCTCTCTACGTTGAAGGGTCGGATTATATAATGGCGGAGCTTGTAAAGGAGAGGAGTGGAAGGGGTTGCTTATACAATGGTTGGCTTTGCTGAAGTTGATGAAGCATCCGAGGTCTTCGCGTTTTAGCCAGTTTGTAAACGATGTTATGCAGAACAGGTTGGTTCTGATAATCCTCTGTTCTTTTTGAATATCTTGGACTAAGATAATTTCATTGACATGGATCTCTCTGCATGTGTTTTGTGTTCTTTGGATGTTTTACCAGGTTCTTGGACGATAATGATGCTGAAATACAAATGAATGTCCTAGAGTGCCTTGTGTTGTGGAATGACTATTTACTCCCACACCGCCACCGCTTGGAGAATTTGATCAAACCAAAAGAACTGAGAGAAGAGCTCGCGACCTGGAACTTCTCCAAGAACATTGATGAAGCTCACAGATCTCATTTTGTTTCTCTTGTAATTAGGATCCTTATGCCAAAAGTTAGGAATTTGAAGAACTCAGCGTCGCGTAAGGTACATGTATTACATACTATTTTCTTTTTAGTTTACTTCACCTTTGCCAATGCGGTTTTACATTTAGGTCCCAACATTTTTTTTTCTGTTTTCGTTGTTAGCATACAAGTATTCGTCACCGGGAGGCGGTTCTTGGCGTTATATCTCAGCTGGATGTTAATGAACTTGCTCTGTTCTTCGCATTGTTGATGAAGCCTTTGAACATCATATCAGAGGAAACAACGGACTTGTTTTGGAGCTCAGGCAAAAGCTCTCTGGATTATTTCCAAAAGTCGAATTTCCACAAATATATAAACGTTGATAGAATCTCGACCTTATCCTGGAAGAAGAAATCTGGTTTTCTTCATGTCATCCAACATATACTTGAAGTCTTTGATGTATTTCATGTCCGACCATTTCTCGACTTTCTGATGGGATTTGTTGTCCGGCTATTGATAAACTACGATCCCAATATCGACGAAGGAAAGAGCATTGATAAAGAGAGTGTTGCAACAAATCACGACCAGGTAAAATTGTTATTAATGTTGCTTGCTCTCGTTCCCTAAAGTTTTTATTCAAACAAACCATATTTGTTTTTCGCTCATTTCATTTCTTTGGAATTCTTATCCTGTCTGACATTTTTTTTGTGTGTAGGCTGGCACTTCTGTGAAGCAGTTTAAAGAGTTGAGATCCTTATGTCTGAAGATTATTGCTCGTGTTCTTGAAAAGTACGAGGATTGTGATCTTGGCTCTGAGTTCTGCGACCTCTTCTTTTCAGCAGTGAATCCGTTAATCAAGAGTTTTAAGCAGGAGGGTTCTAGCAGTGAGAAACCAAGCTCATTGTTCTCATGCTTCTTGTCAATGAGTAAAAGCCGCAGTCTCGTCACCTTCTTATGTCGGGAAGAGTCTCTTGTTCCAGACATTTTTTCGATTCTAACAGTCACCACAGCTTCAGAAGCTATAAAGTCCTCTGCCTTGACTTTCATAAAGAACCTGCTCCGTCTTGAGAGTGACTTGGACGATGATGACCATATGATCAAAGGATTCTTAGATCCTTATATAGAGGCACTGATTAACAGCTTGCATTCTCTTTTCCGTGAGGATATTTTGAAAAGGTAAGGGTTCTTGTAAATTAACAGACTTGGTTATTATTCCTCTTTGTTTTTACTTTTTCTGTTCTAAAGTAAAATTGTTTGCTAATTATGATCAGGAAATCATTCAAGTATCATGGAGAAAGAGAGATTAAGATTCTTAAACTATTGTCCAAGCACATCCGAGATGAATCTAATGTGATGAAGTATTTGGATATCTTGCTGTCTTTCTTGGATAAACGTGTGAAAGATTCTGGTATGGTTACTCTCTTGGTAAGAATTATATAATATCTCACGTCTCTTGTGTGACTTGTCTTATTGTTTATGCAGATATTCATCGTGAGGCTTTGCTAGCCATTCAGGACATCACATCATTGCTTGGGAGTGAGAGTACTAGCAAAATTATAGATAAAGTCTCTCCTCTGCTTGTTGACGCTGAACTTGATGTTAGATTATGCATTTGTGATCTTCTTGAATCTCTTGCGAAAATCGACTTTTCTCTGGATCTAGTGGTAAGTATACAAATCTCTATTTGAAGCTGAGCCACTTCCTTCTCATTTTGTTTTGAGACTGTAGCAAACTACTGGTTGCGTCATCTTGCAGGCAAAATGCGTCAGCGATATGAATGCAACCTCACCCATGGAAGTCGATGAGCTTGACTATGACACAATAATCAATGCCTATGCGAAGATTGATGCGGATTTCTTTAACAAATCCTCGGAGCAGCACATGATGATCATTCTCTCACAGAGTTTATACAACATATCATCATCAGAAGTTACGTTAAAGGACTGTGCATGTAGCCTCTTGTGCACTTTTGTTGAATTCTCAGCTTCCATACTTTGCCAAGAGGCTTCAGCTCACTCTGACATTGGCAAAGAGGTTTCAAAATCTGATGCAAGCTGGAGAGGACATCGTGTGTTGTGGATTATAAATAAGTTTATTTTGAAACACATTAAAGATGCGGTAAAGAGAGGAATTTCTTGTGGAAAGGTACAGTGACCCTTCTTAGTCTGACATAAGTGTCAGGCTACTTCTTTAAATCTAACTTTAAGATGGATACTCTTGGCTTTCTTCTTTGCATTAAAAATTCTTAGAAACGAATAATTCTGCTGCAGGAGGAGTTTCGTTTGATACGCAAAATGGTGACGAAACTTCCAGATTCCGGGAATCTTGCTGCATTCAGACCTTTATGCTCTGAAAACGATGACGTTGATTTCTTTAAAAACGTCTTTAGCATTCAGGTAAAATGACTATTTGAAAGTTTGTATTTTTCTTATGGTGAGGATGAAGCAGCTTATAGCTTATGAAAAGATAATAGAAACCTTACAGTGACTTCTTAATTCTTTTCAATGTCTTGTAGACACACTGTAGAGCAAAGGCGATTAATCGTTTTGCCAGGGAAATCAAAGATAGCAGTCTGCCTGAGGTGACCTCTTTGCGTCTCTTAGATTCTTTGAATACTATTTTTTCGTAGTTTCAATGGACTTACGACCAATTTCTGTTGGGGCTGCAGGGAGTAGTGAGAGAACTTTTGATCTCAGTCTTTTTCAACATGTTGCTTGATAAACAAGGAAAAATAGGTCAAAATAATGTCCATGATGCATGCGTAGAAGCCCTTGCATCCGTGTCTGCTCATATGAATTGGGATTCGTACTACGCTCTATTGAATCGGTGTTTCGATGAGATGAAGATGCATACCGAGAAGAAAAAGCGTCTGGTGAATCTCGTCTGCTCGATTTTGGACAGATTTCATTTTGCAAAAGATGGTTGCGGACAGATGGTTAGGACTTGCCTCGAGAAAACCTTGTTCCCCAAGATACAGATGCTGATGGAATCTGAATCTGGTAGTGTTAATGTGAACGGCTATGTAGCTGCGGTGAAGGTTCTAAAGCTACTCCCCAAAGAGATAATGGACTCAAATATAGATTTTATAGTTTCTAAAGTTTCCGGTTTTTTGACGAACGGGTTGGAGAGCAAACGTGATGAAGCCAGAAAGGCTCTGGCTGCTTGTTTGAAGGAACTTGGGCTGGAGGATTACTTGCAACTTTTCCTTAAAAAACTACGTTCTCTATTAAAGAAAGGATCTGATGTGCATGTGCTCGGATACACTGTCAAGTACATCTTATCGGAGTGCCTGCCCAATCCTACGGGTTGGAAGTTGGATCATTGTTTGAAAGATCTCCTTGATGTGGAGAAAGCCGATATCCTTGGAGACGTTCATGAACCTAAAGAGGATGAAAAAACTTTATCGAAGAAGACGAAGAAAGAAACGAAAACACGCGAGTCACGTGATACTATGAAATGGATTGCTGAAAATGTAACGTTCAGAAGCTATGCAGTGAAGCTGCTTGATCCGGTCACTTCGAAGCTGGAGGGGCCTATGACTTTAACGTTAAAAACAGAACTGGAGAAGATGTTGAAGCATATTGTGGCTGGTATTGAAAGAAATCCATCTGTTGATCAAGGCGATCTTTTCTGTTTTATATATGACCGTTTTATTAACACCAAGAGTGGTCTTGGAGACCAAGCGTCTTCTCAGCCATCCAAAAAGAAAACGAAATCGGGACATCTGCAAGAAACTTCTGGTGCCAAGTCATGTCCACATCTCATAACCAGGTTTGCTCTGGACTTATTGCACAACAGACTGAAGGAAATCCAACCAAGCAATACTAATGAAGAGCTGGTGTCGAAATTGGATCCATTTGTCAACTACTTGTTGGGTGCTTGAGCTCTAAGTATGAAGATGTTGTATCTAGATCTGTTAGTTGTTTCACTGCGTTGATAAGGTTACCTTTGCCTTCCCTCAAGTCTGAAGCAGGGAAAGTGAAAACCGAAGTGTTAACTATCATTGCTAAGTCTGCAGTGAATTCCAGTGGTCCTCTTGTGCAGTCAGGCAAAAGCCTCTTAAAAGCTCTTCTCGGCAATGAAAATTTCAATTTATCACCTGGGGAGTCGAATATGCTGATTCAGCTCCCCATGATTGTTGATCTGGAACCGGATTCATCTGTGGAATCATTGAATGCTTCTCTTTCACTTCTAAAGGCCATCGTGAAAGGGAAAGATCCGAAGATATATGATGTTGCGGATCAGGTTTCAAGGTTGATGATAACACATGATGATGAATCAGTCTCCAAGAAGTGCAAAGAGTTACTGTTAGATTTTTTGGTCAATTATACACTTTCTAAGAAACGCATAGAAGGACATTTTAGCTTTCTGCTGAATAATCTGAGGTATGTATGTGAACTAAGGTTTGTGGAAATTTGGCCTCTTGTTTTTTTTTTCAAATATTAACTGTATTTTTCTTCCTCCAGCTATAAACATCCATCTGGAAGAAAAGTAGTTCTTGAGGTTCTTCAGGATCTTATCAAGAAATTCTCACAACCTAAACACAGCAAGCAGTCAGTTCTTGACCAGCAATCTCAAAACTTGTTTGTTGAGCTTTCTTGTCGTTTGAAGACAGAAGATAATAAAGAAGTGCTGTTCAAGATTGGTGATGTGATAAAACTTCTGATAGGTCGCATCAGTGATTATAATTCCATTCTTGAGTTCTGTCTGGATTGGTATAAGCAGGAGAACACACAGGCTAAAGCAGCACAGGTAAATTGCTCTGAAGGCCGCGCATGTTTTGATTGACAATAGTTAGGTATCAAATCAGTAGGAAGCAGGAACTAACTTATAACTTGGCATTGCTTCTTATTTGAAAGTTTATGGCTGATAACATCGTCTCAAAGCTTGGTTTTGTGGTTATGTGCGTTGCTTCTTGCGGCAGTTGACAACTCTCTCATTCATTTGTTGGATGGCTGTGCAGGTACTGGGATTATTCATTGAAGTCAAGAAGGGTGCATTTTCGAAGCATATCCGCAGTAAATTGTTGCAGGATGCTAAAACGATTTTGGACTCTGCTGTACAGTTGCAAAATACTGTTGAGGAAGGCAGCAGTCCTTTCTGGGAGGAACCATACTACTCTCTGGTTATGATAGAGAAGATGCTCAAGCAGTTTCCTCATTTATGTTTTGAAAAACATGTAGAGGTAATGTTCACAACAAAACTAGTTCTGAGAAGTTGTTCTTTCAATATATATTTCCTTCTTTGGCTATTATTTGATATTTGATCTTTTTTGCTGTTCCTCTTTTAAAAGAAGTAACATAAGTTTTTTTCTTGTTTCTTCAGGATGTTTGGAAAATGGTGTTTAAGTTGTTGTTGCACCCACACGAGTGGTTGCGAAGTATAACCTGCCGGCTCCTGAATTATTATTTTAAGAAATTAGAAGAGTCTCAGAAACCACTAGTAGCTGATTCTCTTCTTGGTAAGCCAAGTAGCCTTTTCATGGTAGCTGCTTCTCTTTGCTTCCAGTTAAAGGTGACCCGCAGCACCCACACCACTGCAGAAGATATTCTCACACAGAATATTGTTTTTGCGGTCTCTGGTCTTCATTCTATGGTTGGACAATCAGATCATGAGTACTGGTCAAGTCTTGACAAGGATGAGCAAGCAAAGTTCCTCGAAGCCTTTCTAGTATTTGATTCAGGGAAAGTAAGGTCTACTTTCCTGGCTCTTACTTCAGACAACCTTAGCAGCGAGAAAGGCCAAGATGATGTAAGAAATGTATTGGTTGGAAGTTTGCTCAAAAGAATGGGGAAGCTTGCTCTTGATATGGACTTGGTTCATACGAGAATTGTGTTCAGGGTGTATAAAGAATTTGCCTCAAAGTTGAATCAAGAAGAGTGTCGACTATACGCCTTCAGATTCCTGCTTCCGCTGTACAAAGTCTGCCAAGGGTTTACCGGGAAAGTCATCTCACCTGAGTCGAAACAGCTAGCGGAAGAGGTAAGAGACAGTGTAAGAGACAAGAGCTTAGGCAGCCAAATGTTTGTGCAAGTTTACAGAGAAGTCAAAGAGAGCTTGGAAGCGAAGAGGGAGAAGAGGAAGCGAGAGGAGAAGCTAATGGCGGTGATAAACCCTGAGAGAAACGCAAAGAGGAAACTCAAGCTAGCTTCAAAGAACAAGGCTAACAAGAAAAGAAGGATGATGAGCTGTAAAATGGCTAGATGGTCACGCTCTTGAGCTCCCATTACCAACATTTAAGCCATTTTTTATTTTGTTTAAGATTATTAGACTATATATTTAGTCATTTCTCAAGCATTTGTGATCCATTTTTTTTACCTGCCACATTCCAAACCATCTTTGTCTCTTATCCCAACAACTTTTGTCTCAGTGATTTACTCAATATGTCGACCGTAAAAAAAGAAAAAAATTTCCACATGCTAATGCTAAATTAATCATAGGTTGAATTTTGACCATTGAGAGGACGTCGTTGACAAGTAAACTGAGCACGGGTGAGCAGCACGTACCTCTTACAATACTAGCAAAAAAAAAAAATTAATAAATGCAATAAGCATTAAAAAAAAAAAACATCAGTTTGCTTCTCTTAATACCTAAATTAAATTTTGATTTCTCGACAAATCGGCGGCGGTGTAAACAGTCGGAGCTATGGCGATGCAGGCCGGAGTTGGCTTATCGAGGATCTTGCTCTTAGCCGGAGCAGGTGTGTAACTCGCTTTCTCTCTGCTCATCTGACTCTCTCTCGTGTTGCTTTACTGTTGCGTTCTTCGCGATTACTAAATTGGTATCTATATATTCTGATACCGTTTCCGATTTGTTGAATTTAAGGTTATACTGGCACAATCATGATGAAGAACGGAAAATTATCGGATCTGTTGGGTGAATTGCAGGTACTTGAACTAATTGATTTTGTAGTTTTTTTGTCTCCTTGAAAATTTTGACCTTATTGTTGTTGGGCATGATTTGTTCTTTGGATAGTCTCTGGTGAAAGGTATGGAGAAATCTGGAGATGGATCTGAGGGAGATTATGATGTTTCCGATGCCGTAGCTGCCCAGGTACTTGCTAGTTTCCGTTTTTCTGATTTAGAAATTGTGGTGAGAAATCATATTGATTTCAATTCAATTGGATTGGTTTGAAGGTTCGTCGATTGGCCATGGAAGTTCGACAGCTAGCTTCAGCGCGGCAGATAACTGTCATGAATGGAGTTTCTAGTGGTATGTAAAGTTTGGGAGTTTTTACTTCTTCTGAAATATTTTGTATCTTAAGGCTTAGTGTATCGTTTTATTTATCAGTCTCTCTTGGCATTTTTTTGTGTGTGTGTCAGGAATCTTTCAAGCCCTTGCTGCTCCTGCTGCGGCATTGGGAGCTCTCGGATATGGTTATATGTGGTGGAAGGTGAAATGAAGTTTTTGATATTTTTGATTTCTGCTGTTTCTTTATGCTGGTTTTGTCGAAGTATGTTTCATTGTTGCAAGCAATTCAAGGGAACTAAAAATTGTTTGTGCTTGTTCACTGATTAGGGAATCTCGTTCTCTGACCTTATGTACGTGACAAGGGCCAACATGGATAGTGCCGTAGCTAACTTGACAAAGAATCTGGAGCATGTTTCAGCGACACTCGCGGTGAGTTTTTTTTTTTTTTTTCTTCCTGGTTTTTACTTATGGTGTTTCTGATGATATATTAAGCTGCAGGGATGAATTTGCATCTTAATCTTTTGGTTTTCAGGCTGCAAAAAGGCATTTAACGCAGAAGATTCAGAATATGGATGATAAAGTAGAAAAACAGATTGATCTCTCCAAGGACATCAAGAACGAGGTATGTATTACGATTATATTTACCTTCTCTTTAGTTTCTGTAGACTAGAATGGTTGACTTTCATTGTTATGTATCTGTAGTATGTTAAGCAGTCTTGGACCAACGAAATGTGGTTTCGGTTATGCTGAACAGGTTACCTTGGTTCGTGAGGATCTCAGCTCAATTGAGATGGATTTGGAGTCATTGCGTAAGTTTATTGCTGAACTGGTGAGTCTTAGTTTCCTTTCGTTAATGCATATATGACCAATGCTGAAGATATTATTAGTTGTTTTTTACTCATTGGCATGTGGTTTGCTACAACCATCGTGATTTAAAACGATTGCAGCCGTCAATGATTTAGTCTTTGAGATCAGATCAGGATTCTCATTTCGAGCATTTCATTCCTTTTAGTACCTCTCATAATTATTTTGACATTTCAACCTTTTCTTGCAGTTTGGGCAGTTGGACACGGTGGAATACAAGCAGGTAACATTTATCTTTCACGTTCCTCCCTTTCAGATGTGAACATGATGTCTTATTAGTAGGCATCATTAGCCTATGAATCAAATTATGATCATGGTTTCTTTAATTGAACCACCCACCAATTGTGGTAACTCAGTGCTTATTCCGTTTCTGTTTCTGGTGGCAGGATGTTACAAATGTTTGCATGCTACACATGTATAACTATTTTGGAGGCAAGACCACAAAACTGCCTGAACTGGTAAGGGGGTTCTCTTACAATCGGATTGATTCCCATATTTCTCTGTATTAATATCCTTACTTTTTGTGTTAATCTGATATTCCCTTTTTTTCTTCATTTGTATTTAACCTTTTGGATGCAAACCTTCAATCTTACAGGAACAGCTTCAACTTCCTGCGAACCAGAGGGCTCGTAAAATGCTTGCAGATGTTGAAACCAAGGTATCTTTTTCTTGTTGACAAGTCATACTTATTCGCATTACTCCAACGAGTTAAAAAGAAAACTTTTTCTTTTCCTGATTGAAATTTTCATCCGATCTTTCTTCAGGGGCTGAAAAACTTTGCTGAACTGCTTGAAAGCACTGAGACACAGCGAGCAACCACAGTGAAAACCAAGCAGGAACAGCTTAAACTTTCGGCGAACCAGCGGACTCGTAAATTGCTTACAGATGCTGAAACCAAGTAGGCCCGACCCAAGTAAGTAGGCAAAAGTCCAACCGCCCAGGGGCCGAAGTCAAAGTGCTCAATTTTTTTATTTAATGTTTTGTTTATAAAATGTGTGGAACGACAATAATACGTAATATGTTTATCCAATTACTATGCGAACTTGGAACGAGCATGAATAAATTCACAGATACCTTCTTTATCGTTTGAGCTATCTTGTTGGAACGGTCACTCTTTTTTTTGGACCCGATTAAAAAAAAAAACTTCGGTTCATTCCGAGATATCTTAATTGTGTCATATAATATTACATTTAAACAAAAATATAAAATTAAAATAATCATAAATTTTGATAATAAACAAAACAGATGACTCGATTAAAATGTCTTTGTTAAAGAATGCATTTTTTTATTTAAAAAAAAACTCGTGAATCTGGTGTAGATAAGATAACTCTCCCAATAATTTGATTTGATTGTTTCCAGTTTCCCCGTCAATAATTCAATTCCATTATTGTAATTCACTTGATGCATGCATGTGATCCTTGGGGCTTTATAACAACACTATTTCCTAGATCATAGTTCATTACGAATTTACGAAATAAGAGATAGGAAAAATCAAAGCAAAGCTGTGTAACTCATAAACTGGCTCAAAGGATCTTCCTGCATGGGTTCTCTTGACTTGCCTCACGCTTCATCGTTCAAGGTTCTTTCTCTAATTTGATTTATTTGAAGAAAAATGAAATTCAATATTACGAATCATAATATAAAACTTCTATGTAACAGGGAGGAAGCGAAACATTTCTTAGGAATGTGTTTGAGAATATATTGAAAACGTATCTGAGAAAGAATCCGACGGCAAATACGATATGGGAACTAGTTCAGTCGGTGGACAACGAGAAGATCTGTTACGACCACTTCACTTTCAGGACATTTAAAGTACAAATTTTAGGCTTTCAACATTTAGTGAAAATAATTGGACGTGTACATTGATTTTTTTTTTTCATTTTTTTCTTTTATAAATTTTTTTGTGGGTATGTTTTTAGGTAGATGGTTACGGAATAGATTCCTTGTCGAATTTCTTCATGGATTACGGATACAAAATAGGAGGTGTACTTGACTTTCCAAAGAAGAAAGTACGAGTTCTCTGGTTTTCTCCTCCGGCTGTTCACGTCCCTAATGATGGTCATGGTCAAGGCAACGGCCCTTTGCCACGACTTGTTGTAGCTGAGGTTCTTGTGGACGAACTAAGCCCTGAATCTCAGGTATGAATGATCACAAACGTAATGTTGTTTTTATTTAAGTCTTTCATGATTTTTTTATTTTATTTTTTTGGACAAAAGTCTTTTAAGATATCTAATTTCATTTTTGTTGGTAATAAATTATGGTTAATTAGGAGATAATAAGAAAGTACTTAAAACCAGAAGGCGGTAAGCAAGCCGTTCTCTCAAGTATTTTAGGGTCTTTAATTTGGGAGAAGCCAACATGGACCGACTTCAAGCAACTTGCCAAGTATACGTTAACTTTTTATTTATGAAAAAAAAAAAACAAAGTTTCTAGTAAATAATCATTTCTCTTTAGTTACGTTTGATGGTTAGAGCTCATTTAATGCTGAGTTGTATGTTGAACGTTGAAGAGAAAGCGAATTTGCCGCATGGACGCTTATCCACGGCTACACAATGAACCATCTTGCTTTTGCGGTTCATCGATTCAAACACCGTTTCAGTGACATCAAATGCATCAAACAATATCTTGAAGAAAATGGATTCAAACTCAACAATGACGGGGGAGTTCTCAAAGGTTTGTTTTACTTAATTATCCTCCTCATGAGAATGGCTTTATTCTATAAACATTATATTTAATTGAAATGAAAATATATTTCAGTGAGCCAAGATGGTTTGCTGTTACAAGTATCCTCCATCTCGGAGAAACTTGCGGTTGAATTTGCAGACGGAGTAACTGAAACAATTCCGGCTTCTTACATTGAGTTCACTCAACGTCTAATTCTTCCACAGTTTAAAGATGTGCCCTGTGATGAGGTAATGGACATAAATTTACAATCGAACTATTGATTAATTGTATTCTGTTATTATTCAGCAATATTTTTCATCTTCTTCGTGATACAGATCAAAGAATTCCATAGACGTGAAGCCTTTGAGCTCGATAGCGCCAACCACGTAATGGAAAGCACCCGTTTCACAGCACAAGCGTAAAACCAGGCTTGTCTTGTTTGGCTCAGTATGTCAAATTTGAGTATATTGTCCGTTTCTAAGTAATCTTTTTATGTGCGAGCTAGTGTGATTGAGTGTCAGATATCTTTATTTGTTTTCCCTTTTGTGGAGTGGCGATTACTTTCTTTAATAGAGAGAACTGGCCCAATAACAATATGTGTTGCCCATATTTGTCAGATAACATTTGTGTGAGAAAAGACAATTATACCCTTTAGTATGCATCCACTGATGATACTAGGGTTCAAACGTAACATTTTTGTCTTTTTGTTTTTTTTTTTTGTTTTTGTTTAGAGGTACACGAACTCAACAGTCAACACCTTTGTCGATGACATAGACAACGCCATAAAAAACTCTTTATGTTGAAGAAACATCTTAACCCAATCGGCCAATCCTTATCTTTATCAGTTGATCAAAACACTAGGATCGAAATGCTCTACAACGCCCTTTTTTTTTACACCTTCTCACACAACATTCAACCAATTTTGGCACAAGCACAAAGGCAAAACCATCCAAATGGCACATCAAGCAGCTAAAACAACAACTCAATCAAAGCACCAAAAGTGCTCATTGCGTCACCGAATACATAAGGGATCATTTTAAAATGAAACCTAGTCAAAATTCATTTAGTCATATATATGGCGAACTCATTTCTCAAAGTTGTAGCATAGATTATGTAATTTAGTTCACTAAATATTTTATCAACTTTTTGCGATGAGACGGCGTCGAACCCTCGTGCTCACAGAAATTTTAATTTCTCTTTTCTGAAAAGTTTGGGAAATGCTATCTTTCAGGAAATGCCCAGTCTTATTAATTAAAATTGTAAAAGAAAAAAAAAAGTTAGATGAACACTAATATTTCATGTATCATGTCAAAAAAGTTTTTATTAATAAATAAAAGATGTGCATAAGCTGTCAAGATTCTAGAAAACAAAATAGGTGTTAGCTGACATATATTTTAATATTATCAAATAAATGAAAGAAGTGCCTACATAAGGAGGATTCGTTATACGATTTTATATGATTTATTTAGTCCCACCTTGCCCAACAAAAATATATTTATCTCGTCAAGAATCATAGTAATGAACATCGTGACTCATTTTCCTCGCATAGAAATGCATAGAAATGCGTTAATAAATAAGAACAATCAAGCAAAACTGTGTTTCTCATACACAAAGTCAAGGGATCTTCCCACATGGGTTCTCTCCAACTTGCTACCATACAGTCACAGATAATTTATCTTTCAAGGTTCTTAATACAAAATAGTAAATATATATATATATATATGACATAATCATTAAGCCAATCGTACAATTAAAACATAAGTATAATTCAAAATTAAATTAGTTTTTTTGTCGAAATTGTGACTGGTTGACCGAGAACTTAGAGTTTAATAATCCATATATTATCGTTGAGAAAAAGAAAAAAAAAAAGACTAGTGACTCCTTGGTCTTTGTTTAATAAGGAAATACTATAATAAATACGAACAACCAAGCAATGCCCAGTAGACACAACTCAAAAATCTTTCTACATGGGTTCCTTCGACTTGCCTCACACTTCATCGTTTAAGGTTCTTACTCAAATTTAATTTATTTGAAGGAGAAAAAAAAGTTATTATTCTAAATTTGCGATAATTCATAATTACCATGAAACAGGGAGGAAGTGAAACATTTCTTCGGAATGTGTTTGAGAATATACTTCAGACGTACCTGAGGAAGAACCCGACGGCGAAGACAATATGGGAACTAGTTCAGTCGGTGGACAACGAGAAGATCTGCTACGATCACTTCGTTTTCCAGACACTAAAGGTACGTCTTTACTCTGGTGAAAATTCTAGAATTTCACAAATGTATAACGAATCAAGCAGTGTAATTAATTAGTAACTGGAGATTAGTTTGACATTTAATATGCACTTCCTCTGTTTTATTTATTTTGTACATTAGGGAATTTTCATAGATAAAATTGGATATGGACTTGATTTTCCAACGAAGAAACTACGCATTCTCATGTTTTAGACATCAAAATATGTTGAGCATTTAAGTGTAACAATTTTGAAAAGTTGGAGTGCAATTCTTGAGACTTTTCTATAATTTACCATTGTGTTTGTTAGTAGGCTAAATTTTTTGTTTTCTGCTTTACCTTTGAAAATACGTTGGGCCGGTTCTCACTGTGTGAAATTGTGATTTGACTTTTTTTTATTTCCTTTGGGGGTATGGGTTTAGGTCAATGGTTACGGAATAGATTCCTTGTCGAGTTTTTTCATGGATTATGGATATAAAGTTGGAGGCAAACTTGATTTTCCAAAGAAGAATGTACGAGTTCTCTGGCTTTCTCCTCCGGTTATTTACGTCCCCAATGAGGGTCACGGTCTAGGCAACGAACCTTTGCCCCGACTTGTTATAGCTGAGCTTCTTGTGGACGAACTAAGTCGTGAATCACAGGTATGAATGATCACAAACATAATTTTCTTGTCATGAGTCTTTATTTATTTGATATTACTTGTTGTTCCTAACTTCTAATTAATGGTTGACTAGGAGATAATACAGAAATATTTAAAACCAGAAGGTAGTAAGCAAGCGGTTCTTTCAAGTACTTTGGGGTCTTTAATTTGGGAGAAGCCAACATCCTCCGACTTCAAGCAGCTTGCCAAGTATTATATAACTCTCTAATCATGTGGAGTAGCTCTTATTAATACATTTGAAAACCTTTATCCAAAATTTTTTTATTAATAGATTTTTTGATTAAAAAGTGTTTTTCAATAAGACAATGACAGATTGACCGAGAATTGGTCAACGTCTAGTATTAATACGTTCACGAAATTTTCAAAGATAAAAAAAATGTTTGTTCTCTAACAAGAACTTAAAAGTGCTAACTTCAAAAAGTGTGTTTTTTCCGCAAAATAACCCATTGATAACTGTTATGAACGCTGCAGAGAGAGCGAATTTGCGGCATGGGTACTTATCCACGGCTACACAATGAACCATCTTGCATTTTCTGTTCATCAACTCAAACACCGTTTCAGTGACATCAACTGCATCAAAAAGGATTTAGAAGAGAAGGAATTCGAACTCAACAGTGACGGAGGAATTCTCAAAGGTTTCTTTTACTTGTACCCTCATGAGATTTTTGATTTTTCAATAGAATGTATCTTTTCTTTAATTATCGGTTAGATAATTGGAATGAATATGTATTTTAGTGAGTGAAGATGGTCTACTGTTACAAGTGTCAACAATCTCGGAGACTCTTGCGGTTGAATTTTCAGATGGTGTAACTGAAACAATTCCGGCTTCATACATTGAGTTCACTCAACGTCTGGTTCTCCCTGAGTTCAAAGATCTGCATTATGACCAGGTTCTACATTTTCACTCTCAAGACTATGGATCGCGACCTTGTTCATCATATATGTGTTACTTGGTCCATTGTATTCACGATATATATATACACCCGTAATTGCAGATTAAGGAGTACCATAGACGCGATGGCTTTGATTTCGATAACGCTAAAAACATTTTGGAAGGGGCCCGTTTCAACTCAAATGTCTAGAATCATCAATATGGTCCGATGCTTTCTTAAATGAAAACACCATTAAAATAAGCATGGGTTTGTAATGCAAGAACTATGTTCAATGTGTGTGCTGTGAATCACTTATGAATTAAATTACCTCTCATAATGGGTATCATTGACATTGATTAAAGTGAGTAATTGTAAAGTGGATCACATAAACGGTAACCTATGAATGATAGAGAAAGAAAAAAAGTGTGATGGGTGTGCTGTGGTGTTCGAAAAAATTTAAAATTGATATAAGTGTGATTTTAGATAAATCAGAAGATATCTCCTATAATATAATTGAAAACATTTGGGAAAAAGTATCTTATAGACAAGGTAAACTCATTTTTCTTCTTTCTTTTTTGGAAAAGTTTCAGAGTTGAAATCTCTTGATAGCACAGTGAACACATAATCGTTGAAAAATTTCGGAGTTAAAATCCGCGTATCTCTCCAATATCAAGTAGTCGTTGTAGATTTTTAGGTATGGGTTTAATTATTTTTCCTCGAATAACTTTATTATTCATTCTACAAAAAATTTTAAGCAAGAAAGTACAGTACTTTCATTGAGCCGGAGGTATTCATCAACCGCATCAGAAGCACAACCGTATGTCATAATATATTAATATGAATTTTTGCCATACATTTTTGTATTTCAGAGAGGTCGAACCTTCCAGTAGCATCTTTTTTTTAAAAAAAGAACGAAACCTCTTAAGAGAGTCGATCAACGATATGCATGAACAATGGCTTGTTCATTTTAAAACGGCGCTGGAATATATGAGTAAGGTACGTTGCATCCTAACTAAAATAGTCATTCCATAAATGGTGGTGGCCTATTTCACGTTTTCTTTCAATGTAGGTGCGCTTCTTCTTCTTTGTTGTTGTGTGAGGATCCAAAACATTGTCAAACATTTTATCATATGTTTAATTAAAGATTTCATCAAAATTTCCATCGAGAGATTCGTCGAAAGTATTGTTTGATGAAGAAGCCATATTGTTTTAGTTTAGATTGGTAGAGAAAGATGAGAAGAGATGTACTTTTTGTTCTAGTCGGAGTTTGAGAGATGGAGTAGTTTTGTAATGAAAAAAAAAAAAAAGAGAGAAGTAATATGAAATTTCGATTGCCTATTAGAAGAGTTTCTTTGTGAAGGACAATAAGTGAACATCTTTTACAAGATTTGTGGTTCCAAACTTTTGGAAAATTTATTGTGGACTACAACTCTACACAACTCCACAATTATCAGTAAACCCGTGACCTCCAAAACAGAACAATCCAAAGCAGAGCAAAGGCAAAACCAGAACAATCCAAAACAGAATTATCAATTAAGACATTTTGTCTCTTTTTGGACCCGATAAAAATAAAATAAAAAATTCTTCTGTTCCATCTTTATTCACTTCTACTTATTTTATAGCTAATTAGAAGAATGTCTCATATAATATATTACATTTATAGAATTAAAATGATCATAAATTTTGATAATGCATTTGGTAAAATGTCTTTGTTAACCTCTACGGAAAATGCATTTTTAAAAATGTCTTTGTTAAGTTTTCTCTCTCAAACTTTAGAAAGAGAAATTACTCTCAACTTTTCATCGTTTTATCTTTTGGCCGGTGACCGGTGTTCTCCGACACCGGCATCGTGTTGTTTATATTTCCTCGGATATCTTTTTCTTTGTAATTTATTTCGGGTTTGTTCAGTTGTTTTTCCGTTAATCGGATAATAAAATTCCGACAATGATCGGATTTCTTCCGGTTCATGACCGGATTTTCCATTTTCGGTTTTCCTTTTGCTATCTATGATCAGTTCTTCATATTTGTGAGAGAGATAGCAAAAGGTTCATCGTTTTCGGATTTAAATTTGTTTTTTCTTTTCCTCTTTTGCATGCTTTTATGACTTTCCGATTAGATCAGAACTTGTCAATCCCCAGCAGTTGGAGCGAATCTCCATCTTTATCGGATTTCTTTGTTCTTCTTTCCATATGAATTTAAATCTTCGCCGCCCTTTTGGGTTAATTAAATGGCGTAGTATCTTTTGTGGTGGATGTTTCAAAGTTTTTCGGATCGATCAGATTGAAGTATAATAATTTGGAATTCTGTGTCGTGTTTGACGGTTTTCTGAGAAGTATTTTTAATTTGATCTTCTACAAGTTTCAAGATGCCGATTAATGGAGATTTGGGTGCTCTTCTTCTTCTGGGTTATGATGCAAAAGAGCAAGCAATATTCGGAAAATTGGAGTCAGCTTTGATGGATTCAATTCCAATCTGTTTGGAAAGGCGACTCTCTTCGTCTGAGTTAGAAGAATCCGACGATGACGATGTTTTTCCGGCGACCCTCTTCTGTAACACGTGTGGACACGTGTAACTCATGCATTTCATACTTATCTTTCTGTATTTGAGTTTCACGTTTGGGCTAAATTATTGTAGGGTTTGTTGGGCCGAATATTGTAACGTTTGCACATTTTGGGCTTTAATGATATGGCTGACAAAAAAAAAAAAAAAAACTGTCTTTGTTAACTTGTACGAAAAATGCATCATAATCACGTGATACATGTGATCCGTGGGGCTTTATAACAACATTATTTCATTACGAATTTACCATAGAAGAGATAAGAAAAATCAAAGCAAAGCTGTGTTACTCATAAACAGACTCAAAGGATCTTCCTGCATGGGTTCTCTTGACTTGCCTCACGCGTCATCGTTAAAGGTTCTTTCTCTAATTTGATTTATCTGACGATAAACAAAATTCAATATTATTACGAATCATAAGATAAAATTTCTAAGTAACAGGGAGGAACCGAAACATTTCTTAGGAATGTGTTTGAGAATATATTGAAAACGTATCTGAGAAAGAATCCGACCGCAAAGACGATATGGGAACTAGTTCAGTCGGTGGACAACGAGAAGATCTGTTACGACCACTTCACTTTCAGGACATTTAAGGTAGGAATTCTAGGCTTTCAAGATATGGTGAAACTAATTGTGTAAATTGATTTTTTTTATTCTATGGGGTATGTTTTTAGGTAGATGGTTATGGAATAGAATCTTTGTCGAGTTTCTTCATGGATTACGGATATAAAATTGGAGGCGGACTTGATTTTCCAAAGAAGAAATTACGAGTTCTATGGTTTTCTCCTCCGGATGTTCTCGTCCCTTATGACGGTCATGGTCTAGGCAACGGCCCTTTGCCACGGCTCGTTATAGCTGAGGTTATTGTGGACGAGCTAAGCCCTGAATCACAGGTAATTAAATAAGTTCACAAGCATAATCTTGTTAGTAGAGTTTTGAGATAGCTAATATTGCTTTTTTTATTTGGTCCTCATTAATGGTTAATTAGGTGATTATAAAGAAGTATTTAAAACCAGAAGGTGGTAAACAAGCGGTTCTTTCAAGTACTTTGGGTTCTTTAATTTGGGAGAAGCCTACATGGACCGACTTCAAGCAACTTGCAAAGTATATAACTCTATAATCATATATGACACATCTTATACTTAAAACATCACTTAAAGTTAGAGAGAGTAAGTATTACAGTTGTTGACTTAATTATTGTGAAATGACGTAGAGAAAGCGAATTTGCGGCATGGGCACTTATCCACGGCTACACAATGAACCATCTAGCGTTTTCAGTTCATCGACTCAAACACCGTTTCAGCGACACCAGATGCGTCAAAGAGTACCTTGAAGAGAGAGGATTCGAACTCAACAGTGACGGAGGAACTCTCAAAGGTTTCTTTTACTTAATCCCCTTATATGATTTTTCATTGAAAATGTTCTATTTATAAGCGTTAGATAATTGGAATGATCAATGAGAATCAAATATATATATTTCAGTGAGTGAAGATGGTTTATTGTTACAAGTTGCATCGATCTCGGAGAGACTTGCGGTTGAATTTTCAGATGGAGTAACTGAAACAATCCCGGCTTCGTACATTGAGTTCACTCAACGTCTGGTTCTCCCACAGTTTCGACATTTGCCACATGACCAGGTTCTACATTTTCACTCTCAAGAATTTGGATACAGTCCCGACCATGTTCTCCCACAATATTGTATTCACGATCTACATATTCACCCGTAATTGCAGATTAAAGAGTACCATAGACGCGATGGCTTTGATTTCGACAACGCAGAAAACATTCTGGAAAGTGCACGTTTCACCTCAGATGTTTAGAATCATCAATATGGTCCATTAATCGTGTCTGAAAAATAATAATATAAACCAGTGAATAAGCATGGGTTTGTAATGTAAGAAGTATGTTCAATTTGTGTTCTGTTATGTCTGTGTGCGTGTGTGTCTTCTTTCCCAAGAAACGTGCCTCTATGCATCCCCTTATGTATGAACATCCCATTTCCTCCTTTTGTTGTTAATTGTTAAGAAGTCTAATTACTTAAAATTTTCTGTACTTCCTTCTTGACTACTTGTTGCGGATCTCAGTTAGGATCTCCTCGATGTCTACAGTAACCTCGACGTGATGTCTCAACAAATTGCAGTTATCCAAAAGCCTTATTTGTTGATCATCAATTATGGAAGTATCATCCTTTTTGTTACATACCCCATTAGCACAAGCCCTGCGTTATACATTCATACCGTCAGTTGATAGAAAGCATTATAGAGGTAGCCTGGTTACTAATAGCAAAGTAACAATATTTCATGGTTAATATTTTTAGAATCTTGTAATGTTAAACAATTTACAATACAAAACATACCGAAAGATCGGAGAATCTTAGGATCAAATTTCTCGGCTAAGTCCCGTGACTACTTCTTTTGGAACGTTGAATGGCTAGCTTTTCTTTAAGCTGATGAGAAAGTCCTACAAAACGAAGTTCGATAGAAATAAATAATCATCAGATTCATTAATCAAGTTTTTGTTTTGCTGATGAGAGAATTTACCATTTCAGATTCTGAGAGAGAGAGGAAAACCAATTGATATCTTCGATCCTGTTTTTGTGCAATATTTTGCTTGTTTCCTCCATCCCAAGTTTCAAAATTAGGGTATTATATGCCGACTAATTACGATTTAACTAAATCCGCCGTAAAGTTTTAGTATTGGGCCAAAAGTCCCCAAAATATAACCGCTCTCAATTTTGTTGGATAGATTTTGGAACTTGTCATTTTAAAAAAATAACTTATATTATTATCAAATTCTTAAAAAAAAAAAAAATTACATGAGCCAGCGAAAAATATAGTAACGGATATAGACTTCTTATAGAAAATAATTGGGATCACAGTAAAACACAAACATTCTAACAGAATTGGAAGTCCATTCAACTAAAGAGTGTACATTAGATCAGCTTCTGGCACCAGTTGATATGTACTTGTAACGCATTGCCCAGAAGAGATAGTGCAAGAAGTTAACAACACTCAGAAAACAAATGAGCCAGTAGAACAAGTCTAATCTGTAACGGTTGATGCCAATTTTTTCACCGAGCCAAGGGCTTTTTCCTACACTCTCCGTCACACGGTTCACAATGAGCACCATCGCCGAGTTTAGATAATAACCCATTGCCAAAGAAGCCCATGAGAGCGACGTGGCCAATGATCTCATTGAAGAAGGTGCTTCTGTGAAGAAAAACTCTAGCAATCCTGCTAATGTAAATAGATCAGCTGATCCTAGAAACAGATATTGAAGTGCGATCCATAGGAAAGTGATTGGTAAGGTTTCTTTTGAGTCAAGCAATCCAGCTTCTGTGGCAACTCTCTTCCGTTTTACCTCGACTAGAGCGGCCACTGCCATTGCTAATATGGAGAGGACTAAGCCTACACCGATTCTTTGCATATGAGTTATACCCATTTCTGATTTGGTTACTCTTCTAACGAACGGGATAATCAGATGGTCATAGATCGGAGCAAGAATCAACATGAACACGACCGGAAAAAAGGGTAATGAAGCTGCAGGAACCGTTAGGTTTCCGATCTTTCTGTCCATCGACGCAGCTTGGCGGATAGAGAAAGTGGAGAGCTGAGCTAAGCAGCAACTGAGCATTATAGTGCAGCCGAATATCGGAAGCATTTTGAGCACAATCTTGACGTCTTCCACTTGTTGGACCGTGCATTCTAGCATACTATGGACCGTTTTGCCCTCCACCGCTCTGTTTAGACATCTCAAGCTATTGGTTAGTGACTGAGAAGAATGTCTCTTTTCTCCTTCTTCTGATTGATCTTCTCTAACCAAGTAATTAGATGGACTCACAGAGAAGTTCACAACAGCATTACTCGAAGATTTACTCGAGCAACCCAATATGGAAGCTGCAAGAAGAACCTGTACGTAGAGACGTATAAGAAAACAAAATAATGATTCATTGACAATAATCAAAACACGTCTTTAGCAATGTCATTTTACCTTCAAGATTGTGGTAAGAGGACTTCCACGAGGGATCTTGTTCTTATAAAAACTCGAACCAGAGAGAAAGACGAGAATAGAGAGAAAGATGGAAATAGTGGAGACACCAAATCCCCATTCCCAGCCAATGTTTTCCTCGAGCCACACAACGAACGTCACGGCCACGAGTGCTCCACATGAGAGACAGAACACAAAGTAGTTGAAGAATGTGGATCTCTGTTTTCGACCTTTGGACGTACTCTCATCGAATTGCTCTGCTCCGTGTGACGGCAATGACCCTTTTATCCCTCCGGCTCCAAGAGCCACTAGATACAGTCCCACGAATAGAATCACCGCCTTCGAACCACCGACGGCTTTGCATGGTGAAGCGGCGGAGCTCTTGCACGGCGGCGGCATTAAGGACGGACGACGGGCTTGGATTGTGAGCAGGATTAGTCCCTGTACGTGCACGTAACCTCATTGATTAAAATGTCATAAGGATGTAAAATAGGTTTGCGCGAAAAGTAAAGGAAAAAAGAAAAGAAAAATGAAGTCATTTATTACCAGAACTTAATTAAAAAATATAAATTTATATTTTATAAAAAGAAAAAAAATGCTAACGACATAAAAGATAATGAGATGAATTTGTGACAGTGTCACTAAAACCGTTACACTTGTTTGTATGTTTTGTCTTTCGTCAAAATTTGATAACAAGTGTGGCAAACTCGACAACTCATGACAGAGAATCAAAGTGAATGTCATAAATGTCAAACTCGAACAGCGACCATGCAGACACAAGTACGAATCCGGCCCCACCTAGAGATACGGTTCCACAGCGTGGATAGTGGGCCCTATAAATCAAACTCTGCGGTTGATACGACACCGTATCATCTTTCATCGCAAAGCAGTGCACGCTTGGTCCGTCAGAATATGGTCAACTTTTATAAGTCAACAAAAAAATACATAACCCATTTTGAAACGGATCGTTCAAGATATACACATACACACACACTAGATTATTACTTACTAGTGTGAACTGGTTATATATATGTTAATTCTAACGTCAAAAAATGAAGATTGAGGAAGAAAATGATTAAATGAATTATGGAGTTTAAGTACCAGAAACTCGATGAAGGCGGAGATGAGGAAGATGATGAAAGTGGAGAAGAAGGCGTCGGAGAGGAAGCCACCGAGAAGAGCGAGGAGGAACGCTGTGCCCATGAAAGCGCTCACTTCACTAGCCGCTCTGGACACGGACAAGTGCATGAATTCCGTAAGATATGTGACCAAGTTGCTCGCATTCGCTAAAAACGCTAGATTCTCCAATATCTCCACCGCTTCACAACACACGCACACGCACAAGAAAAGAAAAAAAGCAAAAAAGCAAACAAAGAAATCAGTCACGTGACTCCCATGCACGGGATCGATCGAGTTAAGACTTAAGTGATTAATAAAGTTATTGAAAATGAAAGGAAAAGGGCTAAAGTTGTAATTTTGAGACTGACCCAAGACGAAGGAAGCGGCCAGCATGCCGCCATGACGACCTTTCACGGCTGCTCTATTCCTCCAGTCGACGTAGCCTTCCCATTTGGAGTCTTCTCTTTGCATTTCAACTTCCTGTATTTGAAAATAGCCAAACACAAGTAACTTTTTGAAAGATATTTATTTCTCTAAATAGAAATGAAACAGCAGTAAACCATTAACCAAAAAGAAAAGAATTCCGCAAGATAAGTTATTATGTGCTTGAATGACCCACCATTTTCTCCGTTTCTCTCAAACTTTGAGGAGGAGATACAAGGGAGATCTTTGATATATAAGTGAAAGTGAGAAGGGTATTTTCGAAGTTTAAATAGAGTTAGGTGAAGGGAATTAACAGTATATATGAGCGATGAGAAGGATAAACCGGGTCTTGAAGACATTTTATATTGCGAATGTTTACGCTGCTTTAGGAAACAACTTTATTTGTTGGCTCTCTTTTGCTACACCTAATTAGATTTTAAGGACCTAAAGATGCTAATCCAAGATATATGATAAGTAATCTGGCGCAAGAATTAATTATGAAGTTGATCATGACTTGGAATCAGGTCATCGATAATACTTCGTTTTATTAGTCTTGATGACTCACCCTCGCTAAATCTAGTATTTCATTATTTATAAATAATTTTCTGTTAAAAAATCTTCATTTTCATAATTTGTAATAGATAATAATTTAGATAATAAAAAATATTTTTTAACATTAAATAAGTATTATATATTGTTAACCGCTTGTGGTGGAAAAAATTGAGAATGAAATCCACAAGTTCACAAGGTGGCAGGATTATAGAGGATTTGTAAATTAATTGATTAACAAAAATAAAAAAACTAATTATATTGTATAGATATTTGTTTTATTCGTCTATTAATATTTAAATTATAGTAAGTTTGATCTTGGGGGGCCTTTTTAGTGAGGCGACTTTTGTTTTCATGTTTTTTTCTCCTCTGTTATTTGAATCTAGACGAGTAGCACATTTGTGCATTTATTTTAAAGAAAGTTTAGCTTTGATTTAATCTTCTTTCTGTTAGAGAAGGATGCAAACCAAATCCAAAAAGCTGAGGATAATATAAAGGTGATGAGGGGAATCAAATCCCTCCACTCAATGGTTTACAAAAAAAAAAAATGGGAATCCAAATTGACCAAATGATATAAATCTCTTTATACATAAAAGGATATAAATATAAACGTGTCATCAGTGTGAAGACATACTGATTCTTTTCCATTCTACTCAATTTCTTGATAGTGTTGACCTTGCAAAATAGCCAAATGTCGAGTACTAGTTTTATTGGAAAATGATTCAGATTTAATAGCCAACGTTTATTTTTATTTACATGTTTAAGAATGTTAAAATACCTAATTTCTCACGTCAGGTTTCTTAAATCGTAAATAATTAGATTGCATTAGATGGATACAAAAAAAATTCTTACTTTCTATGTCAAAAATATAAAGCATAGCAACATTCTAGAAAATAAATATGTTTATTTACTGGGACAAAAAAGCAAAATGTTTACCAAAAACAATGAATCATTGTATGATATACAATAAAAAATTATTTATTTGACATGATTGTCAATTTATTATCTCGGATATTTAAGCACTCTTCAGACACTTGTCTCCAAAGCAATAATAGTTTTACTCACATATATACCGGGGGGAAAAGTTGATATATATAAATTAAAGAAGTTCTTGCAACTTAAAAAGTTATACGAAAACGTGACAATATGTAGTTATTTGTTGATATTGTCGATCTTTATCCTTAACTACGTAAAACATTAATTCAGCAATTATGATGAAGGTACGTAAGAAAGTCTTTATTATTATTTTTAACTATTTTTTGTAGTCTTTTTTTTTTTGCTTATAAGAAAGTCTTTGTTACCTTGTTTACAATTTACTTATACACATACATTCCAGAATTTGAAGTTGAGTTATAACATATGGGTCTAGTAGATGCTATGCTATCCAATGGAATGCAGTAATTAACTTTTATGACACATTCCCAAAAAAAAAATATAATCGTAGTGGGCTGTATAATTTTTAGATTCTTCCGACTCAACAAGTTATCAAGCCCAATGAGCTGCATGATATATCTTGACTCTTGAGTCTCTGACTCGTCAATTCATGTGAAGCAGCAGTAGCAAGGAGAAGTGAAGTTATTTGCAGGAGATGTTTCAGAGTTGAAAGAACCTGAACCAAATTGATTGATAGGATTCTTGGGCCATAGTCTGATCCGAAACAGAGGTTTGAGACGATACTACGGTCCAGTCCAGCAAGTTTTGCTCTGATTAGAACTTGAAATTTCTTTGATTACGACATGGGATGGTTTCATCACTGAAGTGTGAAGCTGTAAGTTTCTTTCTTTCCACATAAAACGCACTAGGACATGGAGAATGAGCTTGCAAATCGCTGTTCTTGGAATCGACATGGAGGAACAGACTGCAATATCAGTTTCGATATGCTGCTTTTGGTACTCGATATGTTCAAGTCTACGAAACCATCTAATTATGCGATTATTATTGCCCTTCAGTCCAGTAACCTGATAGTTTATAAATTTGCTTTTAATGAACGAAATGTAAACCATAATTAGCAGTTGAAATTTGACGCCAACTGCTCTTTAATTATAATCTACAGTTATTATCAAAAAATAAAATCTAAAATTCTAGAACCATTTATGAAGGCTACGGTATTATTCCTCTTAAGAATTCGATGTAAAATATTATAATCAAGTTGGGGTAGCTTATAACCTAATTGATCCAGAAGGGCATGTTTTGATTTTGAGTGGATACTCTCGCAAGAAATTTCTCCATTATTGTCTGCAATTTAGGCCCTATTTTTCTTTACCAATAAAAACAATTTCCTCCATTATTGTCTCCCATAGAAAGAGGTTACGGACACAAAAACCATTATATCTTGGTTTAATTTGTTGATAATCAGCTATAAACTAATGGAATCATAATGTCTTGAAGTTATATAAAGTATATCCGCATGATATGTGAAAAACAACCGATGAAGTATAAGTAAAAAGAAAAGAACCGATCAAAAATATATATCAAAAGCAGAGAAAAAAAAACAGGAATGATTCACCTTTGGCTTTTGCTATTTGTGTTTCTGATTGGTACATAGCTAAAGTGTGTGCATGACATTACGGCGTATCGTAGAGCTAATGATACTTTTGGTGATTTGAATTTGAATAGTACGTAAGATTACAAGGTCCGTTTTATATGTAAAAAACCTTGGAAGATTATAAGGTCAAGTTTATACTAGTGTTTAAATTCTTCTTATTATTTATTTTTGTTGGAGGTGAAAACCGCACCTCCGGTTTTTTCCGGTACAAACCGAGATCGGCACGACGTAAATCCGGTTTACAAAGAAAATATACCGAGAATATTAGGCCGAGTGGGTTCTTGGGCCGAACGTAGCCCAACAAGCCAAAATCGGTCGGAAACTTCTCGAAGGAACCGAAAAGTTTTCTGAGTTCGGAGGAAAATAGAAAGTTTTCGAATAGAAAAAGGAAATTGACGAGAAGAAAGAAAATTATCATGAGAAAAGGAAAATGACCGAGAGAAAAAGAAAGTTTCCTCGGTCCCATATCGCAAAAAAGACTCATGAAAACCAACTTAGAAGATATATATAAAGGGAGAGAAATCGACACCAAATGGCACAAAAAATTCTAGAGAGACTTGGAGATTGAGAGCTCAAGGCATTCATTAGCTTTTTGATTTCTTAAGTCTTAGTTCGTTTGTTATTATCATATATAAACGAACTCATTTGTATTATTGACCGATCTTAATAAAATCCGAAATTTCAATCTAAGTTATTGTTTTGTCCCTTGTCGATATTCACATATCAACAATTTTTAAATCCTTTTTACCTTTTTAAAAACTGGAAGAAATTATCTACAACTTCATTTAGCTAGTCCCAAAAAAAAAAAACAGAAAATGGACAAATAATAAAAGGTGATCTTGAAGTTAATGTGGAAAGTTAGCTTTGGGAATTGAAAATATGATAAGTTTAAAGATTTCTAGGATCATTTTTGCGGCTGAAGCCAAAGATCTATTAGGTGTGGTTCTAGACCACATGCTTAGCTTTCTCACAAGTCCAATTTTCATAAATTTTAGGTGTCACTGGAAATTTTTTGGATTAGCGAGTAGTTTTTGAAGAAAAGAAAGTGAATAGAGAAGATTCTCTTATAGCTCAAAGCGTGACAAAGGAAGATCGTTGGCATGCAATCAATTGTAGCGGTTGGCAACCCACTTTGGCTAAAAAGATTTTGTTCGTTGCTGATTGTAGTATTATATTTGTATCAGGTTTGTGGAATGATTTCCCCTGACCCTTTGTGTCTTTTGTAAACTGTCCGCTTATCAATATAACAAGTAATTCAGAGAAAAAAAAAAGAATAAAAAAAAAGGTAGAAAGCAAGAAAAAGTGAATGTGAGGAGCTGAGAAAAAAAAGAAGCTAAATGAGACAATTCACTGGGGAAGTGACCATAAACCACACCAAAACTCCCTCTTTGAACAAAACAGCATATCCATCTCCTGTCGTATCATCATTGTGGTTAAGATCTATATACACGTAATTTGATCTTTTAACACTTTTTTTTATCGATAATCCGATCATTTTCGTCCATAGATTCTATTATATATCACTGTCTATTCTTGATCAGCGTTGTTCATATAGTCGTCTGATGCCATTTATCTACTCTCCAAAGCTTGTAGAATTAACATGCAAACCGTTAGTAGTTGGATATCCAAAATCTTAGTCTAAAACTCTAATCTATGTTTTGGCGTCAAATTATGTTTTAACACAAGCCTTAAAACAAATCTATAGTCTTAGAAGGAGGAAAAAATAATAATTGTTTTATATATCTTCACGTCACATGAACACAGTACTATATAATTATGTGTGACTAAACAAAAGCAAGGTAAAACTTTATTACAGCAGTGGACATTCAAAAGAATTTCACGAAACCAAACCAAAAGAATCTGATGTTGACGGGAAACAAAAGAATGGATCACTTTTAAAATTTCTTCTTTTTTGTCAAACGTAGTACACAAGGATTGTTGCGTCACATAAGGAAATATTGTACCCACTTGCAATATACATCGACAACAAAGGTGCTTAGAGAGCATCTCCAATCCAAGTTGCGAACTCATTTACTCTAGATTCCTTTTTTTATAACATTAATACGTTTTTTCTTTGTTATATTTGTATTCTATGTTTTTTTGTTCGTCATTAATCAATAAATTTTAAGCATTGCCACCCGTAGTTTTCTTGAGTTATTTTTTGATTCTACAACTCTAAAACCGACTAGACAGGGTAATTTAAGATAGCAAAAAATGGTAGTTTTTTATTTAATTCTATAACAAGTTGCATTCAATTCTGTAGTTTCTTTTTTTTTTTTTTTTTGGCAAAAGGGACTACCGATTGGAAATGTAAATCAATGGCTTGCTTGACCTCAATAAATAGGGTCTACAAGAAAATAAGAGCTCAGCTAATTATAAACCAGAAACATAATCCCTTTTATGGCAAAACAGCACCTTCGTCTCCTTCTTCATACCAGACACTTAAACCAGCAAAAGGAATCGTTTTTTCTTTCTTGTAACTTTTCTTATCGTCATTCCATAATCTCTTCTTTATAAAAAGTGACTCTTAAGAGTATCAACATTTGCAGTAATTGACTCTAGCATTTTCATTTATAACATTTACAAATGGAAAACTCTAACACTGATTCAGAATTTCTCTTTTGGTTTCAGAACCAGAAGCAAAGCCATAGCCATAACTTTGCTTCTTCTTGCTTTCCTCCGAGCTCTCACTCTGCTTTTTATGGTATTCCCCTGCTCCACCTATCTGGATTTTGGTTTTGGATTTGTGGATTTTCTTAAATGCATCTTTTTTTTTTCCCTGAAAATGTTCACCTTTGACGAATCTTCATGCCCAAACTGCAGCCACCTAGATTAGAAGAACCTTTCAGTTAAAAGAGTTTGAAAAAAAAAGTGAAAGAAAAACTTAGAAGAATCTTCTGCAATATAGATCAGATTCTCTTCTTAAACTCTCTTGTTAAGATTTGTGTCAAATTCCGATTCCGTTTTCGGTAACATATTCTCTCCTTAATTCATCAGGATCTAGCTCAATGAGCAACACAGAGACTAACACCGTGGACGACGAAGACGTCTTTGAGAGCTACAAGATGAGAGAGATAACCAAGAAACGGAAGCTAACACCAGTCCAATTGCGTTTACTAGAGGAGAGTTTCGAAGAAGAGAAAAGACTCGAACCGGAGAGGAAACTCTGGCTGGCCGAGAAGCTAGGGTTGCAGCCGAGCCAAGTCGCTGTCTGGTTCCAAAACAGGAGGGCTAGGTTCAAGACCAAACAGCTAGAGCAAGACTGTGACTCTCTTAAGGCTAGCTATGCTAAGCTCAAGACTGATAGGGACATTCTCTTTCTGCAAAACGAAACCCTCAAGAACAAGGTACATTTCTTCACAAATTAACAAGCCAATATTGTAGAGACTCTGTTCAACATTTTGATCTTTGATGAAACATTGAAACAGGTTGCTCTTCTCAAAGAGAAGCTGAAAATGAAAGATAATCTTGAAACTCAGCCTATGGAGGCCGAGAAGCTTGGGGAAGAAGGTAGTTCGGTAAAAAGTGATGATAATACACAGTGCAGTGAAGAAGAAGAAGCATTGGGGAATCAATACAGCTTTCCAGAGCTTGCAGCTCTCGGATTTTATTATGATCCAACTTTGGCTGCATCAAATCTAAGGTTGTGGTAGTATAGGTCTACCTTCCGTGAACCTCAAGTTATCATCTATGTTTTTTTTTTCCTTCTTAGGGTTCATGTTCTGCGAAAAAATAAAGTTGAATTGTTTTTTATGGATGGTAACAATTTAAAATCTTATAAATAAAATATCAACTGTCTTGAACGTTAGGATCATAAATCTTTCAATGACGAGAGTGTAGAAATGAAAAGTTGTGCTTTTCAAATGATATGATATTTTGAATGATCATATATCGTAATAATTCGCATTTAGAATAAAATTAAATATACATTTATCGTAATAATTAGAGTGATACATTTCCAATTAGTCAATAATTGAGCAAATAGTAGAAGGGATAATTAATTCATTTGAAAGGGACTGGCACAATTTGATGGAGTATGATAATAACATATGCAATAATTATTATACCTTTGGCTTTCTAAAAAGAACTAATAATTATACATTTGGTTGTAAAAACTGAAATAGACACAAATCGTCTTATCCAAATTACACCATAAACACAACGGAGATGTCCAGAACTCTGCACAATCTTTGAAAGTCACGTGTGCGGATCAGATGACTCAGATCCAGATTTCTCCACCTTCCACGTCAGTGTGGGACCATTATACAAACTCCTGCACATAGATTTTCTCTCATGTAGTCAGGTTACATTTAGTAACACGCGGCACAATAGTATTGGAACTTATTAAAAAATTTGGAGTTTGTGGGTCCACCAATCTGTCTTGTCTTTTTCGAGCGCTCATGCACTCCGACAGGGACTGACAGAGACTTCAGACTAGATATCAAGTTACTATATGGGCTTAAGCCCATTTACTTTAAGTCCAATATATGTTTCCCTCGAAAATTAAAAATAAAAATAATTTTTTTCTGTTTTGGGACGGACTCTCAACGAGTTCGAGTATGAGCCGAAAGAGAGACAAACCCTACACTTACCGTCATACACCGGCGCGAATTTCGAAACGCCGGCGAGCTTGGGAGCCTCCGTCATCGAAACTCGATGATAACATCGACAAACCGACCAAAAAACCTCCGCCGCCACCGGCGTTGGTCGTTATCGGACTTCCCGACTACTGTTCAGTACTGGAGCTGAAATCCCGATTCGAGATCTACGGCTCAATCTCACGAATCAGAATCGACAAGGACGGATTTGGCTCCGTTTCGTACCGCAACGCCGAGTCAGCAGAGGCCGCCATTGCCGGTAGTCTCGAGCCTTCTTTTGGTATCTCGATCGATTCCAAAAAGGTGTAAATTGAATCACACACTTTAGTGCCAAAACCTCACTGTCAAATTTGGTAATTTTAGGGTTTAATAAGATTCGGGGATGCTTGTATTGCAGTTGCAGGTGGTTTGGGCAACGGATCCATTGGTGAAGTGGAGGGAAGGTGTGAGGGAGGCAAAGGATAAAACGTCGCCGTCTTCTTCTTCCTCGAAGCTTCTCCGACCTGAGATGCCATTAAGGAAACATGGAAGAAGCAATAGGCTAGCGTCGGCTATCGTCGACCCGAGAAGCAAAGCTAATATCGGCGGAGAAGGAAGTCTATCTCCGGCGACGAGAAGGGGATTTAAACAGAGAGACATTGTAGCCTACGATGATATCCTTTAACGGAATCAAATGGATCAACTTTTTGTTTTCTTCATTTCTTTTACACTTTTGGCAATTCTTTCCTTGAAAAATGTGTATGTTATGTGGCTTTAGCATTTAGTTTTCTTTCTTCTTCTGAATCTCATAGGTAAAGTTTGGTTCTTTCTATTTCAAGAAATTCTGTACCTTTAACGGTGTATTCTATCATTTTCTTTTGAGGAGTTAATTCTTTGTATAGTTTTAGATTACAAGAAAGCGGACTATTGCTAAAGATTCGAACTTGAAATCCATAAACCGTGAAATTGACAAAAGTTATAAAATCTGGTCGAAACTCATACTAGTCGCGTGGTTGGTTGATTTTCACTAACTGTATGCAAGTGCTACGTTAATGGACGGTTCAGTGATACGTATGCGTTTGATAATTGATACTAAGTTCAAAAGCTTATGTGGTGGTGGCATAAGGATTACGACCAAGCCAATCAACTAAAGAGTAACTGAGTAAAGACTATGTCTCCTTCACTTGGACAAGTCGGTGTCCAATTAGTAGTTCCTTAAGCCCTAATGAACTTCACGACGACATCGTTTCAGGCCAGTTTGGTTCATCCGATTGTTAAAAACTTAAAAAGTGACAGGACCAAGGTCGTTAAGGCGGAGACAAAGTACGCACGAGATTTCAATCACAGCGTTTCCGAGCAACCATAGTTTTAAAAGAAATCCAGGTCGAAAAATGGTCAAACACGATGGGAATCAGGCTCCGGCTTATGAAGAAGAAGAAGAAGAAGAACGAGTGTGGAGCTGGGGCGCAGGTACGGACGGCCAATTGGGGACTGCCAAGTTGCAAGACGAGCATCTCCCGCAGCTTCTCTCGCTGACGTCACTTGCTTCCATATCGATGCTTGCCTGTGGCGGCGCTCACGTCATAGCCTTGACTTCTGGTAACCTCCCCCAAATCTCCGATTTGTAAGGAATGTTTGGTGATGATGTCAATTTGATTACTTTTATCTTCTGACCCAACATTAAAGTATGCTTTTTTTTTTGCAGGTGGTAAGGTGTTGACATGGGGAAGGGGAAATTCTGGTCAGTTAGGACATGGGGACATCCTCAACACTTGTTTGCCCAAACCGGTATCTTTCTTTGACGACTATGTTATAACTCAAGCTTCAGCTGGATGGAGCCACTCTGGTTTTGTTTCAGGTGAAAACTCAAATGAAGTTTTGTAACTGCTTAGGAGTTAGGAGGACAAAGAGATTGATTTCCTTTTTGTGGTGTGTTGTGATTGTGTGCGAGTGCAGATTCCGGTTGCCTTTTTACATGTGGCAGTGGCTCATTTGGTCAGCTTGGTCATGGTGATAACATGTCCCAAACCTCTCCAGTTAAAGTCTCTTACTTTGTCGATAAGAGTGTGAAGATGGTAGCTTGTGGTATGCGCCATTCACTTGTCTTGTTCGCAGGTAAAACACCTGATACATCATTCACTGGTTTGCTAGAAAAAAAGCGTGTTTTTACATTTGATTCTATCTTGTCTTCTTCAGGGAATCAAGTGTGCGGATTCGGATCTGGAAAACGCGGACAGCTAGGCGTCTCATCAGACAGAACAAAGTCAGTAAATCTCCCATGTGTTGTCTCTGGATTAGAAGATGTTGAGGTTGTTCGTATAGCAGCTAATGGAGATCATAGTGCAGCTATATCCGGTTTAACTTTTTAAGTCTCATGTTCAGTTTCATTAGTTGATCGAATTATGTGAATCTTTTGTTAAAAAGTCCGTCTTCTGTTGTGCTTGACCAGCTGATGGACAGTTGTTCAGTTGGGGAAGAGGATTCTGCGGCGGTCCTGATATTCAAACCCCTCAGTGTTTACCATCATCTCAGTCTTTCAGAGAAGTTGCTTTAGGATGGAATCATGCTTTACTGCTAACCGGTAATTTCCACTTGGATGTGTCAATAACTTCCTTTAGCTCACTGCAGTCATTATTCTGACCACGGACTTATTGAACAGTGGATGGCGAAGTTCTCAAGCTTGGTAACACCCTTAATAAACAATCCGAGAAGCAACCACTGCAAGTAGATTCCTCTGAAGCTCTCTTGGAGAAAGTCCCAGATTTTGATGAAGTTAAAGTTCTGCAAATTGCAGTAGGAGCAGAGCATTCTGCTGCCGTAACAGGTAAAAGGGGGAGGTGGGCAATTATATTATCTCATTCTTCTTGAGACCTGCTCTCCGTATAAAACAAACCACCTTTGAATATTTCTTGCAGAGAGTGGAGAAATTAAGACATGGGGATGGGGTGAACACGGTCAGCTAGGCCTTGGAAGTAGCAATGATCAGACGAGTCCTCAACTTGTGAGCCTAGGAAATAGTGACTTGCGAACAAAAGAGATGAAAGTATATTGCGGGAGTGGATTTACTTATGCAGTAAGGCGAAAGCAACAGCTTTCTTCTTCACCAACATCAACATAGACATGGATGTATAACAATCTTTTGTGTTTAAATTGTTTACACGAGTCTTGTCAGAACAATACAGTGGTTGTATCAGTACCATGATGGAAAATTTTAAATATACAGATCATATACTGCTTCCTTGGCTAGCTTACCCTACATGAAAGCGAAATTCCAAAAAAAAAAGAAACCAAAACCCTACTGATTCAGCTCATGTTCCATCGATGGCGGGATTAGTTCTGAAATGTTGTTGCCTACTTGCCTTTGACCTCAAGAGACAATTAGCAGATTGTTTTCATATCCATCGGAAGTAACAATTGGTCGAAGCGGGTCAACTTTCCACTGGCCATCAACTATAAACTTTATCTGTGATAAAATGTTGCAAAGTTCAGATTTTGGTTTGACTCATGAAAAGGGGAAAAATGTCAGTTGCAGATACTGAATTGATTGAATGATCCAACCTCATATTTTCCAGGATATAGCTTTAGCGATAAAGAGAAGACTCCGTTCTGTGCTTTCTTCATTTTCCTCTGCTTGCAATATCATATACAAAATTAATCAGGCAATTTGATTTCCTTAAACCGAGATTAGTCAGCTTTTTTTACAATGAATTGAACTGACCTGTGTAGACCAACCATCAAATGAACCCGTTAGTAGAACTTCTGAGGCTGAATTAGGCCATACTATGGATGCAGTCCGGAGTAACCGTAAGGCTCTGCTAGCATGATCTATTTTTCTCTGTTTCTCTCGTACAATCTTCTGTGCGTCTCTAGAAGAAAAAATTAACTAATGTGAGAGACAATAGGTGTGAGGTTCCTCTTATCTATCTGCAATTAATCAATGAGCAAAGCATACATTATAGCCATTGCCATCTTTCCTTCAAGAACTGCCAGCTTTGCCCGTGTAGACCGTAACTTATTTTGGGCATGTATGATCTCATTCTCCTTGAACTCCCAATCGTCACTGAGGGTCTCCAAGTTCTCAGAATTTATCTCACTATCCTAAATGAAATTATAAACCAAAAATAAGCCAAATGGACATCACTAATAGAATCGCTACTAGTTTAATAGGAAGTTATGAGTGATTTTTATGAAAACATGTGTTACCTTACTTGTCACAACTTCATCAGGATGAGATCTAAGGGAGTGAAGAACAGAAGAAAGTTCTGACTGGAGATTTTGAAGACGGCTTTTGATATGAGTTGTTGTTACATCTTCTTGGGAAGATGCAGTTTTATCTTCTCCATTTATACTATCACCAGAAGAATCCTTACTCGTATTATCCTTCTTCACACCATCTAAACCACTGGAAGAAATTTCAGCAGCTGTACAAATGTTTTATTGGCTTTAGAACTTCCTTTAATCGAGACTTTATATGGAAGAAGACAGAAGTAACTCCTTCATACCTTCAAAATCTTCATCAGTAAATCCAGCTCTCCTCATACTCCATGTTCTCCATGTTTCTGATGTAGAGGAATCATCGCTCAAGCCACGCGTTCTTGAAACTGAACTAGCATCTTGATATCTACTTTGTGCATATTCACCTGAACTTCTACTACCCCCGAGTTGTTGAAATTCACTGTCTGTCTTTTGAAATAAAAAAAAAGGTAGGCAACAAACCTCACGACTTAAACAGTTTATTCATCAGGATTATTTGCAGTGAACAGCAAAAGTTTGTCGACAGAATAACATACCATAATCATTGAAGACCGAGGAACTGAACCATTTGGGAAGATATCATTCATGGCACCGTTGCTTTCCTTTTTCCCACTCAAGCTAATCCCTAGACTCAGATTCCTTTCTTTCTCCAATCTAGTCAAAATGCCTTCAATTCCACTCTCATTCACAACATCTACTTCTCTGACAGAACCGAGACTATGTTAAAATTCTAAAAGGCGTAGAATAAGAAGAAGTGTAAATTAGAAGACTCACTCTGTTGAAGATGAAGGATTTGAGTAAAGAACAGAAGCTCCATGACGATTATGAAGCTGTTTATCGATATGTAAGTCCCGTAGCATGACATTGTCGTTTACTCGGACCTCCTCGAGTTTCCCTTTTTCTTCTTCCTCTTCTTGTTCATCCAAATCCCATCCCATGGAAAGCCAACCACCTTGGTCAACGATTCTCTCCACAAGATCAAATCTTCCAGAGCGGATCAAATCTTTCTTGCTCGGAAACATCCCAGGTTTCTCCGAATTCACCATGAACTCCAGAATCTCAGTTTCCAGATCCTTACTCCCTTCGCTATCCCAGCTCAAATCGTGGTTATTGCACATCCTCAAAACCCCACTAAACCGAGCACAACAACCTTTCTTCCTCGTCTTGAACCGAAGAGACCTTAGAACAGGCCCACAATCTTTTCTGGCAGCTAAAAGGCTCAGCTTCGCCGAATAATTGGGATTAAAGGAAGATAAAGCAGAAAGAGGCAAAAGGGTATCGGAATCAATCAGCGAATTCCGAGAAGCAAAACATGAAATCGGGCCTGAGTTGAGAGAGACCATTGTTGGAGCATTTCGTCGAACAATATCAAGCGGCTCTCATCAAGGAGAGGAAGAGGAGGAGGAGATGCCAGGCAACGAACAAAACCTCTGGGAAAATGAGTTAAGCCAAACCAGTCGGTTCTTCTCTATATTCGAAAGAGAGGGAGAAGAGAGTACTCAGAGGTCATGTGACCGCACAAAAATCAAAGCTTTCCAATCCTGAAAAATTAAAGGAGCATGCTTTATTCGGACGTTAATCGAATTCCAAAGATCAAGTTGAGGTATCTTTCGTTAAGTTTTCGCTTAGATTTTCTCATATTTGGTTATCCTGTCTGAGAAACCATTTTAGACGAAGCGGTTTGGTTTCATTGTAATAGTTCCGGTTTTATCCCAATTCTCAGCGATCATGGGCTTCACGTAGTATTTAGCCCACTTTTGTTTGAGTGTTCACTCACACACTTCTATTAGTCTATATAATTTTACTTTCACTAGGCTATGCTATTTAGTATATGTTTAGAAGTGTGTGAGTAGAACAATAATATTCACTCTATATGTTGATTGATTTAGTAAAAGTAAAAAAAATTAATTAAAAAAAAATACCAGCTTCTTTTTGTCTCTAGTTACCAATAATAAGTTTTGTTAAAATGATCATTTTTTGGTTAAAGGATTGAAAAATGATCATGTTACTAAATGTAATGAAAACGAAAAAAAACTTGGGAACATATTAAAATAAATAAGTCTATTCTTTTTATTTTATTTTTTTTGGTCAAAAAATAAATAAGTCTATTCAAACCTCAGAATTCTAAAATAGTTTTACGTTGTCAAGAAACTAATATTTTATATATACATTACAATATAACCTCTCAAAATAAGTCGAGATACACACTTATTACTACGGAACAAAAAAAATATATATACACACACTGACACACAGCAATGCATTATGTTCTCCCATAGGAAGTCGACGTTAAAAAGCGTTAGCTCGACAGAAATCTTGAAAGAAAATAACATCCTTCTCTCTCTCTTTCTCTCTCAACTTATATATATCTATAAATCAAAAAATCCTCTGCTCCATCTCATCTTCCTAATAGTTAGTCGTGCCTTGGTCAGAACTCAGAATGTATTGTTTCTGATACTAATCTACCAAAAATAAAATTCAAAAAAATTCTGTATGTTCTAAATTTTGGAGACTGTTCATACAGTCTTCTTACTCTTTTTGGTCGTCGCTTTCTGTTTCTCTCTTTTCTTGTTTTGTTTTGTTTTTTTTGCTTGAGCTATTGTGGTCATCACCGGAGATGGAAGTTGTTGAGAATTCGAAAAATCGGACTAATTCTCCGGAGAAAAAACGTGGAGGCTGGAGAGCCATTTCGTTCATCCTTGGTATGTTCTTTTCTCGTTTCTTCCTTTATTTTATTTTTCAAGGTTTTTTTTCAAACTCTCAACATGGTATATTATTAAATAACTACGAATTTCTTCATCCATAGTAAAAATTATGGTGGACCGACATATCAAACACGCTTCATTGATCCCTTTCAATTGTTTTATGGTGTTTTTGTCGAGAATTTTTGTCTTAGATTTCACATATTTCTTAATTTTAGAGAGACTAACACAGCAATAACACTTTTTTTCTTTAGCTTGAATTCTGTAAATTTACATTTCACTGAAAATACCAGTAATCTGTAGTTGTGGCCAAGATCATGCTAAAATCATGAGCACACTAAACTCATTTGCGAGTCACGCAATCGAATAACCAAAGAAAATAAAATCGGACGAATTGACTCAAATTAAGAAATTTAGTCATGCTTTTGTTAAATTTTAGGCATGTTATATTGTTTTGGTGTAAACCTTTTTGCACATAAGCAGGAAATACACTTAAGCTTTTCAGACAAATCATGAGTTACATACGTTAATTGTTTTTATCGGTCTATCCAACTTAAGTAACCGAAACTATTTCATTCATAAAATATATTGTTTTACGTATTTTCTATTGTGGTGACATATGAAATTCACTTAAAATGAGAAATATAAAGGAAATGAGACGCTGGAGAGAATGGGAACGCTGGGGATATCGGCGAATTTTATGGCGTATTTAACCAAAGTGCTCCACATGGAGCTAGTGGAAGCATCCAACGTTTACAACTTGTGGATGGGTTTCACCAATCTCGCACCACTCCTCGGTGCTATAATCTCCGACGCCTACGTTGGCCGCTTCAAGACCATCGCGTTCGCCTCCTTCTTCTCCCTTCTCGTACGTTTTCATATCTTATTCTTTATAAACAATAAGCTTAATTACTTATAAAATGGAATGTTGAACTACTTAATTAGTCTAAAGAATAATATTAGACAACCGAACCAAGTGATGATCACAGTCTAGTTACTTTGTCTTTGGTTTTAGCCTTTTAGGAATCGATTTGATCTCTTGGTCACTTAAAAATTTTACGTAGTTAGTAGCTGTGTATTTTGTAAATTTAGTTTGTATTTTAATTGAGATCTCCCAATTATACTTTGCATTATTTGATAAGATTGAAAATGGAGGTTTTTTTACTCGCTGAATTGTTGTTTCATTCATTTTCAAAGATAATGTAGATAAAAATCTGACGGTCTATCCACATCACTAAGCTAGACAAAAACAGCATTATATGCCCTTTTGTTTTCTTCATCTTTTATTTTTTCAAATCTAGCTTATCAACCTTTTTACTTTGGCAATTACTATTTGATGGTTTTACACATCATTTCCTATTAATGGAACTTCCGTAACACAATGGAGTTGTAAGATATTATAAAGTTATTAATAAAAAGGGTATATGCTATATAAAGTCCATTGAATTCAAATTGTTTTGCTCAATATGTTTTTCCATAAAAAAGGAATCAATCTATTTCATAATAAATCCAAACAGGGACTATTGACGGTGACACTCACAGCTTGGCTGCACCAACTCCACCCACCACCGTGCAACAACATCCACCATCCAGAGACTTGCGACGGTCCAAACAAACTCCAGCTCGTAATTCTCTTCCTCGGTCTCGGCTTTCTCTCCATCGGAAGCGGCGGAATCAGGCCATGCAGCATCCCTTTTGGAGTCGACCAGTTTGACCAAAGAACAGAGAAAGGACTTAAAGGAATGGCCAGTTACTTCAACTGGTACTACTTAACTTTCTCCATCGTTCTCATCATCTCGCATACCGTCATTGTGTACATACAGGACAATATCAGCTGGATCATCGGGTTTAGCATACCGACCGGTTTAATGGCTTGCGCGGTCGTTCTGTTCTTTGTCGGTATGCGGTTTTACGTGTATGTCAAACCAGAAGGCAGTGTGTTCTCTGGTGTTGCTCGAGTCATCGTGGCTGCTCATAAGAAACGAAGCCTCGAGATTCCTATGGAGGATGATGGGACAGTGGAGTATTATAATCCTCCTTCTAAACCTGACGTGTTATCCAAGTTACACCTTACCAACCAGTTCAAGTACGTAACCCTATCCTAAATATAGAAGTATCGGCTCTTAAGTTAATATGTTTTTGGTTTTAAGTGTAGGTTCCTCGACAAAGCGGCGGTGATCGCAGAGGGTGATCTGACATTGGACGGAGTTCAAGCGAATAAGTGGAGGCTATGTAGCGTTCAAGAAGTTGAAGAGGTCAAATGTTTGATGAGAGTCGTTCCGGTTTGGTCTGCTGGAATAGTCTCCATCGTTGCAATGTCCACACAAGCAGCTTTCATAATCCCTCAAGCTACGAAAATGGATAGACACATGGGCCAGCACTTTGAGATCCCGGCCGGTTCTGTATCCGTCATCACTTTCATTACAATAGGTATTTGGGTGCCTATCTACGACCGCGTCTTAGTCCCATCCTTATGGCGAATCCGCAAGTTCAGGCTCACGCTTCTTCAACGGATGGGGATAGGGATCGTCTTCGCCATTCTAGCCATGTTCACTGCAGGATTTGTGGAGAGTGTGAGGCGCCCACGAGCTTTAAAGTCGACACAAACGTCAGTGTTTTGGCTAGCGTTGCAGCTGATGCTGATGGGACTCTGCGAGTCGTTTAACTTCATCGGACAGATCGAGTTCTTCAACAGTCAGTTCCCGGAACACATGAGGAGCATCGCGAATTCGCTGTTCCCGCTCTCGTTTGCCGCAGCTCACTATCTAACCAGTCTGCTGGTGACCACCGTGCATAAATTCTCTGGCGGGAAAGACCACCCGGACTGGCTGAACAATGACCTTGACAGAGGGAAATTGGATTACTTCTACTATATGATTGCCGGTTTGGGTGTGGTTAACCTTGTCTATTTCTGGTACTGTGCCAGAAGTTACCACTACAAGACCGGTTCACAAATCGAAGATTTCGAAGAGGAAAAATCTTAGGTAGACCAGAACGAAACCACATACATGATCAATCTAAAAGTTATGAACCCTACCCTAGCTGTTCGTGCTATATGGATACAAATATATAAAGCTATATTTGATCATCAGAAATAGGCTCTCATGGAAAAAAGGATTACTACTTCACATGTCGGAAAAAGTAACATTGATGGCCACAAAAAAGTTCATAAGAGAAACCGAGTAATATGCAAAAGTTCCAAAGCCGAGATACGGCTTATATAGGTTAAAGCCGAAACTTAATCAAACGAAGGAGATTGCGCACCCAAAAGCCAGAGGCTGAAAAAGCTAAGACGCAACAGCAACATTGGAGTCTTGGTGGTTGTTGTATGAATGGCCATTTCCTCCACCAGCACCACCACCACCACGTCCCCTTCCTCTGTTGTTGTAGTAGCTCCTTTGGTAACCGTTTCCACCAGACTGATCATAAGATTCGTACCTCCCATTCGGGTAGCCACCACCTCGACCTCCACGGGCATTTGAATAGCCTCTTCGACCACCTCGACGGCCTCTCTGGTTCTGCTGGTAGGATCCACGTCGCACATACTGTTGCTCATAGTCTCTCTTGGCGTTCTCTGCTTCAACCTGAGAATAGGCTTGTTCCTGTTGTCCATGGCCTACCTCTCCTTCCGTCACTGACTCATCCTTCAAACCAAAAGAAAAACAAAAAAATCAGATTCAGCCTCGAGCAATTCATATAAAGATAATTAGAGTTCCACGTTCCACTGGATTACCTTTTGATTCTCAAATTGATCATTGACAACTGATTCTTGTTCTTTGTTGTTTGAAGCTTCTTCTTCCTGGAGAAGAGTTGAACAATCAAATAAGCAACCAGGCATATTGAAAATTAAGAATGTACTTCTCTATCCTATCCCAGCAACTTAGCTTTACAAATGATCTCACTCTTGCATCATTAAACATCAAATAGTTCTTCTTTCTGCTTCGTAGCAGACGCCTAAACAAACTATGACTCCTTAACAAATGAAGTTCGACTCCAACCAAAGAAGGGAGATCACCAATCTACTCCTTCAGATAACGTTAGAACTTTGCATCTCACAAAGCCGTAATTATACAGTATGTATAAAACAGTAAACTCCAATAACAGAATTGCATAAATTCGACCACTAAATAATCATAGCTTTAAACAAAAAGTGATGAAACAACAATGCAGCTTAAGAATAACGTTTCACAAACAAAGAAAGAGAATTCAGAAAAACAATCAAACTCTTAATAACCATTGAGTTCTCTCTACAATTCAAAACGCAATCTCCTCTGGAATACTAAAAAGTCAATACCTTTTGTTGGTATTGTCCAGCAGAAGCTTCAACGTCACCAATGGCCTGGAAAGAAGCGTAGTTACCAGCTGCAGCCGCTACTTCAACCGGAGCTTTCATCACCGGTGTAGTAGTGAAATAATCAGAACCCATAATCTTCTTCAACTTCTCTCTCAATGAAGCATCTAAAACATCATAATTCTCAGTAAGTAAACCAACATCCAACATAAAGAGAAAAGAAGCTAAAAGACAAATAGGTCAAAAACACAGATTTGGGAGTGTTCTTACAAGAAATGTTGCAGTTTGATTCAATAGGCTGATCCGAATTAGCTAGCCATAGCTTGGCGTGCTCGATGCAACGCTCCAAAGCGTTCTTGTGAGACAAGCTCGAATCCACCGGCCTAGATATCATCATGCTCCAGAGATTCGAAATCAAATCCAAATCCCTATCGGAGAGCAGTTCCTCGGCATCATCGGTAACGTAATCGTAAGTCAAGCAGCATCCCCTCTCGTGCATCCTCGTCATCATTATTGAAGTAAAATCGTTCTGCGACTTCACATCGAAGAGCGAGCCAAAGTACAAGAGATTCACCAAATCCTCTAGCTTGGCATCGCCATCGCTGTGCGATTCCTCGGGAATGTTGACTTGAACACAGGCGGGGGTTTGATCGGATGATTCCCGGTGGTGCTGAGTAGTAGCGAGGCTGATTTCTTCCGAAACCGCGGCGGAGAGAGGAGCTCGGAGCTTTTCGAGCTCTTCGATTAAAACGACCACGGCTGGTTTCGATCGGAGAACTTCCTGCTGCTCCTTGTTCAGTGTCTTTCCCTGAGAAATCGACTCTTCCATCTGAGTGATTCGGTTGTATTTCTTGCGGAGGGCACGGAGACGCTTGTTGATGAGCGCCATGACTGGTCCTTCACCGGCGTCTGAGGAAGCAGTAGCAGTAGCAGCCATGGTGTGAAGGTTTGTGTAGGAGATCGATGTGACCGTCAGAGAAAATCACCACCGTTGAGCAGCGGCGGCGGCGAAGAAGAAGAAACAAGAGGAAAAAGAGGAGGATGGTTTAGGGTTTTCTGAGAAATGGGGATAAGTTGAAGCGTCTGAATTTTCGCTGTGATGCTTTCAGTTCTTAAATATATGATGGATAATTGAGATAAATATAAATCCAAGAAATCAATTTGAGATTATCCTAAATCCTAAATAAATACGAGGGTCGAATCAACAATTATCAACTATTCGGGTAGATATTTCTCCATTTTGTGGATTATATTTTGCTAAAAATTAATTTTTTTATCAATCAAATTATTGGGTTTTACGAAATAACATACCAAACGTACAAAAAGTAACAATACTAAATAAATACGAAATTGTTTCTTAGTTACAGATGAAGAGACACTCTCTTTTCCTCTTTTTTTTCTTTACAAAACTGTGGTTATCAATATAATTATTAGGTTTTTGGAAATAACATACGAAAGTACAAAACTAATACAAAATTGTTTCCCACAGAATAGAGACACTCTCTTTTCCTCTCTATTTTTTTATTTCATAAAATTATTTTAATCAATTAACTGTTTTAAATGGCATGATTATTAGTAAATAGATGGTTTTGGGATGGATTACTCGAGGAACTGATACTGTTAAGTTAATGAAGAGATTAGTAAACGTTTTATTCTTATTTAAGAATTTTCTTTGTTTAAGAAATATGTTAGGAGTTCTCAAAGATTATGAGTAAAACATATTTCAATATTGTTTTTGGAAAGGTTTAGTATTTGAAGAATTTCGTTTTTTTTTAGAATCTTCGGGGTCTTGCTAGGAGTCAACGGAAATTCGACTGATATGGTCCATATGGATCAACATGAGTTCTACTCTCACATAACCTTTTTGCCATATGCTGATGTGGTACGAATGGTTTACATATACTATAAATTTTCAGGATATTCATTCAAGTCATTTCCATTTACTTGGTTTTTGATTTATAAGAAAAATAACATTATTGCATGCCCGCACAAACGAACTCCAAAATCCATATATTCGTTTACAAATAAATTGCTTATTTACAAAAAAACAAATAACTTGTACTATATCCCCCAAAAAGATTGTTTATAAGTATTTTCTATTAACAAAACTCTTACTACTAAAAGATCAAGTAATGCTCAAGTGCGACGCCTTTTATCTCCGTGACCACGAGTCTTGTACCAACTACCAACTTTTTTTTATACTCTTCAAGTTTTCTTATAAGGTTCATAACATATGTCTCACCAAATATTTCACTGGCAATAACTCAATCGTTTGCTAATGTCTCCGATTGTCGCAAATGTATCCATGAAATCTTGTGCCACTAATGAATTCAACAAATAAACAAGCCAAAGCCAAACGTTAAGTAACACGATATATGAGAGATTTGAGAGCTTAAAGCTGGTGAAAAGAGAGTAATATAAATGAGAAAACTCACGTCTCTAGAGGCTAGCGCTGGTGGGTAGTAAAACGACATGCAATGTTCCATTGTTAGGGGGAAGTTGCAAACGAAGAGGGAACAGCTTGCCGTTTAAGGGACTGCGCGTGCACACCACAGCATCCTCTAAGCACGTTTCTTCACGAAGCGTCTGAGTCAGCTCCGCCACGCTGTTACCTTTAAACGTGAATGCATATCCAACGGTCGTATCGTCCTCCACGTGTCCTTCGTCATCAGCGATATGGTAATATATGGTTCGCCCATCAGATTTCGGAGGAGACTCAACAGACTGGTCAAAATGCAAATTGTTACGACGGTAATTTCAAACAGATTAGAAGGATATTTTAGTAAATTACTCACATCTGGATCGGATCTCTCCGAAAGAGAAGACGGAGTCCTCGAGTGAGAAACCGATAACGGAGAATTCGACGGCCTCCTATGCAGCGGCGGAGTCTTCGGCGATGGAGTCTCCTTCTCCGCCGTGAATTGAGGATTAATCAAGATCTCGACGACGTCAACATCCCACGAAATCGACTCCTGAGTCGCCGACAAATGAGGATTATCGTGCGTGACGGAGTTTCTCCACGGAGGAAGACCTCCGTTACCTCGGAGATAGTTACCGTATCTCGTCCTTAGCTTGATTTTGGTTCCTTCTCTCACAGGCTCCCACTCAACAGAGGAATCGAGCCGACTCGGTTTAAGCTGAACCACTTTCTTCCCCGTGGCTCCGAGCAAGAACCGGTCGTTGGAAGCGGTTAAGTATTTGCCGTAGCAGCTTTTGAGACGGATTACGTGGTGAGAATCGCGAACCGGCTCGACGGTCCATCGAGCGTTTTTGGTAGATCCGTTTCTGTCTTGGGTCACTGTTTCTTCGTCGTCGTCTGCTATTAGATATTTGTTGTGGCTGTTACGCATCCGAATAGCTTTCGCTTTCTGGAAAAACTCCATTGCTGATTCTTGTTTTGGTTGTTCCTTTTGGTTGAAGCTAATCGTCTGCTTCTGTTACGAGCAAATGAGTGTGTGAATGTGTTAGAAGAAGAAGTAAGATATGGTCTGTGTATTTATATGTATGTATACAAATATATCGCTGGGACTGGTCTAGATCGGCTTTCACGGTAACGCGGACACGGACACGACTATAATATTGGTTTAATGGATGCAAGAAAATCTGGAAAAGTCAGACTTTGCTGACTGGGTTTACCGCGTATTTAATTTCCACGTCAGCATAATATGAGTGATGAACAAAAAAGATTAAATGTTGCATAATTGTTACTTTGTGCAAAGCGTCTCTTGATTTCAAATCTAAGACAAACAGTTACATTTTTCAAACAGTTTCAATCCAAAGAATTTGGTCAATTGTGAGAATCCCAAGGCACCAACTATTCAAGACCAAATCTGGATTAGATTGTAAACTTTCTTATTTTCCGAGATTATATTATACTCCATACCTTTTTAATTTGGCGTTAAATCTGAGAAGAAAAATATATTGGCGTTAAATTATTATGTTATACTTTCATTCACCTGAATCATTTTATGAAAACTTTCATTCAAACAATTTTCATAAAAACATTGTTAAACCATAAACACAAGTCAAAGTTAAAATGTTATGATAAATAGCTACATTTGGTAAGCTTTTAGTTTGCTATATATCATCATTTTAGAGATAGAGATACGTAGGTAACGGATTAAATTAAAGTATCATGTTTTTTTACCATTTACAAATAAGATGTGATATAAAGAGTTCAGTAAGGTTTGAAATATTATGTAGTATAAAGAATACACCTAAATGTAAGTTACTGAAAACATAATAGATAATTTTATAACAAAAATATAAAAAAGGATAATTAAAGCCCTTTTCTACCCAAAGTGTATTATGGATCGAAAAGGATAATTAGTATATACCCTATGTCATAAAAGTATGGATCGAAAAAAGAGGATTTAAGCGAATTTTTAGAGAATAAACGTCTAATCCCTTGCACGCAAGAAAGACCAAGAGAGGAAAATCATGAGTGTGGGACTCTCCTAATTGCTTCCTTCCATGGACCCATATGCTCCATCACTAGTAATCATAACTAACACCAACTTTTTTTACCTTACATTATTTTCCACGTGTCTTGTGTTAGTTGGAATTAGATGTATTTATAAAAAGCCATTAGGTATAAGTTTTTATTGTTGGCCAAAAAGAAAAGGTATAATTTTCTTTCTTAATCAGCCTTTAGGTATGTATGCACAACTTTTTTTAAGAGTTTTTTACTGTCACTTACATGTTAAAGGTTTTACTACAAGAATATGAATCTTCAATCATTGTAGTAGCTTTAGTTGGATTTTAAGTGTCATAATTTGAACTGTTATAGTAAATTGTAATATAATAAGTTGTTCCAAGTAAAAACCAAATGAAGAAATATGAAATATTTTGGTGCTATAAGGTTGGTGGAACGATGTGGGTGCTTGTGGAGCATGGTATGTGTTAGTGGAGAAAAGAATCATATATGTCCATGTATATTTCTAAATTTCTAAAATTTTAAAGTAATTAATACGGTAATTAATCCCCCATCTTTTTTTACCATGTAATGCATGCCAACGAATTTCTAGATACACAAATTGTCTAAGTTCAACTAACACTAATAAATTTATATGGAACACTTAATTAAGAAAAAACCAATCAATGCACATTGTAAATGAAAGTGGATACTTACAGACTTAGTCAAACTTACCGGTTTTGGGGACCATCTCGGAGACATTGAACTTAAACCGAGAGAAGCGAACCGACCAATACTCTTCACAGACCCGGCAGAAACGGGCGACCCGGGCTCTGACCCGAGACCCGATCCGGAGATATGTGAAGAAACCGGAGAAGAAACAGAGCTCTCATCTCCATCAGACATGTTTCCATCAAGATCAGAACCATCAACAGTAATAACATCCCAAACCAACCAGTTCTTGGTCTTGGACGTATGAGGCTCGTCGTGAGTAACGGAGTTTCTCCACGGCGGCGTTCCGCCGTTAGCTCTCATCCATTTGCCGCACCAAGATTTGAGCTTCACCGAAAACCCATCTCGCTCCGGTTCCCACTGCGTTTGCCAATCCATCGGTTTGTTAGACGACGTCGTTTGAGTCACTTTCTCACCGGTCATACCTAACAGCAACGGTTTATTGCTCGCCGTTACGTACGTGCCGTGGCAGCTTCTCAATCTTATCAGATTCGGTTTATCGACGACGGTCTCTACCGTCCACACGGCTCGCCGTGAATCTCCTTTACGGCTTTGACGGATGGTTTCTTGGTCGTCGTCGGAGACTAAAAACTTGTCCAGATGGCTCCGTAACTTAACGGCGTTGCCTTTGGTGAATAACTCCATTTTCTTTGAGGTTTGAGGAAGAGACAGAAACGAAATCAGAATCGAACAGAGAAATTTTATTTTTGTTGTGACTTGTGAAGGAAGGAGATATATAATGGGTATTTTTTTGTTGTTGTATATATTATTGATAAATAAGCCTGGCTAAAAGGGAAATTTGTAAGTTAATACTTGGAGGGATTATTCAGCTTGTAAATTATTAAGAGATTTCCCATATAAAATGAAGAAACGACTAATGATGATATAAATATTAAACAAAGTGGGAAAGTAGGAAATGAATGAGTAAACTGTAAACAGTCAGGAAATGTATTCTCTTAATATACTGCGGAAGGTTCGACCTACGTAACTCATTGTATTTTGTACATTTTACCTCACTCGCGTGAAGTGCGTGATGCGAAGACTTCACAAGAAAATGTCTCACGTTGTGGCTCAATGTTTGGTATCCGGTTATATTATAAGATTTTATGTCCAGTTATATTATAAGGTTTTTTTATCCGGTTAGTTATATTGTAAGGTTTTTATACATGTTATTGGAAAAGTATACGATTTATCGACCAAACGATTACATTGCTTTTTGATTTCAATCCATTTGACCGGTTATTTAAATGCACCATTACATACCTAAATGTAAATTTAAATATAAAGAGGAAACTAACCCATATAGTTAAAGAGGGATATATAAACTTTAATGATCCGTCATGATCATGTAATATTGATGAAAGATCAGTTCAGCCAAACTATTTTAAATGTAGCTTCCGAACTTCACAACCGAATTAAAATTCTGTGTATTTTATAGAAGAAATTAGAATACTTTTAATTTTCATATTATAACTGATATGTTGTGAAAAGAATGTTCATTTTATATATTTTAATCAAAAAAAGAATACAACAGAGAAGGAGAGGAGATGAGGAGAACGTAAAATGTAGTGCGCGTGGGCTATGTTGTTATGTATCTTTTCCATAAAACAAAAAGTCAAGAGACTTGTGAATATTTGCGTAGAATATTTTAGGATTCGTCGTCCGTTTCTAAACAGTTGCATTTATAGATAGATACACATATGACCGTATGATACGTGTGTATCATATCATTCTGGATAAACGAAAAGAATATAAATATCAGAGTTTGATTTTCTTTTGTTTTCTTGTCAACATGTCCTAGTCGAGTTTTTTGTTTTCTTTTAGTCCTTTCGTTGGCTTTTGTTGCCGACGTCAGGCTTTGAAAGAAACGGTCTTTATTTGTTCTTCCCACACCGAATATGTTCTTCTTAGAACTCATGGAAATTTCAAATTCATTAGGTGATGCATAATCATGCTTTTCTTCTTGGTTTTGTTAAAGTGATGCATCATGCACGTATGTAATAAATAACAAGTCTTAACACTAGTTTTTAAAATAAGAAATTACACAAATCCTAGTCATTTTGTTTATGCATATGCTGCCTGGAGAGAAGATCACGCCATCAAGGAAGTTCTTAGAATTTTCTTGTCAATTTAGAAGCAATACAAAAAAGTCCAATCGATTTACTCTTAAAGATTCAATGTGATATTCAGTTTTTTAAGGAAATTAGGAATCACGTTTTAAAAAGACATGTTGTCATGTTGCAATTAAGATCCATATAATTATGTTGGTCATTTGGTAAATTCTTATAACAATATTTATCATATATGGACCATGTACAGAGAGATCTTAAGAGAATGTGTCTATCATTTCTTGGGTAATTTACATAGAATGTCAAAGTCAACTTTTACATTGACCATAACAAGACGGTGCCGTTTTGCTGCAGTCAATCGAACTTGAAATATAATGACTCCAACGCCTTCGCTTTCTCACCTGCAATTACAACAGCTTCTGTCTTGCCTTCCATGGCGTAACTCTTCTCCTGCCACAAAACGTCAACGTTTCATAAACCGAACAAATAAAAGATGTATCTATCTCCTCATAGCTGTGTCCTGAATCAATAATTCTGCTCATATAAGCAGACTTCAAGAATTTACCAGTAAACGCCACAAGAAAGGAGCACCATCTCTCTCCTTTATCCTTCTCTCCAGTACTTTAGACGCTGCAAATTCGGTGTTCAAAACGTAGAGTTAGCTAAGTAAAACGATAAAAACCAAGCTGAAGAATAGTTTTTTTTTTTTTTTTTTGGGAGTGTACCAGTGGAAGATTGGCCGGTGAGCAAAAGCAATTTGTACCAAATTTCGTTAAAAACATCCATCTGTAAATCCGATGCTCCAATCATCTATTTGAGCACGATAAAGGCAAGATCAGTTTTCCGTATCTTCATCAACAAGTTTTTGATTTGACATGTTATCTTATTGAAGCAAGAACATGCGTTACCTTATAGTCAACAGCATCAAAGTCTGGACCGAGCAGTTCTAGAGCTTCCTTGTAGTTGCCTTTTCCGTATTCATAAACAGCTTCAGCAAGCTGATTTTAAATCAAGAAAGACGATCTTATAAAATGATAAAGAACTCAAAAAATTTCCTAATAGTTATAAGTCAGGATCAACAAGAACAGACCTGTATCGCTTTCTGCATCAGTTGTTGTTTCTTCTTGCTCATTTTAGAAACTCTATTACAATTACAAGAGTCTGACGATAAGTCAAAAGACAAAACTTTCATTTCTAAGAAAATGACACAAGAGAGAAAAGCGGTACTGACCGGGATTTGAGGCCCTCGAGCAATATGTGTGCTAGTGAAGTGTTTCCAACTTTGCTCAATGCCCATATTGTTGTAATATCAAAAAGCCACTCCTGATACCACATTGACTGAACAACGAAATTTAACTTAAGAAGAAGAGAAAATAAACACATATGAATGCAAGGCAAACAAAATGTATTACTTACTTGATCAGTCAAACACTCTGCCAAGATCTTCAGTCTGTCTAAAACCTCATCTAGATTATCTCGTGTGTCCAAGCGCAATAACAAACCGAGAGCATCCAGATAAACCTGAAGTTTAATATTGGAAGTACTAGACATAAGATTGCTAGTGGAAGTCTCATATTACATTTTTAATAAGGAAGAAAAAGGATAAGGGATTTATTACATCTCTAGGAACAGCATCGTCTTTCTCCAGTTCTTTACACATCTGATGATCATATATTTCTTGTACCTTACTTATGGGAGACCCTCCTTCCAAGTAACAAACAGCTACATGCCACCAATTATGCGAATACCTGATTGTTGCAAAATTTTGGTTTTCTTTAATAGGCCGTTTCCGAGATGATAAGAAGATGTATATACTTTGTTACCTTAAGGAAGAGCAAGAATCCCATGAGGCTGAGCATTCTTCCATGAACTCTACTGCTTCCTTGAAACGACATTCAGTTTGAAGAACATGACACAACTGCCCCCCAAAAAAAAACAGATGAGAGCTTGCATATGGGTAGAGGAAATATTACCCAAAGTTACAACAAAAGACGAGGATAGTAAGCGTTGGAAACTCACGCAGTGATGAGCCCAAGAGTCGTTCTTGTTGATCTCATAGCCTTTCCTAGCAGCTTTCTCAGCTTCCGCCAAATGTCCAAGCTCCAACAAGGGAAATGCAAGCATACCATAAACATAGTCTAGCTCTCGATTTTCCGGTAAAATCTGTCAAGTTTACATGGCCAATGGAGTTAATTAAAGGTAGTGATTTTAAAAATTCCTGGTTTTGGAAGTATAATTCTTGTAAGTACCTTCTCAAACAGAGGCAAAGAGAGATCGGGTCGACCCATGTAGAAACAGAGAATCTCTACTCTCTTCCAAGACAGCAAATCTTTGGGAAATTTTGTTAAGAGCTGCAAAACATAAAGAGTTGTATATCAGAGTTAAAATAACTGCTAGGAAGGAAAGATCTATCCGACTGAGAGCAAGCATAACAACAAAGAACCGGAAGCCAAGAAACATATTAACCTTAGAATGTAACTCCAAAGCCACATCTTCGTCCATATTCTCAGAGATCAAGTAATTAACAGCCTTGAAAACTTCTTTCTCATACGCCGTGGCTTTCCCCTAAAACGAATGAATTTTGGAGGTCAAAAACACCAAAGCTCATTGAGTATCGTGGATTACAGAAATGTGGAGAGTATCATTCCTTTGCTTAGAAAGAATCATAGACAATTAAGGAGAAAACGAGGAAGAGCTTACAAGTTGGGATTCTGCAGCTCGAGCATAGTAATTGGCTCTGGCAATATCAGAAGAGCTAAGGTAATGGGCAGCCAGAATGTTGCCCAAAACACAGTCTTTATCATACAATGGCGCTTCTAGAATCACGTTCCTCTCTCTTCCATAGCCAAGAACCTTCATCAGACGTGGAAACAAATGTCAAAACCCAAAGTGGGACTGACACAACAAAGAGTGAGAAAAGAAAAAAAATATCACAACTTTAAGCATAACAAGACAGAAGAATTTCAATCAATAACGGTAAGATGAAAAGCCTCAAATCGACAGAATCAATCAATCAATCCTCCTCGATAATTTCAAGACACTTAAGCAACTCCATAAATGATCAAAAAGGAGACACATTTACGAAAACCCACAATAATCAAATCAAGCCATAGAGAATCGGTAGCAAAAAAAAGACAACCCTAATGTAAGAAAGATTTAGACGAACCCACCTGGTGCGAATAGGAGTTAATGGCAGCGATGCAACCATCTGAAGAGGTATTGACCTCATAACCCCACCAAACGCATCTGCTTCCTTTTCTGTACTCATGAATCTCACTTTCGTCTTCTTTCTGTGTACCGGAAATACGAAACAGAGTTGGCGCGTGAGGCTAGGGGATATACTTTAACAGAGAGAAGAAAAAAAAGAACAAGAAAGAAAAAAATTCTCTAAACAGTGTGGAAAAAAACTGATAATTATGCGCAAAGGGATATACTTTATTTTCTCGTGACAACACTTCGACATATAATCATGTTTGTTTTAAGAGATAACTAAATTCTACCATGTGCATTCGAAAATTATTTATCATTTATTAATTTAAAAAAATTGGGACTATTAAAATATAATTATAATTCGTTCATTCATATTATTTATATATATTTTTAAATTTGATTATTAAAAATTTTAGATTTATTTAATAAAAATATACAATAATATATTATTTTTATATTTATCATTAAAAATATTACTTAAATTTGAATATTTAAATTAAATATAAATT